TTAGCAGATTTGGTGAAATTGGATTTTTGGGTCAAAAACTGACTTTTTCGATGATGCCGGCTATGGAAAACGTTGAAGTTTTGGGGGCATTTGGTAAAAATCAAAAAGTTTTCTTTTCTCACTGGATACTGAATGTGATGAGTTGAACTTTTCAGGGAATTCAATTCTGGCCTCTAGGCACCTCGTGTGAACTTTTGAGGAGATTTGGTGAAGTTGGATTTTTGGGTCAAAAACTGACTTTTTCGATGATGCCGGCTATGGAAAACGTTGAGGTTTTGTGGGCATTTTGTAAAAAATCAAAAGTTTTCTTTTCTCACTGGATACTGAATGTGATGAGTTGAACTCTTCAGGGAATTCAATTCTGGCCTCTAGGCACCTCGTGTGATTTTTTGAGTAGATTTGGTGAAGTTGGATTTTTGGGTCAAAAACTGACTTTTTTGATGATGCCGGCTATGGAAAACGTTGAAGTTTTGGGGGCATTTTGTAAAAAATCAAAAAGTTTTCTTTTCTTACTGGATACTGAATGTGATGAGTTGAACTCTTCAGGGAATTCAATTCTGGCCTCTAGGCACCTCGTGTGAACTTTTGAGGAGATTTGGTGAAGTTGGATTTTGGGTCAAAAACTGACTTTTTCGATGATGCCGGCTATGGAAAACGTTGAAGTTTTGGGGGCATTTGTAAAAAATCAAAAAGTTTTCTTTTCTCACTGGATACTGAATGTGATGAGTTGAACTCTTCAGGGAATTCAATTCTGGCCTCTAGGCACCTCGTGTGAACTTTTGAGGAGATTTGGTGAAGTTGGATTTTTGTGTCAAAAACTGACTTTTTCGATGATGCCGGCTATGGAAAACGTTGAAGTTTTGGGGCATTTTGTAAAAAATCAAAAAGTTTTCTTTTCTCACTGGATACTGAATGTGATGAGTTGAACTTTCAGGGAATTCAATTCTGGCCTTTAGGCACCTCGTGTGAACTTTTGAGGAGATTTGGTGAAGTTCGATTTTGGGTCAAAAACTGACTTTTTCGATGATGCCGGCTATGGAAAACGTTGAAGTTTTGTGGGCATTTTGTAAAAAATCAAAAAGTTTTCTTTTCTCACTGGATACTGAATGTGATGAGTTGAACTCTTCAGGGAATTCAATTCTGGCCTCTCGGCACCTCGTGTGAACTTTTGAGGAGATTTGGTGAAGTTGGATTTTTGGGTCAAAAACTGACTTTTTCGATGATGCCGGCTATGGAAAACGTTGAAGTTTTGGGGGCATTTTGAAAAAAATCAAAAAGTTTTCTTTTCTCACTGGATACTGAATGTGATGAGTTGATTCTTCAGGAACTCAATTCTGGTCTCTAGGCACCTCGTGTGAACTTTTGAGCACCTCGTGTGAACTTTGGAGCAGATTGGTGAAGTTGGATTTTTGGGTCAAAAACTGTCTTTTTCGATGATGCCGGCTATGGAAAACGTTGAAGTTTTCGGGGCATTTTGTAAAAAATCAAAAAGTTTTCTTTTCTCACTGGATACTGAATGTGATGAGTTGAACTCTTCAGGGAATTCAATTCTGGCCTCTAGGCACCTCGTGTGAACTTTTGAGGAGATTTGGTGAAGTTGGATTTTTGGGTCAAAAACTGACTTTTTCGATGATGCCGGCTATGGAAAACGTTGAAGTTTTGGGGCATTTTGTAAAAAATCAAAAAGTTTCTTTTCTCACTGGATACTGAATGTGATGAGTTGAACTCTTCAGGGAATTCAATTCTGGCCTCTAGGCACCTCGTGTGAACTTTGAGGAGATTTGGTGAAGTTGGATTTTTGGGTCAAAAACTGACTTTTTCGATGATGCCGGCTATGGAAAACGTTGAAGTTTTGGGGGCATTTTATAAAAAATCAAAAAGTTTTCTTTTCTAACTGGATTCTGGCTGTGATGAGTTGAACTCTTCAGGGAATTCAATTCTGGCCTCTAGGCACCTCGTGTGAACTTTTGAGGAGATTTGGTGAAGTTGGATTTTTGGGTCAAAAACTGACTTTTTCGATGATGCCGGCTATGGAAAACGTTGAAGTTTTGGGGGCATTTTGTAAAAAATCAAAAAGTTTTCTTTTCTCACTGGATACTGAATGTGATGAGTTGAACTCTTCAGGGAATTCAATTCTGGCCTCTAGGCACCTCGTGTGAACTTTTGAGGAGATTTGGTGAAGTTGGATTTTTGTGTCAAAAACTGACTTTTTCGATGATGCCGGCTATGGAAAACGTTGAAGTTTTGGGGCATTTTGTAAAAAATCAAAAAGTTTTCTTTTCTCACTGGATACTGAATGTGATGAGTTGAACTTTGCAGGGAATTCAATTCTGGCCTTAGGCACCTCGTGTGAACTTTTGAGGAGATTTGGTGAAGTTCGATTTTTGGGTCAAAAACTGACTTTTTCGATGATGCCGGCTATGGAAAACGTTGAAGTTTTTGGGGGCATTTTGTAAAAAATCAAAAAGTTTTCTTTTCTCACTGGATACTGAATGTGATTAGTTGAACTCTTCAGGGAATTCAATTCTGGCCTCTCGGCACCTCGTGTGAACTTTTGAGGAGATTTGGTGAAGTTGGATTTTTGGGTCAAAAACTGACTTTTTCGATGATGCCGGCTATGGAAAACGTTGAAGTTTTGGGGGCATTTTGAAAAAATCAAAAAGTTTTCTTTTCTTACTGGATACTGAATGTGATGAGTTGATTTCTTCAGGAACTTCAATTCTGGTCTCTAGGCACCTCGTGTGAACTTTTGAGCACCTCGTGTGAACTTTGGAGCAGATTGGTGAAGTTGGATTTTTGGGTCAAAAACTGTCTTTTTCGATGATGCCGGCTATGGAAACGTTGAAGTTTTCGGGCATTTTGTAAAAAATCAAAAAGTTTTCTTTTCTCACTGGATACTGAATGTGGTGAGTTGAACTCTTCAGGGAATTCAATTCTGGCCTCTAGGCACCTCGTGTGAACTTTTGAGGAGATTTGGTGAAGTTGGATTTTTGGGTCAAAAACTGACTTTTTCGATGATGCCGGCTATGGAAAACGTTGAAGTTTTGTGGGCATTTTGTAAAAAATCAAAAAGTTTTCTTTTCTCACTGGATACTGAATGTGATGAGTTGAACTCTTCAGGGAATTCAATTCTGGCCTCTAGGCACCTCGTGTGAACTTTTGAGGAGATTTGGTGAAGTTGGATTTTTGGGTCAAAAACTGACTTTTTCGATGATGCCGGCTATGGAAAACGTTGAAGTTTTGTGGGCATTTTGTAAAAAATCAAAAAGTTTTCTTTTCTCACTGGATACTGAATGTGATGAGTTGAACTCTTCAGGGAATTCAATTCTGGCCTCTAGGCACCTCGTGTGAACTTTTGAGGAGATTTGGTGAAGTTGGATTTTTGGGTCAAAAACTGACTTTTTCGATGATGCCGGCTATGGAAAACGTTGAAGTTTTGGGGGCATTTTATACAAAATCAAAAAGTTTTCTTTTCTAACTGGATTCTGGCTGTGATGAGTTGAACTCTTCAGGGAATTCAATTTGGCCTCTAGGCACTCGTCGTCTGAACTTTGAGGAGATTTGGTGAAGTTGGATTTTTGGGTCAAAAACTGACTTTTTCGATGATGCCGGCTATGGAAAATGTTGAAGTTTTGGGGGCATTTGGTAAAAAATCAAAAAGTTTTCTTTTCTCACTGGATACTGAATGTGATGAGTTGAACTCTTCAGGGAATTGAATTCTGGCCTCTAGGCACCTCGTCTGAACTTTTGGGAGATTTGGTGAAGTTGGATTTTTGGGTCAAAAACTGACTTTTTCGATGATGCCGGCTATGGAAAACGTTGAAGTTTTGTGGGCATATGGTAAAAAATCAAAAAGTTTTCTTTTCTCACTGGAAACTGAATGTGATGAGTTGAACTCTTCAGGGAATTCAATTCTGGCCTCTAGGCACCTCGTGTGAACTTTTGAGGGGATTTGGTGAAGTTGGATTTTTGGGTCAAAAACTGACTTTTTCGATGATGCCGGCTATGGAAAACGTTGAAGTTTTGGGCATTTGGTGAAAAAAAAGTTTTCTTTCTTTCTCACTGGATACTGAATGTGATGAGTTGAACTCTTCAGGAAATTCAATTCTGGCCTCTAGGCACCTCGTGTGAACTTTTGAGGAGATTTTGTGAAGTTGGATTTTTGGGTCAAAAACTGACTTTTTCGATGATGCCGGCTATGGAAAACGTTGAAGTTTTGTGGGCATATGGTAAAAAATCAAAAAGTTTTCTTTTCTCACTGGATACTGAATGTGATGAGTTGAACTCTTCAGGGAATTCAATTCTGGCCTCTAGGCACCTCGTGTGAACTTTTGAGGGGATTTGGTGAAGTTGGATTTTTGGGTCAAAAACTGACTTTTTCGATGATGCCGGCTATGGAAAACGTTGAAGTTTTGGGGGCATTTGGTAAAAAATCAAAAAGTTTTCTTTCTCACTGGATACTGAATGTGATGAGTTGAACTCTTCAGGAAATTCAATTCTGGCCTCTAGGCACCTCGTGTGAACTTTTGAGGAGATTTTGTGAAGTTGGATTTTTGGGTCAAAAACTGACTTTTTCGATGATGCCGGCTATGGAAAACGTTGAAGTTTTGGGGGCATTTTAAAAAATCTAAAAGTTTTCTTTTCTCACTGGATACTGAATGTGATGAGTTGAACTCTGCAGGGAATTCAATTCTGGCCTCTAGGCACCTCCTGTGAACTTTTTTTTTAAAGTTTGTTTAACTGTCTTGTTTTTCCATCGTTCAGGCATTCTAAATGTCTGCTTTTGAGGGACTCCATCCACATTTATTGTATCTATTTAAATTTATTATACAACTTCAGTTATGTGGAAAATTAAGAATGAATGAATGAATGAAATGAATGAATTTAATGTAAGAGGTTTTTCAGAATGCAGTCTCGTTTGAATAAATTTAGCATCATCTCTCTTAATCCATTGAATAATTTTGTGTCAATTTTGATTTCATTTTCAAACTCCTAGTCGTCAAGTTGCTCAGAGCAAGGCACGTAGTGAATCGGCCCGGCAGTCCACCAAGGAGAAACTGAACCAACGGTTGGCCCAAATGGATCAGCAACTGAACGCTATCGAGGAGTCAGCCGCTAATATAGAGCAGGATTTCAGGAACACAAGCCTGGTAAGAAGCAGAGAGATCTTCTCACTACCTCAGAGAGACAGTACAATTTTGTCTCAGCTAAACATAACATTCTTGTAATAGTTACTTTTAGGACCCTGTTCCCATGATAAGAGAACTAATACCCATTCTAATGTTTCAAACCCAGCAAATAGAGGGGTCCTAAAAGTAACTCTTACCAGAAATCTGTGCTTTTTGATAGCCATTATGTGCTTCTGTGCACTAGCAAAGAAATTATGCGCTAATCCTGTGAGTACGGAATCTTTAATAACTGTATCTACTCATAGACATGAGCCAAATTCTTCGCTAACCCGTAAAAAGAGCTTTCTTTTAGCACAGAATTTTCTGCTATGTTTAGCAGAGTCACAAAATTTGGCCTTAGTGTTACAGTATTTTCTTGGATTTAGGAATGTTTATCCCCGCCAATGTTAATCTATAGGTTTGCTGTCACTGTTGTATTTTTCAAACAATGTTGGTTGATTGTGATGGATAATGGATTTTGGTTGATTCGGGATGCTTTTTTAGAAAATAAAAATTCATAAAGTAACTCATGATTTTTGAAAAACTGAAATTCAGTCCACTGAACTGGATCGAAACCAGGCCGCATTGGTGAAATTTAATCTACAGAAATAATATCTAACCATTTTACAGTAAAAGGCTAAGCTTTTCAAAAATCACCGATTGTCAACTGATGTTTAGACTGTTCGCTAACATAAAAACTAAAAATAAATTTGAAAAGAGGTATTATGTTCCATGCCCCCTGCATGGTTAGTAAAATACTTATTTTTTTTTCATTCTGCTATTTCCAATGTAGATGTTGCACACAGTGGAGAACTTAACTGATGCCATGGCCCCTGGTGACACCAGACCAAAGGCAGATTACTCGCTGAGAGACTACCGGTTACCAGACCACACTGATGCAGACAGCCCTGGCACACTTGATGCTCAAGTGCACGATGACAGTATGAGAAGTCAGGATTCCAGACAAGCAGAGGAACAACAGGAGGACGATAAAGATGTGGCTGGAATGGTTACCACGGTTACAGATGATGAGGGAAATCAAACGGGAATTGAAAGGTAGAACTTCCTTTTAAAACAGTTCTCAAATGTCAAAGTGTTATCTTTTTGGTATCAAAAGATGCGTAAGGCTCGAGGCTAAAAAGTCAGAACAGCTCGGGTCGTGAAAAAAATTTTCAAGGCTATCGCGGAAAAAGTTGAGGGGGGGGGGCGGGGCAGATTCCGCCCCGGCCCCATTGGGGTTAAGGGACTTAAAGATGTGTGCCCTGTGCTCTTTAAAAAAAAAAAAAAAATTCTAAAGAGTTTTCGATTTGTATGTTTAGCTTGATTTAAAAAAAAAAAAAAATTCCAGATTTTTTGGCTTCTGCAACCCACCTACCCTCATTATGAACACAAACAAATTCACTTTGTGAGAGCAGAATAATTGTTGGGTTACAAATAATTCAAATTTTGTAAATTAGAATAAATCGATAACTAAATGTTGGTTGAATGTTTTCGTTCTCATTCAAAAGTGAATAACTTCTATATTGCAGTTAGCAATTAGAAAAGACAAACCTAATTTTCGGGGTGAAAATAGAAGTAGTGCGGGGAAAGATCTTTAAATCTGTTTAAACTTCTTGATTTCTTCTGTTGGTTGTCAGGGCTGAGGATACCGCCTTGACGCTAGGTATCTCAGGCATCAGCGGGGTCAGTGACATCATCGCTGAGGTCATAGCAGACGGTGATGCTAGCGACGTCTTGAAGATGGGCATCTCGACTCAGCAACAGAAAGCAGCCAGAAAGAAGATGGAACAGAGGTAATCAAAATTAGCCCCCCCCCCAAAAAAAACCCCCAAATTTTTAAAAGCACGCCAAACTTGCAAGCCAGGAAGGGAAATGCAAGGGGTCTCCAGTGTAGGCAACATGATGATAATGGCCTTTAAAATCTACGAATAATTTGGCCCGCAATACGGGCTGTTTTGTATGTAGTAAAGTAGTAAAACAAAATTTCAAGCTTATATGGCTTATCAGGCTAGCGTTTGCCTTTAGTTTCTAATAGAATATTTCTATTCCCCCTGGATGTGATGCTAGTCCATCACAGGTTACTCCCCAGTTAATCCCGGTATACCCATTTATACTTCTTGGTGGAGAGAGGCAAGTGGGGTGAAGTGGCTTGCCCAAGGACACAACATATGGTCAGCAGCTGGATTCGAACCCTTGACCCTCTGATCACGAGTCACAAACCCTAACAACTAAGCCACACTCCCCCATATAAGTGGTCAACAGCTACAATAGTTTTATGGCCAAACTGTGGGTTGCATGTAAGCACTCAGGAAAGAAAACTGCTTGATCTCCAGCAAACCTTTGATACTACTGTATTTTTTTCATTCAGGAGAATGACAGAACAGCCTGGAGTGGAAGACTACACGAGACTCAGCAGTGACCAGATCAGGGAACTCCTCACCACACCACGGACTCCGAGACAAGATGAAGACGAGGATGATAGATGGCCGTCTCGGAGGAAACCAGCGGAGAGGAGTGACAAAGAGAGGAAGGAGCTGAAGGACTGGGCTGTGACCAAAAGGGCCAAGAGTCTGGCCGAGTATAAGAAACAACGAGAGGAACTGATTGAGAGGGAACTTAGACCGTTTCACCCTAAGGCTGGGGAATCAATGGTAAGAACTTAGAATGGATGGATACGGATGGACTTGTGGACAAACAGACTGACCCACAAACAAGCAGCCAGACAAACAGACAGACAGCTGTGTTGAAGACAAATAATTGTTTGTTGATTGAGAAGGATTATGCACCGTATCACCCTAAGGCTGGCGTTACAATGGTAAGAACTGAGGATGGACAGACTTGTGGACAAACAGACTGACCCACAAACAATCAGCCAGACAAACAGACAGACAGCTGAGTTGAAGACAAACAAGTGTTTGTTGATTGAGAAGGAATGCAGACCTTATCACCTTAAGGCTGGCGATGCAATGGTAAGAACTAGCATGGATGGACAAACTTGTGGACAAACAGACTGACCCACAAGCAACCAGCCAGACACACAGACAGACAGCTGAGTTGAAGACAAACCATTGTTTATTGATTGAGAAGGACCGAGAACCTTATCACCCTAAGGCTGGTGTATCAATGGTAAGAACTTCAACCTGATCAAATGAAATGACAGACAAATAGACAGGAACACAAACAAACAGACAGGCAGCTTAATATAAGATGTAGAAGGTGTTGATTTAGAAGTACCTTATCCCTCCTACCGTTTGAACAGTCACAGACAGTAAAAAATCTATCCACTTCCCCTTCCATGCCTTTTACACAGGCCAGTCACCAACAGTCAGATCACATTTCAGGCAAGCACTGTGACTAGTCAACTTCAGTCAACAGACAAAAGCAGGAAACTGGTGGGCACAGCTGGCTTATCAATCACCTACAGTCAAAGCACAGCTGTATCAAGTTACATAAACAGTCACAGCCAGTCAATCCTGCTTTTTGTGGGCAGGGCGCACTTAACCGTTAAAAACAGTCACTTGACTGATTTTGACTGAAAGGACAACCTTGCACAGAATGTATGTTTGCATGGGAGGGTTAATCCTCGAAAACTGAAAGCTGGTGAATAAATGGTAAGAAATTGGGATGAAATTAAAAACAAATAAGAAAACACCAAACCCACAAATAGACCAATAGACATCCAGACAACCAACAAACAAACGGACTTGCTCAGCTGTTTCAGCTGCCTAACTTTGTTGTGTCGTACAGTTAATTAATTTTTTCAATAATATTTAATTTACATTGTTTTTTTTCTTTCAGGGCCCTTCGTCTTTGAAGGAGATCAAAAAGCAAGAAGGGGAAAGAGGCAGAAAGAAGAAGTAAGTCATAGTTTTTTCTTTTTGACCTTCAAGTTTTTTGTGGGTCACTATATAAATTTGAGGTCCACTTTTTTTCCTGTCCCTGTTACATCTGACATCTGTGATTTTAATAATTTTGATGCACTCCTTAATGCAGTCATCCTCCAAGAATGATAACGAAAAACCAAAAAGAAATCCATTTTGATAATTTTGCCGGGACCCATTCACATATTACGTTTTGATTGAATACTCAGGGATATGATAGAATCTAGTCATGATGAGAGAGTCCAGCAGGCCAAGGCGCTCATGGCAGAGATGTTTACCGAAAAACCTCAGCTTCCAACGGAAGAAGCCCCTGCATCCACTACAAAGAGGAAAGACAGGACTCTCCGAGACTCAGGAGCCTCAGAGATGAGCTCAAGACTTGATAAACGACCGACCAGCCAGATACCAAAGGGGACGTACTTGTTTGTCGACAGCGAGGCGTATAAGCCCAGGCCTCAAGCTCGGAGCCAGGGAGGGGTTGACGGAAGGGCGGACTCCAGGGCTTCCAGAGGCGAGGATTTTGGTTACAGCCTAGAGAGGGAAGATGAAGAGTTAGTGGGAGGAAGGTGGACCGGGAGATTGCGATCAGAGGAGCGCGGAGCAAGAGGTCCGACTTCTAGTAGGGACTTGAACAGGCGTAATCAAGAGACGAGAGAATCCAATGATTGGAGGATCTTGGAAGGAATCACAGAATTCACAGACGATGACCAAATCTCGGCGGAATCCAGAGCCAAGACGGAACCGGCCAAGCTCTACCGACCCAAACCGTTTGATCAGGTGGTCAGGGTTCAGAGGCCGGAGGTCACCAGGAAGCAGCCGGTGTCGGTGAGGACGCAGAAGACGTACACGGAGATGCTGCAGGAGATGAAGGGGGAGACTGGGGGGAAGAAGACGTCGTCGCAGACGCTCAGGGCCAAACAACGATTGTATGGTGAGATTTTATATCTCATTTGCATTTATCCCAAAAGCAACCTACTGAATTATTATCAAAAAGCTTACTTGGATTAAAGATCATATACAGGTACTAAACACCCCGTGAAATTATTCCGTCCGGCTTGTTGTCATTTAGACGAAATCAAGAACTGTATGTGATTTTTCAACGATCAGTCAATTGCATTTTTAAAAATTCTATTCCAATTTTCCCTTTTTTTTTCATTTGATGAAGGCACCAAAAGAATCCCAGGTTCATCTAAAGCCGCCGACAGCACCACACCAAGGTTCACCAAAACCTACAGTGAAAGGCTATCAGATATGCAACAGAAGTCAGGGGGCATGACCCGTCTCAGACCGAGAACGCGACCCAAAGGAGTGCCAAGGATTAACACAGGTATGTGGGAATGTTAAATCTTGTATTGTTGAAATTGATATTTTTTTGAAATTGAACATTATGTTCAAACTCTCCTGTAAGTGAGTGAAGAATTTGTCCTTATTCCTCTGGCATTTTTGCTCATATAAAGTCCTCACGGTGTTAGTATTGTTATAGCATCTTGTCAGTGTTTATATCATAGTGATGATGCAATGAAACAATAACTGAGTGTTTTCACACATTAAGGTAACAATTGTTAAATGTAACAGTATCATTTTTTTTCAATTTGTTGTATTAAACAGTGGTCTTTCTTTGATTCAAAAACATTTACTGATTCTGTTTGCTTTCTTCTGTTGAACAATGACTAGAGACTTTTGATGACGGTCCTTTTTGCTCTGTTTTGTAGGCACAATGACATTGGTGACATTTGATGATCCTGTTTGCTTTCGTCTGTTGTACACTGACATTAGAGACATTTGATGACGGTCCTGTTTTCTTTCCTCTGTAGGCACATTGACGTTGGGGACATTTGATGACACTCCTTATCGTCGCCAGCAAGTTGAAGGGCGGGGTCTCCATCCAGAACCGACTCCGCGATCCTCGACGCCGTACCATGAACGGCTCGGCACACTGTCGTTATCTGGCACGTACAGGGGCCGAGGTTTGTTTACATTATACATACTTTAATACCATTGTTTTGTAATCACTATGGGTATGTCCATATTACGTGGCTATGGCTGTGGCTATGTAACACACGCGTCTATTGGAAGTGGATTCAGCCGCTTCCATAGGCGCATGTGCTATTGCAAGCCGCAGCCAGTAATGAGGACGCAGCCTTAGCTTTCTTTCTGTTCTTGTCCAAAATTGAACTCAGATATTTATCAGTCGCAGTTGCCTATAGCCCATCCAGATTTTGTTTTTACCTCATCCTTACAAAAACTGACAAATATAAAGTAATTGTTTGTATGTGGCCTAACTCCTCTTTTCTCAGTGTGACCTTGGATGTGGAATTCAAAACATAACTTTTTTTCATAGTGTCACATATCACAATTCCTTTGGTAAAGGGTTTAAGAGATCATGCCTTTTTCACATGTTGGTTTGTAGCTGTGCAAGGCTGAAAAATGAAAAAATTCTTTTAATATTCCTCCAATCTGTTAAATTTACTTATGGAAATCAAACCCAAAAACTTTTGTCCCCACTAAAAAACTGTACATGTCTAGTTTTTGTGTTTTCATTTAAACTGTTTTACTCATCATTTAAATTCTTTGGATAATTTTTGCCATTGCAGATGACGTAGTAAGCCCCGCCCCTAAAGTAGGCGTGAAATACAAACCCCGGGACAGAGAACCTATGACGTACGTTGAGCAATTGCAACGGCTGAGCTCAGAAGCGCCCCGGACCCATCGGCATAAAACTGCGTACGGTAAGGAACAAACCCATGATGCACAAATATTTCTGTGCAGTGCCATGGTATAGTGGTTATAGCAGGGGACAAGGTTTGGGGTTTCTTGTGTTCCTGAGCAAGATACATAACTACAATTGCCTCTCTAGCTCTTCGACCAGAGTACAAGTGGGTACTGGTGATGGTAAAGACCAGATTGAGCTGATCTTGATCAAGGAACTGCCGGGGAAGAAAAATCAGGTGTAGCAAATTGTGAATCACAGGTTCATCTAAAGCTGCAGATAGCAACACGACTAGATTCACCAAGACCTACAGTAAAAGACTATCAGATATGCAGCAGAAGTCAGGAGGCATGACCCTACTCAGACTGAGAACGCATCTCAACACCGTTTAGGGAATTTTCATAATTGTAGTTAAATGTGGTTCAAAACAAATATTGTTGCTAGTCTTTTTAGCTCTGTGTTTTGTTGCAGTTGGACCCGTCCAGAGAGAAACCTACAAGTCGCCACGGCTTCACAGCCCGATGGCCAGGCATCGGCCGTATCCCAGGCAGGGTCAAAGGTCACCGGGGGTCGAGGAGTTTGACGAGAGGTCAGGCTTCAGTGACCTGAGCTCCTGGAACGTATCTGATGAGGTCATGGATATTCTGCATCGACGGGATAGTTTTGAGGTGAGCTTGTTTTCCCGCAGTAAGCAGTAATTGTGACCAGTAGAGTGTGAAGTAACTACCTTATTAAACTATTAATCTAGAATTTAAGCAAAACTAATCTATTATTAAAAGTATTATCACATCAATTTTGTCATGGAGTCACTTTGTCTCATATTATTAATGCATATTTATATATACTGATGTAACCAAATGTTCATCAAATTAGCCAAAGAAAATATTCTGCCCCCCAAAATGTCAGTTTTCAGCACCTTAATTACCCAAAATTGTCAGTTTCTGTGCTTGACCCCCCTAGCCCTACCCTAATCCCTTTGGGTACTTCCTTCACTATGTCTTCTCCATCAAAAAGATTCTTGGCTGTGTGGGTATAAAACTGATACTTTCTCACTGTCATCCTAGGAAATTACCGTATTTTTGTTCCACAAGGATATATACACATGTTTAGACCGCTTGTGCATTCATTGTTACCAGGGATCATGTGGTAGAGTCCATTGCAAGTCCATCACAAGAAACGGTAGATGAACAACGACAAAGCAATGCCTTTGTCAGAGTTCATTTTAGTATCTTGTGAGCTGAATTGGGACTTTCTGGACTCAACTACATCCCTGATTGTTACTGAATTTAAATTCGAATTAAAAAATACCCTCAAAGATGCATGACGATTGCAAAACGTCTAGAAGTGAATAAATGTCCCCTATCCTCTGTTGCAGGGAGATGTGGGCGCAGTAACTGATGATGATGTTAGCATCGAGGGGCTAGAGTATGACGATTACACAACCTCAGTCAACATCAGGGAACTAGAAGAAATAGCATCAGTGAGCAGCGGGAGTGTCTTGAGCAATATAGACTGGGGAGCTGTGGATAAGATGATTGCTGACGTACGGTGAGGAGTCAGGGTAATATACCAAAATAGACTGGGGCGCTGAGGATGAGATGATTGCTGATGCAGGCAATAGGAGTCAGGGTTTGAGGCCAAATGGACTGGGGTGCTGTGGATAAGATGATTGCTGATGTAGGCTTAGGAGTCAGGGTTTGAGGCCTAATAGACTGGGGCACATTGGATAAGATGCTTGCTGATGTAGGCTTAGGAGTCAGGGTTTGATACCAAATAGACTGGGGAGCCGTCTATAAGATGATTGCTAATGTACGCCGAGGAGTCAGGGTACCAAATAGATCGGCGGCTGTGGATATGATGATTGCTGATGTATCAAGAGTCATTAAGGTGTGCGACAAAATAGACTGGGGTACTGTGGAGAAGATGATTACCAATGAATGCTGAGAAGTCTGGGTACGAGACCGATGAGATTGCATTACCATGAGCTGTCATCTTGAGCAATCCATAACAAGTCCGTTCACAAGAAAATCAAAAGTCCAGCCACAAGTAACAGTGGAGAACCTTGAAGGAAGAATGCTTTTGTCAAAGTTCATGTATGGATAGCTTGTGTTGGACTGGAAGACTTGTGATGGCCTCGACGACAACTCTGTCTATTTCAATACCAGCTGTCCCAGAATAAGCCAGTTCGGTATTTGAACTGCGCATGCGCACAATGATATAGGTCACGGGTCATTCCGGATAATCGAAGGCTCATCGAAGGGGCATGAACAGGCACGGACAGGGCGCACGACGCTCGCGTACGACGCTCGCGTGTTAATTACAAGCAGAATGGGCGTCCACGTAACATCGAGTTTCATCATGTCAGCGATTTTATCCCGAACGACCTTTGACATGGACTACTTCATCCAGATAACGAACTGGCTTATTGTCAGCTGTAGATGATACACTGGCCAGTATTTTGAGGACGTTTATTCATGTGATTTCAAAGTGTCCTTATGAAGACAAATTGTAACCAGAACTGAAATTTCAATGAAAAGTTTCTTTAGAACAAATTATATCCTGGGTTTTTCTTCATAGTCAATCCAAGAGATTTTAGGCATCCTGCAATTATTGGATTTCTGGTGCTGTAGTTTTTTTTTGTTTCCCTCATTTTTACATTTAGCATGCCCCCCCCCCCCTCACTGCATAGTGCATACTGTTAAAAGAGGCATACTTTTTACTTATCATACAAATTATCATTACAGGTGCTAATTAATTGATCAAATTAATATTTTGCATTTTTGGGGGCATTTTTGTAATTGCTTTCATATCACATTCAAGTTTATTCATAAACAGGATGAACTGTCTATAAACAGTCTATTTTGTAGAGTAGTAGAATGTTGAACGTTAAGTCTATTTTCCCAGTCTTGCTTAACCAGTTCACGTCGGATGACGTGTATACAAGCAAATTTTTGCGTTATTCGGAACGAATGACGGATAAAGACGCAACGAGCGAGGCTGGAAATACCTGTCTGCGGCCTGCTCACAGTGAGCAATGCCGGAAATATCAGGGTGTGCTACCCGCAGATGACGGCCTGAACCCGTCTGGCATCGGGGTTCATGAAAAAAAATCCTGTGCCTGGGTCCAGTCGATGTCAAAATAATCCCGGCACGAACTGGTTAAGCCATTTGTACGTTTTTACTGTTTTTCCTGCTTGAAGTGTTTTCACAGAGACGTAGAACTGATATATCAGTTGTCACATTTTGTCTGCAACTAGACTTAATATACTTGAGATCTACAACGCTTACAGAACAAATGTTTTAATTTCTGAATGGTAATACATGTATTTATTTTAAATCAAGATGCTATTTCAGAAGCTCAATTCTGTTGTGAAAAGATATATTCACGCTTTAACTGAATTCCACGTATGAGCAGGGTGCTGAATTAAGATAGGCAGTTATTATTTTTTGTTAGCTTCTTTTGCTTTCAGGGTGCATATCCAGCTGAAAATACAAGGTGCTCTTTTGTAAATCATTCAGTTTGAAGGTATTCTGTTGGTAGTTTTCTGTTTTCTTTTTTTTGCAAATAACGGTCTTGTTTCTGCACTGCTTAGATGTATTCGTATCAAATTAGGTTTTGCCCTTCACCGACGTTTAAACACTGTATACTCATTGTGTTACCTCCCGAGTGAAAGTTGGAAAAAATCACTCAGGTGTATTCGTAATCATATCCTTGTATTTTTTAAATTTGAAGATTTTTGCACTAAAAACATTCATGCTGGAAATGAAGGGAAAACGTCTGTTGAACATTTTAGTTGTTCTGAATATCACAACAGAGTTCTATAGACATAGGTACCTCGATATGATTTTGAATGTTACAAATATTCAAATTTCTAGATTACAAACTTGTAAAATTTTTGTATACTATTTTATTTGTAGCTCAAATGCCAAATTTATTTATTTCCATATTTGTGTATTTATAAAGGATCTGTAGCACAATATTGTATTGTCAGAATGGGCCTTCAAAATGCGAACAAATGTGATGTGATCAGGCTAAATGAGTCGTTTGTCGGGAATTTTCATTTGGAGATTCAGGCCAAAATAGGACCACTTCATCACATCACTTCATCACATTTCTTGGTGTTCCAACTTCCATAATTTTTGAACTAAAGATGGTATCAGCATGCGGTTTTCACAGCAGTAATGCTGAGATTGTGCTCTTTTCAAATCTGTAAAAAAAAAAATTGACAAGGGTCGACAAACGAGTCATTTAGCTTGATCGCATCACAAATGAAGTACACCTTAATATTTTTGGGTCTTATTTATCACTCTTCAATAGCTAATACAGTATACTTCATTTTAAGTGGTTCATGCATTGATTTGAAATACTTTGATTTTTGGCATTAGACTAGTGACATGTATGGCAGGGTACATGAAGAAGTTTAGCGTACTATTAAGTTTTAAATCCATAGAGCTTTCCTCTGCCACTCAGCCAATGAACACGTACATTTATTACTTGCCAATTATTTATTCACTGGTATTTGTTCAAAATCTTGGCCCTTAAAATATGCAATGCGTTGACCTTACATTTTTCACTATTTTTAAGATCACTTTTTATTGAAAAACCTAGGGTTACACCCATGCTTATTTCGAGGGTCAAGATATCTTTCAACATCATCATTTTGTTAAATTATACTTTTCGAGGGGTTCAGATTTATATCATTAGTAATGTCATCATCAATGAAATCATAAGATTATTTAAGATAATTGTAACTGCAATATTATATGTGAGCAATAACATTCCATTTTTATGTTAGATGGCCAATTAAATTGGAAGAAATTTCAGTGAAATTAATTCACTTGTATTTGTGCTTGTTTTTCGCATATAGTTTTAAAATTTGACAAGGGGTTAACCTTTGCACTTCCAATTTGGTTTAACCATTTGAATTCAAATCTTGCAAGGGGTTAATTAACCTTATAATGTTTTTCAGTGAAATTTTGCAAGGGGTTAACCTTGCATGTTAAATCAAATTTGGCAAGGGGTTAACCTTACATTTTAATTCAAATTTGGCAAGGGGTTAGCCTTACATTTTTATTCAAATTTGGCAAAGGGTTAACCTTGTATTTTTAAGTGAAATTTGGCAAGGGGTTAGCCTTACATTTTGATTTCAAATTTGGCAAGGGGTTAACCTTATGTTTTTAAGTGAAATTTGGCAAGGGGTTAGCCTTACATTTTGATTTCAAATATGCGAGGTGTTAACCTTACATTTTTATGTGAAATTTGGCAAGGGGTTAACCTTACATTTTTAAGTGAAATTTGGCAAGGGGTTAACCTTGTTGTTTTAAGTGAAATTTGGCAAGGGGTTAGCCTTACATTATCAATTCAAATTTGGCAAGGGGTTTACCTTATGTTTTGAAGTGAAATTTGGCAAGGGGTAAGCCTTACATTTTGAATTCAAATTTGCAAGGGGTTAACCTTACATTTTAATTCAAATTTGGGAAGGGGTTAACCTTACATTTTAATTCAAATTTGGGAAGGGGTTAACCTTAAATTTTAATTCAAATTTGGCAAGGGGTTAACCTTACGTTGTTATTCAAATTTGGCAAGAAATTAACCTTACATTTTTAATTCAAATCTTGCAAGGGGTTAACCTTATAATATTTGTAAGTAAAATTTTGCAAGGGGTTAACCTTGCATGTTAATTCAAATTTGGCAAGGGGTTAACCTTACATTTTTAAGTAAAAATTTGGCAAGAGGTTAACCTTACATTTTAATTCAAATTAGCAAGGGGTTAACCTTACATTTTAATTCAAATTTGGCAAGGGGTTAACCTTACATTTTGAATTCAAATTTGGCAAGGGGTTAACCTTACATTTCAATTCAAATTTGGCAAGAGGTTAACCTTACATTTTAATTCAAATTTGCAAGGGGTTAACCTTACATTTTTAATTCCAATTTGGCAAGGGGTTAACCTTACATTTTTAAGTGAAACTTGGAAAGGGGTTAATCTTATATTTTTAAGTGAAATTTGGCAAGGGGTTAGCCTTACATTATCAATTCAAATTTGGCAAGGGGTTAGCCTTATATTTTGAATGCAAATTTGGCAAGGGGTTAACCTTACATTTTAATCCAAATTTGGCAAGAGGTTAACCTTACATTTTAATTCAAATTAGCAAGGGGTTAACCTTACATTTTAATTCAAATTTGGCAAGGGTTAACCTTACATTTTAATTCAAATTTGGCAAGGGGTTAACCTTACATTTTAATTAAAATATGACAAGGGGTTAACCTTACATTTTTAATTCAAATTTGACAAGGGGTTAACCTTTCATTTTGAATTCAAAGTTGGGGGGGGGGGGTTAACCTTACATAAATTTGACAAGGGTTAACCTTACATTTTTATTCAAATTTGGCAAAGGGTTAACCTTGTATTTTTAAGTGAAATTTGGCAAGGGGTTAGCCTTTCATTTTGATTTCAAATTTGGCAAGGGGTTAACCTTATGTTTTTAAGTGAAATTTGGCAAGGGGTTAGCCTTACATTTTGATTTCAAATATGCGAGGCGTTAACCTTACATTTTTATGTGAAATTTGGCAAGGGGTTAACCTTACATTTTTAAATGAAATTTGGCAAGGGGTTAACCTTGTTGTTTTAATTGAAATTTGGCAAGGGGTTAGCCTTACATAATCAATTCAAATTTGGCAAGGGGTTTACCTTATGTTTTTAAGTGAAATTTGGCAAGGGGTAAGCCTTACATTTTGAATTCAAATTTGCAAGGGGTTTACCTTACATTTTAATTCAAATTTGGCAAGAGGTTAACCTTACATTTTAATTCAAATTAGCAAGGGGTTAACCTTACATTTTAATTCAAATTTGGCAAGGGGTTAACCTTACATTTTGAATTCAAATTTGGCAAGGGGTTAACCTTACATTTCAATTCAAATTTGGCAAGAGGTTAACCTTACATTTTAATTCAAATTTGCAAGGGGTTAACCTTACATTTTTAATTCCAATTTGGCAAGGGGTTAACCTTACATTTTTAAGTGAAACTTGGAAAGGGGTTAATCTTATATTTTTAAGTGAAATTTGGCAAGGGGTTAGCCTTACATTATCAATTCAAATTTGGCAAGGGGTTAGCCTTATATTTTGAATGCAAATTTGGCAAGGGGTTAACCTTACATTTTAATCCAAATTTGGCAAGAGGTTAACCTTACATTTTAATTCAAATTAGCAAGGGGTTAACCTTACATTTTAATTCAAATTTGGCAAGGGTTAACCTTACATTTTAATTCAAATTTGGCAAGGGGTTAACCTTACATTTTAATTAAAATATGACAAGGGGTTAACCTTACATTTTTAATTCAAATTTGACAAGGGGTTAACCTTTCATTTTGAATTCAAAGTTGGGGGGGGGGGGGTTAACCTTACATAAATTTGACAAGGGTTAACCTTACATTTTTATTCAAATTTGGCAAAGGGTTAACCTTGTATTTTTAAGTGAAATTTGGCAAGGGGTTAGCCTTTCATTTTGATTTCAAATTTGGCAAGGGGTTAACCTTATGTTTTTAAGTGAAATTTGGCAAGGGGTTAGCCTTACATTTTGATTTCAAATATGCGAGGCGTTAACCTTACATTTTTATGTGAAATTTGGCAAGGGGTTAACCTTACATTTTTAAATGAAATTTGGCAAGGGGTTAACCTTGTTGTTTTAATTGAAATTTGGCAAGGGGTTAGCCTTACATAATCAATTCAAATTTGGCAAGGGGTTTACCTTATGTTTTTAAGTGAAATTTGCAAGGGGTTAACCTTACATTTTAATTCAAATTTGGGAAGGGGTTAACCTTACATTTTTAATTCAAATTTAGGAAGGGGTTAACCTTACATTTTAATTCAAATTTGGCAAGGGGTTAACCTTACATTTTTATTCAAATTGGGCAAGGGGTTAACCTTACGTTTTTATTCAAATTTGGCAAGAAATTAACCTTACATTTTTAATTCAAATCTTGCAAGGGGTTAACCTTATAATATTTGTAAGTAAAATTTTGCAAGGGGTTAACCTTGCATGTTAATTCAAATTTGGCAAGGGGTTAACCTTACATTTTTAAGTAAAAATTTGGCAAGAGGTTAACCTTACATTTTAATTCAAATTAGCAAGGGGTTAACCTTACATTTTAATTCAAATTTGGCAAGGGGTTAACCTTATATTTTGAATGCAAATTTGGCAAGGGGTTAACCTTACATTTTAATCCAAATTTGGCAAGAGGTTAACCTTACATTTTAATTCAAATTAGCAAGGGGTTAACCTTACATTTTAATTCAAATTTGGCAAGGGTTAACCTTACATTTTAATTCAAATTTGGCAAGGGGTTAACCTTTCATTTTAATTAAAATATGACAAGGGGTTAACCTTACATTTTTAATTCAAATTTGACAAGGGGTTAACCTTTCATTTTGAATTCAAAGTTGGGGGGGGGGGGGTTAACCTTACATAAATTTGACAAGGGTTAACCTTACATTTTTATTCAAATTTGGCAAAGGGTTAACCTTGTATTTTTAAGTGAAATTTGGCAAGGGGTTAACCTTACATTTTTAATTCAAATTTAGGAAGGGGTTAACCTTACATTTTAATTCAAATTTGGCAAGGGGTTAACCTTACATTTTTATTCAAATTGGGCAAGGGGTTAACCTTACGTTTTTATTCAAATTTGGCAAGAAATTAACCTTACATTTTTAATTCAAATCTTGCAAGGGGTTAACCTTATAATATTTGTAAGTAAAATTTTGCAAGGGGTTAACCTTGCATGTTAATTCAAATTTGGCAAGGGGTTAACCTTACATTTTTAAGTAAAAATTTGGCAAGAGGTTAACCTTACATTTTAATTCAAATTAGCAAGGGGTTAACCTTACATTTTAATTCAAATTTGGCAAGGGGTTAACCTTATATTTTGAATGCAAATTTGGCAAGGGGTTAACCTTACATTTTAATCCAAATTTGGCAAGAGGTTAACCTTACATTTTAATTCAAATTAGCAAGGGGTTAACCTTACATTTTAATTCAAATTTGGCAAGGGTTAACCTTACATTTTAATTCAAATTTGGCAAGGGGTTAACCTTTCATTTTAATTAAAATATGACAAGGGGTTAACCTTACATTTTTAATTCAAATTTGACAAGGGGTTAACCTTTCATTTTGAATTCAAAGTTGGGGGGGGGGTTAACCTTACATAAATTTGACAAGGGTTAACCTTACATTTTTATTCAAATTTGGCAAAGGGTTAACCTTGTATTTTTAAGTGAAATTTGGCAAGGGGTTAGCCTTTCATTTTGATTTCAAATTTGGCAAGGGGTTAACCTTATGTTTTTAAGTGAAATTTGGCAAGGGGTTAGCCTTACATTTTGATTTCAAATATGCGAGGTGTTAACCTTACATTTTTATGTGAAATTTGGCAAGGGGTTAACCTTACATTTTTAAATGAAATTTGGCAAGGGGTTAGCCTTACATTATCAATTAAAATTTGGCAAGGGGTTTACCTTATGTTTTTAAGTGAAATTTGGCAAGGGGTAAGCCTTACATTTTGAATTCAAATTTGCAAGGGGTTAACCTTACATTTTAATTCAAATTTGGGAAGGGGTTAACCTTACATTTTTAATTCAAATTTAGGAAGGGGTTAACCTTACATTTTAATTCAAATTTGGCAAGGGGTTAACCTTACATTTTTATTCAAATTGGGCAAGGGGTTAACCTTACGTTTTTATTCAAATTTGGCAAGAAATTAACCTTACATTTTTAATTCAAATCTTGCAAGGGGTTAACCTTATAATATTTGTAAGTAAAATTTTGCAAGGGGTTAACCTTGCATGTTAATTCAAATTTGGCAAGGGGTTAACCTTACATTTTTAAGTAAAAATTTGGCAAGAGGTTAACCTTACATTTTAATTCAAATTAGCAAGGGGTTAACCTTACATTTTAATTCAAATTTGGCAAGGGGTTAACCTTACATTTTAATTCAAATTTGGCAAGGGGTTAACCTTACATTTTAATTAAAATATGACAAGGGGTTAACCTTACATTTTTAATTCAAATTTGACAAGGGGTTAACCTTTCATTTTGAATTCAAAGTTGGGGGGGGGGGGTAACCTTACATAAATTTGACAAGGGGTTAACCTTACATTTTTATTCAAATTTGGCAAAGGGTTATCCTTGTATTTTTAAGTGAAATTTGGCAAGGGGTTAGCCTTTCATTTTGATTTCAAATTTGGCAAGGGGTTAACCTTATGTTTTTAAGTGAAATTTGGCAAGGTGTTAGCCTTACATTTTGATTTCAAATATGCGAGGTGTTAACCTTACATTTTTATGTGAAATTTGGCAAGGGGTTAACCTTACATTTTTAAATGAAATTTGGCAAGGGTTAACCTTGTTGTTTTAATTGAAATTTGGCAAGGGGTTAGCCTTACATTATCAATTCAAATTTGGCAAGGGGTTTACCTTATGTTTATAAGTGAAATTTGGCAAGGGGTAAGCCTTACATTTTGAATTCAAATTTGCAAGGGGTTTACCTTACATTTTAATTCAAATTTGGGAAGGGGTTAACCTTACATTTTAATTCAAATTTGGGAAGGGGTTAACCTTACATTTTAATTCAAATTTGGGAAGGGGTTAACCTTACATTTTAATTCAAATTTGGCAAGGGGTTAACCTTACATTTTTATTCAAATTGGGCAAGGGGTTAACCTTACGTTTTTATTCAAATTTGGCAAGAAATTAACCTTACATTTTTAATTCAAATCTTGCAAGGGGTTAACCTTATAATATTTGTAAGTAAAATTTTGCAAGGGGTTAACCTTGCATGTTAATTCAAATTTGGCAAGGGGTTAACCTTACATTTTTAAGTAAAAATTTGGCAAGAGGTTAACCTTACATTTTAATTCAAATTAGCAAGGGGTTAACCTTACATTTTAATTCAAATTTGGCAAGGGGTTAACCTTACATTTTGAATTCAAATTTGGCAAGGGGTTAACCTTACATTTCAATTCAAATTTGGCAAGAGGTTAACCTTACATTTTAATTCAAATTTGCAAGGGGTTAACCTTACATTTTTAATTCCAATTTGGCAAGGGGTTAACCTTACATTTTTAAGTGAAACTTGGAAAGGGGTTAATCTTATATTTTTAAGTGAAATTTGGCAAGGGGTTAGCCTTACATTATCAATTCAAATTTGGCAAGGGGTTAGCCTTATATTTTGAATGCAAATTTGGCAAGGGGTTAACCTTACATTTTAATCCAAATTTGGCAAGAGGTTAACCTTACATTTTAATTCAAATTAGCAAGGGGTTAACCTTACAGTTTAATTCAAATTTTGCAAGGGTTAACCTTACATTTTAATTCAAATTTGGCAAGGGGTTAACCTTACATTTTAATTAAAATATGACAAGGGGTTAACCTTACATTTTTAATTCAAATTTGACAAGGGGTTAACCTTTCATTTTGAATTCAAAGTTGGGGGGGGGGGGTTAACCTTACATAAATTTGACAAGGGGTTAACCTTACATTTTTATTCAAATTTGGCAAGAGGTTAACCTTAATTTTTTTATTGAAATTTGGAAAGGGGTTAACCTTATATTTCTAAATGAAATTGGCAAGCAGTTAACCTTATATTTTTAAATCAAATTTGACAAGGGGTTAACTTTACATTTTTAATTTAAATTTGACAAGTGGTTAACCTTACATTTTTAATCCAAATTTGGTAAGGGGTTAACCTTACCTATTTTCATTAAAATCTTGCAAGAGGTTAACCTTTCATTTTAAAATACAATCTTGCAAGGGGTTAACTTTTTACTTTAATACTTGCAGTTTGTATGTTTTCTTAAAATGGGAAAAAAATGTTCCTTTTTTCTATTTTGGATGTTTTCTGTGGGCTTGCTTTAATCCCATAACGCACAAAAATAAACAGGTGACTTATTGTCGGGCCGGAAATTATGTCAGATTTGTAAAGTAAACATTCCGTAATAAAACGTGAGTGGTTGTTTGATGTCTTATTCAAAAGTGAACAAATTTTGAATTGCTAGGAAAATAGCAATTTGAAAACAAAATCTATTTTTTTAAGGTGCACCTTGAAAATATTTCAACAAAGGCAACAAAATTGAGATTTAAGCAAATGAGAACAATTAAACTGCTACATAAATCAGAAAGATATTCATTGCCTTGAGTCATTTATATACAATGTCCAGAGAAAAAGGGACCATCAGAAGTTCATATTTGTTACTATTTACAAAGTACAGTTCTATTATAAATGTAAAAACAAGATAATATTTACATGTATATGTACACTTGTTATGTATGTCCAATTGAATGAAGGAAATGGAAAGATGGCAGGACAAAAACAAAAACTCCAAACAAATTCTCTTAACCTTGACCGTGCTGTAATGGGTAAACGGCACTGTAGTGGATATATTCTAGAAATTATTCATCCAGTTTCTTCCCATGCACTGCCTCACTACGCAACTCCTGACCTGTATCTTTTTTTTTTAGGGGCTTATGATCTGTCCCAGTTCAAATGCAACGTCAATACTCATCTTTCTACTTGAAGTGTTTTTTCTCTTTCTTAGAATTCCTTTTCTATCCCTTCTTTGTGTAGCTCTTACATTGAGTTGCCCTTAAGAGCCTTGAGATGGGCGACTCTCATAAAAAAAAAATTAGATCAAACATTGAATGAACAAGTATTGAAATTTATTGCAGATAAGTGACTTTAGTAACGATTTTCAAAAAGAGGCAATAACTTTCAGTCACATTTTGGATGCAAATTCTTTGTGGTCCATAAGAAGGAAAGTTAAGAACAAACTCCAACATAAACCTCGTTGCGGAGGTTTGTGAATGACTACACTTATTCTAGCACTAAGCCCGAAAACAACTTTCATTACCTAATTGTTGGGGTTTTTTTTACAGATAATGTACAAGAAACTTGATGTTGTTTCAGCAGACTTTGAAAACTATCTAATTGCCGTTTACAATCTATCCAAGAAAACCGTCAATCATTCATTCCGAAACAGATACAAACAAATTTAAAAAGTTTTTTAAAATGACATAAAAGACCATGAAATGAATATTAGTTTCGGCTGAAAACTAACTTCCAAAGTGTGACGTACTCTGTCCCCAAATACCCCAAAATGCCAAACTTGACAATGTAACAGTTTAAAATTATGTACACAGTTCTATTTTTGTGTCGAGATCCAGATTTAAAAATGCGATAACTAATGCCAACTAAAATTCAAACTGTACACACATAATACAGTACACAACTTCACAGAAGAGTGCATGAATTTCTACAAAAACTCAAAAGGCATGGGACCAATGCTGGGGGTAACCCTCCATCCCAATATCATGGCTCTTCTGATCTTAGATTCCTTTTTTTATAGTGCACAAATTCTTCAAAATTCCTACAAGCATTAAGCACAGAATTCTTAGTAACAGGATAAGCACATGCTTCAAGTTATTGAAGACTCTTTGCTTTAGAGTTAACTGAGTCATGATGTTAAGCTCAAATTATGTAGAATCATTTGCCTATTTTCTTTGAAGCAACAAAATTCCTCAAAATCTTAAGCAGAATACATAACCACTTTGGCAGTGAAAGTTTTAGCTCAATGGCCACTGAACATTTTGCGAAAGCAGAGAACAATTTTAAGCACTGAAGTATGACTGCAACAGTCGACCTCTCACGTGTTGGGAGCCTGGTGGGGACGGTTTCATAGCCCCATAGAAAAAAGCACAGGTAAACAAAGTTTGACGTCATCAGTACAGAGGCTTATTGTTTCACATGTAGAACTTTATTCTAAGGGCATCCATTTTTATTCTGTGGTTCTCAGTTCCGACAGACCCTATTCTGGGTTCCTGACCCAAGAAAAAAATTAATAAATTATTTCTGCCGACCCAACAAACAAAATAACATTTGAAGAAAAAAAAAAAGGAATACAAAATTCAGGCAATCAGGCTCTGTGTTATGAGAAGAAATGGAAAACAATTCCAAATTTACCAAGAAGATGAGAGGATGTTGCCTCTCATCATATTAGGGGTCTATAGTTTACTTTTACTGGTATGTCATGGCTGCCACTACAGCCAAAACGTTAGTGAGATGGATGGTGCACATATAATGTAAGTCAACTACATCTTGCCAATGATGGTTTTATTATTTTGTTCAGTAATATCACCTCATGATAATCTCATTGCAGTAAACAAAACTAGAGGCAATACGCACTTGGCATCATTTAATTTAGCCATCCACACGGGTGCAACTGCAATTCTTTTGTCAGGATTTTTATTTTGTTACCAAACGACCAACCAAATTTAGAAGCAAAAAAAATATGAGAACCATAGAAATAAAAAGGGAAGCCGTAATTGTCAGAGAAGAATATATCATCTGCGTGTCACTGGAATGCTGAATTCAAACCCGTGTAACTCTGGCTTTGCCCGACACCTGCATGCACTTGTTCCACTTTACCTAGCCTGTACCTGTGTATTATCCATTGCAACACGTAGCAATCAACCCAGACCAGGCATGATATAGGCTATGTTGTCCATTGTTGAGGCCTGGAAGAGACAAAGGAAGCAAATAACAAAAAAACAAAAAAATTACATCACAAAGGAAAGTGACAAAGTGAATTAATCGGTGATGAAACACAAAATGAAATGGTTTTATGGAATTCCTCATAATAGCTTCTATTTTCAGGGGCCTCTGGACACCATTAAAACAATTTCAGTACTGATCCATAGATTTTGCAACACGATGTACAAGGTCAATATAAGGCAATTATTATTTATTGCCGCTATAAAAAGTGCAGCACCAACCCGGGAATGAGAAGATCGGAGGCTATAAAAAGTGCAGCACCAACCCGGGAATGAGAAGATCGGGGGCTAAATTGGCAAAACAATCATGAATGGGTATACTGCAGTAATTGGGAGATTTGTTGTGTTCTTTGAGACACCGGAATTTAATGGTCCAGGCTAATTTGTGAGGGGTTCGGTTATTGCTCCAAGTTAATTGAAATTTACCGGTGGCATCATTTGGCCTTGTCACGCATTGTGGTAATGGGGCGTCATACATGTAGTGGAGACAATGTCCAATTACATGTATTACTTTTATGTGACATCTGTGAAGGCTCTCAGGCATGACTTCACGCTGTTGTGTGCCTTTACTTTGTAGAGAGCATTGTGATAAATTAATTGGCAGGCAGTGGGCAGTGAAATGTTTTAAACAAAGACAAAGGAGCTTCCTTAGTTTTCAGGTTTTTTCTCCAATATAATAGTTCATGTTAAGAGACCGTAGACATAAATTCTGTTTTGAGATCATGACGACTCCACAGGAAAAAAAAAGAATTCTGGTCACGAACATCCCTAGGGGGGGGGGGGGGGCATGGAGGATATGACCCCCTCCCCCCCCCCCCCCCTTAAGTGTTTTTGTCGGCAAAATCGTTGTCTTGTCGGGAACATCAGCCCTGTCGGCAAATTTGCCGGATTGAAGAGCACCACATTTTGTCCGATACTGTCCATGATAGTCCGATTTGAACGGCAGCCCCATAGGAAGACTGAATACCCAATCCACACGTGGACCTGGCCAGGAATTGAACTCGGGCCATGGAGGTGAAAGGCCAGGAAGAACTTCTGCGCCAACCCGATTAAAACAGACAAATTGTGATCTGCAGTCTGTCAGGGAATAAAATTACAGTCAGGCTGCGACATCTGCACTTTTCCCGTCAATTTATGTATCTAATCTTCCAATCTCCAAGGAGATGGCACCATAACAGAAGAAAACGGGGATAAGTTACACGAACTTGCACGGCTAGCAACAGACACGCGTCGCAAGGATGCCGCTTTTAATAATAAAAAATTCACACAAGGTTTTGTGATCATACCGTGAACCGTTTGGAAGAAATTTTGTTTTGTTTTGATGTCAGGCTAACGTCCTCATTTTGAATTCTCCTAACTTTGACCTTCCGGTAGACCCGCAAGTAGAGGTCAAGCGAGTTCACGTCCACGACAAAAACTGTTAAGCGATTAATGGTCTATCTGATTACAGAATACAAACATCATTGATTGTTTAGTTCAAGAGTTATAGGTGAAAGTAATTGGTCACTTTTTCAGATAAAATCACTTGTAATTTGACACCTGATGACGTAATCATGTCGTCAGAGTAATATGCACCACTTCGGATGAGGGTCGATATATATTGAAAGTTACAAGTTCATACCATATACCGTTTAACAGAAAACCCGCGGAGAAGTATTGTCCGGAAAAAAAAAGAAAAAAAAAAAGAGATTAATCGAAACAAATCCAAAGAGTGGTCGGGTTGTGCCCGACCGCTGAAAAAGAAAAGAAAAAGAAGCACGAAGTCATAGTGGTGGGGGGGGGGGCAAAATGTCCCTGCCCCCCTCTAAAACTGATAAATCAAGAATGTGTTGAGAAATACAGGCATTTTTTGGCAAAAATATGTTTTGCCCCCCTCTAGAAAAAATCCTGGCAACGCCCATGAACTTTAGAATACGTGAGCAGTGTTCTATCGAGCTACGTGTCCTGCAAATAGGTTCCAGCCAACCTAGTCACTCAAAAACACTTATCAAAATCACTTGATGACAGTAGTAATTTACGCTTCAGATTTGATTGTGTGACACAATATCATAGGGCCGTGTCGAATATACTGAACATTCGAATGTTATGTTGCAAACGGCATTCAAGTAGGTTTGCACCCACGGTCTTCGGATTGCCGTTCCAGTGCTCTACCAACTAAGCTATCTAGCCCTATGTTGGCTGTTCCCAATTTGTCAATATCTATGTTTTAAGGGAGCAAGTTAGAAGCCATAAACCATTTTTTACACCTATGTTGGGTCACAGATTTTACAGACTGTACTTACTATGGTATCCTTACTGATGCTGTTTAGCTCCGGCACCTGACTGGTCAGTGACATCAGCGGAGCCAAGCAGCACAGCGTAGAGTCCAGCAGGACGGACAGACTACCGTGAATTTCCACCTGACCCTGTTAAAGGTCAAACAACATGGCTTAAGAATTCAAACAAGATCAGATAAACCATAAATGATCATACTGTGGCGACAAAAAACCTTGCTTTTTCTAAATCAAAATTTTACCTCAAAAATTTCCCTTTTGTGAAGAACCCTGTCTGACGTCTGAACCATCTTTCAAGTTATGATTACATCAAGGACAGGCACTATTCATGCCCCCAAATCTTCAAACCTACATGTAGGACTGAAATCAGCCTTTAATTGGCTTTTTCGCAATCTCTGTAGAAAAGCCTTTATTTTGGTTCTGATTTTTTTTCTCTAGATTCCTTTTCTTTTTTATTTTTGTTCTACCCCAAATCCCATAGACTTTGTACAGGTCCACGGAAAAGTCCTGTGATCCCTCTTCAGACAGACACACAGATCTCTAATTTAGATTATTTTGTATCTACCTCAAGAAATACCATGGTTTCATCCATGATGTCGTGACTGATTTGTTGTCGAAAATGTGAAACAACATGTGTTTCCATTTTGGGGTTGTCAGTTTGTCAAGTTTCACATTAACAATTACCACCCAGACTTATTAAGTCTCCGTCAATAGACATGATCACGACACGTCACGCTCTGTTTGCATGTGCACTTTCCTATGGGAGCTTAGTGGGTCTCGTCCCACCGGACTCTCACAAGAAAGCGTGACGTCATTATGTCATAGGTCTTTTTTACAGACATAACCACAACAACATGCTTACTTTAAAGGTGGAATTTGCTAAAAACGTGACGCAGCAGGAGAAGTCATCATGTATGTGTAGGCTTTGCACATCTATAAACTGAATATGCCTAAGGTTAGCACAACTTTTTCAGTATTAAACTATTCAGCAGTGCTATCACTTGTTGAAGATATTTTTGTGAAGATTTGTTTTGGTTGGTACTCACGACATGGTTTTGCAGCCGGTCGCCAACCAACGACAACGATTCCCCGAGCAGTTTGAGGTGTGCAGCACTGTCAATCGGTTCAGTCCGGGGGGAGAAATGGCGGACGGGGCTCCCGTGGGGCGACCTCGAACCTTTCCCAGAGGAACTCGACCGTCGGAATTTCTGCTTGGACAAGCTGGGGACGTTCTTATGCTTGACGTGCTGAAGACGCTGCTTGCTGTACCAGACTTGTTTCTCCTTCTCAGGGAGTTGTTGCCACAGCGTACCCATCATCCTGCTGATACCGGAGAAATCTGGGCGGTGGTTGAGAAAGAGGTTGTAAATAAATGAAATTACATGTGCCTTTAAATTGGGTTATTGTCCATTTATTTCCTACATTTTTGGCATGCCTGGTTCGATTCCAACCAGTGCCAAACTCCATGCCTTATCACTTGATTTTCAAGCAGTTTAAAAATGTCATTTACACATTTTGCTTTCTTTAAAGATATACTGTTCATGCTCTTCAACGAATGGAATTTTTTTCTTCAAACAAATGGTTAATGTTTGATTTTCAATTTTTCACGTTTGATTTTTACCCCCCCAAAAAAACATTTTAGGAGGGCAGAGAGCATCTGCAACTTTCTGAAAAGATTTTATTTTAGCTTGCTCAAAATTGCACATCTAGTGCTCAAAAAGGGAAGATTATTTCGTTTGACAATTCGTTAAAAAGTGAATTACTGTTGTACTGAAAACAGTTTTGGGTTGAAACTTCAAAATTGCACAGACATATCTTTACACATAAATGCTGTTCAGTTTTGCATTTTTCTTAAATTACATTTAGATGATAAATAAGATCCCTTTAAAACGAAGCTTAATTGAAAATATTAATGAGCCAAATTCATTAAGTTGGGTGTTGATGATACAAATAGCGTATCAAATGTTACATAAGTAGATTAAAAATTTTCAGGTAAGTTTTACTAAGGGATCAAAAAGTGATCATTCTTTACTTTGCCAAAATGAGCAGTCTCTTACCGAGTCCTGGGTTCTGGGCCACTACATTACGTCTCGTCTGCCCGCACCATAACATGTATGCTGACAGTGGCTTCTGAAAAATTACAGGGAACAAATGAGCTGGTCAACAATGAGCAAATAGTGTTTCATTGTTTATGATTAACATTGATGTACACTGTTGTTGCAGGATTATGTTGAAGTGAATGTTCTTTGCTGTATTTACTCCTTATTAACAGTCTTCCTGCAACAAAACTTTGACAACATGGACATTGATTGCTCCTCAAATTGGACTTGAAGTCATCAGAAATTTTGTTTTATTTGTCAGGAAGTGATAATGAAGCCTCACAAAGATTATTAACTTTGATCTTTCAAAAATTTCGGTGAAATAATGATGTGTGTTTTAAGTGGTAGTGGAAAGAAAATGTATGGATTTTGGATAATGTACTTTCATCAGTATAGTTGCCCCATTTGTGATCCATAATGCAATTTCTTCAAGAAATGTCCACAGATATTATTTCGATCTGAGGGAAGTCTACGTGTCTTTTAAACATCTTGTTCCCTTTGTTAGCAACATGCTGCTGTCTGGTTTCAATGTAATGCATTCTTGGACGAAATCTTGGAAATCCTGGCTAAAATGTGGATTGGAATATGAATCCGTCAATGTTGGACTACTGATCACAAACATGAAAAATCTGGTTACCATGATTACCTTAGATTTTTCATCTTTCTTCAGTTTGTCTTTTTTCTTCTTTTTCCTTTTGTCCTTCTCGCCCTTCTTACTGAATTTCTTGGAGTCCTTTTTCTTGACGCTCTTTCCGAAAGTGCTTGGGAAGCCCAGCTCGGGCATACCCATGGCCTCGGGGAACGAGGGAATGGTGGCATCGTTGCCGGCCATGAAGAAACTCTCGTCGTCAAGACCCGGTCCCTCCAGACTGGACTGAGGTTGCGGAGGCATGCCGTCGAATTGACCAAACATATGCGATGCTGTCACGGGATCTAGTCCCACGTTACGGCCGGGCTTCTTGGTGCCCGTGTTGATAAACTTCGCTTTGTGTTTCTTGACCTCTTTGCTCTTGTGTTTCTTGCTTTTGTGCGAGGAGTCCGAGTCGTTGGATTTCTTCTTCTTGTCCGGCTTCGTTTTGTCGGATTTACTTTTCTTGGAAGACTCAAGTTGGGGTTCATCAATGACTAGATCATCCACTGACTCGTCAAGTGACAGCAAATTGAAGTTGGCTGCTGCTTTAACAGCTTTGGCCTTCTTTTTCTTTGATTTGTTGTCATCTTTGGATGTGTCCGAGGACTGGCTGTTCGTTTCCTCGGGAGGCTTTGTCTTGCTCTTATTGTCACTCTTCCCCTGACCTGATTTGTCCGGAGTCTTTTTGGAATTCTTAGAACTTCCTTTAGAAGACTTATCAGAAGACGCGGCCTTAGTTTCAACTTTTGAAGCTGATTTGTTCCCCGGCGTCGACTTCCCGGCCTTTTTGGGTGTTGCCTGTTCTTCTTCTGTCGGAGCTGTCTTCCTCTTCTTGCCTCCTTTGCTTGTTACTGGAGAATCAGACAATTCGGCTTCCGTGTCGCCATGTTTGCGTTTCTTACTCTGTCCCAGTACGATCTTATCCCCCTCCATCCTCAACACCTGGTCCCCGAATACAAACTTGGCCTTCGTGGGCTCGTCTTTATCCTTCGTGGAGGACTTCCCAGATCTCCCCCTGGAAGTTGATCGTTTGTCTTTGGATGCCACACTGGCTACCGCCTCTGGACTGTCTTTCCCTTTGTCCTTTGGAGACAAGATGAGCTTCAGTTTAATCCCGCTGTCCTCCTTGATAGCCACCGGGGGTAAAGCCTTCTGCTGGGACTTCTTGGCAGACCTCGAGGAGGTTGGTTTCTCCTCAGGTTCTGGTTTATGAAGTGGTTTGATTTTAATTGTTTGTTGTTTGCCTTTGCTGACGAGGTGAAGTAATTGGCTCTTTTCTTCCTCCTTTTCTTCCACCTCTTCTTCTTCATCATCATCGTATTTTGAAGGAGCCCGCTTTCTCCTAGGCTTACTGGAGGAGGTAATCGTCCAGGAATCGCCAGAGTCTTTCTTCCCTCCTTTCTCATGATGGAGAGAGATCACGCCAAGTCTTCGTGGTTCCTCACTGGGTGACTTCACGCTGTCTTCTGCTTCTGCTAGTTTAGCTGATTTCCTCCTGTTGCGGCTTGGACGAGCGGTTGGGATATCTTTAAGATTGGAATGGGAAAAAAATTGATTAAAGTTACTGTGTAGGCCAAAAAAAAAAAATTTCTGCTTCCGATTACATGGCATTCGAAAATAGGGTAGGTAGGTAGGGATTTTTTTTTGGGGGGGGGGCCAATTTTTTTGTGTGTACGATCATATGGAGGCGTCTGCGTGTAGTCAAGGGTAAAAGGTAGAAATTGATGGTTTTGGGTGTTTTTTTCTCATTTTTCCAATAGAAATATTAGGGTAGGGGCAGTCAGAATAGGGTAGGCAGGGAAACCGGAAGCAGAACTATTATTTTGTTTGGCCTTAGCAGTGCAATTATTGAGACTGATAACATAATTTGTGGATGCCTGAAAATGGGAATCTGCAGCAGCATGTCAAATTGAAACTGTCTTGAATCAGAGCATGTTTTTTTGATATTTATTGATGTCACACGAAAGAGGCAAAAGAACTTTGGTCATATACAACATTTGCAAACATCAAAAAACACAACTACCAAATTATGAAATACCTTACTTGACTGTTACTTTATAGTCTTAGGCATCCTGTGAAATCAATCTACCTGATGTGCTGTCATTTTCAAGAAAGGAGTAATTTTTGTATCAATTTCCAACGATTATCGGCCGACCATCGTTGGGAAAATAACTGACTTTTTTTCCTTCAAAATAGTACCCGAAATTTACCACTTTAGTTAGTCCACATTTTGTTTGCAATCGGGTACACATCTGTGAACGGGTGCAAGCCAGCTAGTCTGGCTCCCTGACATGACGTGACAAATTTCAGACGTCCATAAATATTGCTGTGTTTCGTCCGAATTAGGGTCAGGGAACCAGACTATAAGAACAGCATTTTTTCTTGGTTTTCCCAGTCTCTATACAAAAATTTTTAAACAGGTCATTTCCGACAAAGCAAACGTTGTATATTACTTTTGATCATGGGTAGTAGACATTGACAAATACCAGAACCAAAACCATCCACTGGAACCTAATCCAGACTTTTTGAACTAATGCATACCATTAGAACCAGAGCTTTCCACTGGATCCGGAACCAGAACTTTCCAACAGAACCAGAACGAACACTTTCCATTGGGACGTATCAAGACTTTTTCCATCACAATCAGAACCAGAACTTTCCATTACAACCAGAACTTCCATTTGAACCAGAACTTTTCATTTGAACCAGAACTTTTCATTTGAACCAGAACTTTTCATTTGAACCGGAACTTTCCATTTGAACCAGAACGGAAACTTTCCAATGGATTCTAACCCAGATTTTGCCTTCACAGAACTAGAACCAGAACTTTCCACATGAACAAGAACCAGAACTTTACTGAACCATATATATGGGCAATTCTTTGGTAACGGAATTACGCCCATTTGTCACTTTGTCAAGGATTATTCTTTCCCAAGAAAATATGTTCTATGCTAGGCAACTAATCTAAACATGGAAAGGGAGCCAAGACCCAGTAGAATTGATTGACCACTAAAAAAAAAAAAATCCCACAAGATTACCCTTTAAGGGGCGGAGCTTAATATCGGTAACGGAATTACGGACGGAGGACAAGCATATTTGAGTTGTCGCATAAATTAATAAAACTCTCTGAAGTTTTGAAATTTTAAAATTGGACACTACCTGGTATTTGTAGAGTTCAGGGGTGTTGTTAACTACAATGCAGAACAAAGTTGAAAAAATAATCACTCTTTTCATAATTTGCATTTTAATCACGGTAACGGAATTACGCCTGGGCGGTAATGGAATTACGCCATAGGTTTACATGTAATAGGTAAATGCAATACTTTTACATTGAATTCAACATAAACTCATCACAATACAAATTTTAGAAGTTTATAAAATGCCACAAGGGGAAAGCTAAGTGAAATTAGCAGATCAAAATGTAAATGTAGGCCTAAACATGTCTGGGCTTCATTTTTAGGTCAAAGGTCAAGGTCAAATGAAAGCAATGTATATGTATATATATTTTTTTACCGAAAATCGAATTTGACTATGAACAATTGTATTATCGTATTTCACTAGTTTATTGTGGAAAATACAATAAAACTGCACTGGTTGGCATCTCTGAGCAAGGGAAGATGTTAAGTTATGCCAAGTAGAAGTACAAGTACAGTCTGGTACTCAACTTTCATTTACTTGTTGTGGAATATATTTTCTGTGGGTACCAGACAACGGCTTTGGCAACACATATTTAAAGGGAATGTACATGTACATGTACATCACTGGCTTTTGCTGTAATTTTAAGAAATGAACTATTCGAGGGGTTAGTGTAATAGATCAAATATTGTTACACTGACATGTTTGAAGTTTTGCATTCGAAAATGCTGGAAAAACCAAGAAAAACAAAACTGTTCAAGTAGTCTGGTTCCTTGACTCCACTAAAGGTAAAATGGATCAATTTATAGATGCCGGAAAATTGGAGGGTAAGGGAACCAGACTAGCTGGCCTGCACCCGTTCATGAACATGTAACAAATAGCAAACAAAATTTGGACTGGAAAGAGTGTAAAGTTGGAGCAGTAGTTGAAAAATAGTTAGGTTTTTCCAACAGTGGAAATGTATACAAAAATATCATTTTCTTGAAAATTACTTCACACCAGGTGCCATAATTTTACAGGATGCTTTAGACTGTCATTTACCAACATCGTAGTTAAGGTATTTTGTAAAAACTTGGTAGTTTTATTTTCTGATGTTTGAAAATGTTGTATATTCCCTTTAATTAAAGCATCCAAACAACTATTAGCATTTTTTAAATAGTAAAAAAGAAAAAGTAAAAGTAAAAAAATCAATGGAACACCTGATTATTTTTAATTGTATAATAGCAAATTAAAGAGGGAAATGATTTAACAAGTAATTTAGTATTTAAAGTTATTGTCCAAGGTTACATGCAAATCTCCTATTATGTCATGTACATAATCTGGAGGAAATGTGCATACTTTGTGCATGCGTAATTCCGTTACCGTAATTCCGTTACCGTTTCGTAATTCCGTTACCACTTGGAAAAATGCCAAGAAATTACTGTTTTAAAGTTTTTATTTTTCATTTATGTTTATAGTAGGGTCTTTTCTCAACATACATGATTTGAAGAAAAAAAACAAGAAAATTTGTAAAATAAGTAACTTTTGCCATTTTTTCGGTAACGGAATTACGTGCTAATTTTGACATTTTAAATGAAGGCCTACACTATATATATATATATATTTATATATTTAGATTTTTAGATTTTTTTTTAATGACCCTGAGTAATGTTGGTAACTTGTAACATCATAAAATAAATCAAATCTTTTCCCTATAATTCAGAAAGTAATACATACACAAAATTTTATTTTTTTACCAAATCTTAACGTTTTTAATCATAAATTGCAAAAATCACTGTTTTTACCAGAAATATGTATATTTTTTCAATTTCGTTTTTTGAACTGAATTCCCCATTTAATTGAGGTCTGGAAAAAGTACAAAAAAGGTTTAATATGTAAATATTTATTTTTGACATTTTTTGCTCTCCCATGGAGAATTGCCCATATACATAAACACAAGAGAACAAACCTTGTGTCATCTCATCGTCTTCATCAGAGGTTTTGGTTTCTCGTCTTGTTGACGTTGCCTCTTCCACTGCAACCTCTGATGTGGCAGTTCGTTTTCTCTTTCTGCTCCGACTAGACATCGTGAGTCAGCAATATTTGTCGCTACTCTATAAAATCAGATCAGTTACAAAAGAAAATATAATTTACAAAAACAATTCTGCACATGATTCCATCCCTACCTAAGTACATGGTTTATTTTATAAACATACTGCAGAGTAGCTGAAAGAAAAAGTTAGCTGATTGTTAGTTTGGGTATAATGCTGTATTTAAAGGCCACTATGTTTGACCAAAGTGACAGTCAGTCAATGAAAATGTGTTTTGAAAAAAAAATGACAAATTTGTTAGAGAACTCAGAAGATCTTAAATTCAGGAAACGCATGTTTTCAGGAAATTTAGCACATTCATTCCTGGGAAAATATTGAAGCACTGAGAAAACATATATCATCTCAATGAAGGTCAGTTATTGCAAAAATGGTGATAAGACATGAATCTTGGACTAGTAATTAAAACACATTTCCAATTTTGTTAGGAAATACTTAGAAAAAAAAATTACTTGACTCTCCACAGACATGATAGACTTTGTACACAACCCCTGAACTAAGTGAAGTAGTGTCAGGTTGCAACATTTTCTGCGGGAAAATATTGAAGCATTAACTGAAAAAACAATTAGAATTTTTCAGACTAGTCTCATACATGTCAATGTCATCAGGTCAGACTCATACTGAGTTTCTAGTCATGGCGATTGTGTAGTAGTGTAGGGCAGACTTCTCTCAATACAGGGTGGATAAAAAAAAAACGAAACCAAGAAATTAAGCCTGCACTACGAGTTGCGCTATTTTTCATGGTGAAATCTCTTTTTTCTCAACCTGCCTTGATTGGCAACCATAGCCTTTCACTCTGTGACAAAAACACCACATCAACCACAATTGAAAAGTGGCGCAACTCTCTAAATAGACCCTTTTCATAAAATTGGTCACTGCTCAGTAAACCGTGAATGTAATAACATGATCAGGGTGTCATTTTAAAGAGGCAATTCAACCTTAACAGAGGATATCTCCCTTTGATTCACATGTGCCCTGCTTCTGTTCCAATTAGCAATAATATCTCGGTTTCGTTTTTTTTTTATCCATCCTGTATAATGACACCTTTTTCGTAATTTTTAAACAGTTGTTTGGGGTAGAAATTACGATTTTCCCGCGCGGTTTACAGTGTGCGCCGTGTGATTCAGCGCGCCTTGCACGTTCACAGTACATCGCGCGGTGATCGCCATCCTTATTTTCGTGTTGCGTTTTCGTCGTTGTCATTGTCATTTTTATTTTACCCAAAAATTTCCCTCAAAAATTTATCTACATCTATGACATACATGTACGTTCTTAATGTCGCCAACTAGTTTGGTAGGTCAAATAATGTAAAAATAAAATAAAATGTTGTTCCCTATAGGAACCGGGCCCGTAGATACACGATCGCCCTAGTCATACATGTCATACTCATCAGGGTTTGCTTTAGCTATTGCACATCTCTTTCAGAACCATGTCATTTGCAATATATTCCTCAAAACGGAGAGAACTGTCTTAAAACCTGGATAATAATAGTTGCTAAACTTTTTCCAGTACTTGAATGATAAATACGTATATTACGTATATTTTGGCTGAAACTGAGGAGACCTTTGTTACAAACATGTCAACAAATACGACTGTCTTTTCATTGCCTCATGCATACACATTTTCTTGCTGGCTTAAACATCGCCACCATGCAGTCACTTCAAGATATTTGGATTGTGTCCCCAACCCCACAATACCATCCAGATTGTATACGACTGTTTCATGTCATATTCTGATATATTGATTGTGGTGCCCTGACGTGTGTTGTGATACTTATCTCAACTAATAGCAACATGTAACAGTCGTCTGGTATACATATTCAACATGGAAAACAGTGGCGGTGGAAGCGCACCCGACCATTGCTTAGCGCTGGTAAACAATGCGTGCTACTTAATGCAAAGTACCTTGCGTTGACCTGTGACATGTGTTTACACTCGACAGTCATTTTGAGTGTGCTTCAGTGTGAGTTGACAAAAACAGACCTCCCAAAATTATCTGGAAAAACGTGAGTTGTCAGTATTTTACTATTCATCTTTTCATCATTTGGTGCATTATAGGTCTGTACTTCATACTGTATTAGTATAATACTTCAATATTGAATATATTATAAACCTTTTCGTATCTGAAAAAAATTGCCAGTTTTGCTATTGTGAGTTTCCTAGCGTTATGCATAAACATAACGCTAAGGATCATACTAGCTAGGTTTGCTTGGGTCGTGTCATTCAAACAATAACAAAATAAGTTCATAACAAGTGATGCCCGCCAATTCCACATGCATAAACTAGCTCCATAAAATTGCATAGATATTAAAAAAGAAGAAATTATATTATTAATGCTTACATTATACACTCAATCTATCCAATACGGTCCAGTAGGATCACAAATAAAACTGTGAACGAAATTACAGTCCTCCTACTCATTTCAATGCAATGGTGCGAGTGGTCTCAGCTTGGCGCCATCTTTGATGAAAGGGCGCCACCAATTGCTCAAATCGTGAAAAATGAACACAAACAGACTTTGCACTTGCAGCGTGGCGTGCAGGCTGTCGTGCCTGACGTCCCATTATAAATCCCAATACTTCAAAATTCTTTTAGAAATTATTAAAACTCTCACAGGTGTTCAGGCTGCGCAGAAAAAAATGATGATCATCGTTGTCATCTTTCATTTTCTTTTCAATTTTCGGTGGGTTAACATTAACAATTGACTTTTTGAGACATTCTCGCCGCGCCCAATGAATACCAACCCTGAAAACGAATGATGTTTTTTTCCCTTATAATTATGTACAGCTCAGCGGCCACATGGCCAGCTTTAGTTGCGTATATATTTTAAATCCCGGGACATACCGTTATTTCGTTTTACCGTTTTGTATTTCCTCAAAACAAAAACAGTAAACAAACCATTGACCGTTTTGTCGTTTTACAGTTTTGTAAAACGGTCAAACGGTATTAAGATATTTACGGTTTCTTTGTTTTATAAGTTTGATAAAATTCATTACAGCATAACAGTCAATGATTTTTGTTTTACAGTTTTACACAAATAACTTTGAAAAACAGCAAAACGGTCAGTATTGAATACAGACTGTTTTTTTTATTTCAGTGTCATAGTGAACAGTCCGTGGTGCATTTTGTGGTGCTGGGCAAGGGGGATGGAGGGGGACCATGCTTTACATGAAAAAGTGTTACCTCGGCATAATGCGTGGTATTCCTGGCGTGACCCTGACCCCCCTTCTCACGCGATTCAGTTGGTGGGGCTTCAGAGTTGCAAGCAAAAATGGCGCTGGAAAACTTCAAGGGAGGACATTACTTTTTACAATGGATACAGGATGGTAATACGTTTGAAGAAGTTGCAGATATTTGAAGGAAATTGGAGTTCGGCGCGGCTCTTAATTCAATAGGCAGTTCGAAAACTATGTCGTGAGAACGAAATGTGAGGAGGGTAATTTGGGTCCCAGGCAATGACTCGATCCCATGAGGACGCATTAACATTCCTAGGTGCATTGCTTAATTGCCTAACCTAAATCAAAAAATGGTCGACAGGCCTATTGACCTTTTTTCATTGTCATGTTCTCGTAAAACAACACTCTGAAATGAAGCAACTAACCGTTTATCGCTTTCAACAATTAAGAAAAACAACAAAAAGGTCATTGTTTTTGTGACCTAATCATACCGTTTGACCGTTTTACAAAACTGTAAAACGAAAAAACGGTCAACGGTGCGTTTACTATTTTTGTTTTTGAGGAAATCCAAAACGGTAAAACGAAATAACGGTATGTCCCGGGATTAAATCAGCCAAATGTACCTAAAGTTGTGTGACCTAGTGGTTTGGGGTTCATGACTCATGACAGTTAGAGGATCCAGGGTTCGAATCCAGCTGCTGGTCATATGTTGTGTCCTTGGGCAAGCCACTTCACCCCCACTTGCCTCTCTCCACCCAGGAGTGTATACCGACACTAGCTGGAGAGTGATCTGCGATAGACTAGCATCCCATCGGGGGGGGGGGGGTAGAAATATTCTCAGTCGTTTCATGCTACTGAAACCGGAGATAAACGCCGGCCTGATGGGCCACATTTGCTCGTGACAGACTTTACTTTTTACATTTTTTAAAGAAACGTGTACATTTTGTATAAAGAATGTGCATACGAAAAACACACATACATCTTTGAACAGCGCCTTCTATAGTCAAATTGTCCCCAACAAAAATCCTGGTATGGCAGGATATTTCTCAATGTCAAAAACAATTCTACTAACTATTTTCGAGAAAACACAGCTTGTGCTGGTGCGTAAAAGATTGGATATAGTCAACAACAAAATAAGTGCCGTATGAAATTTGGACTCACGAGAAATCAGGTCTCTTTACCCTCACACGTGAACCGCGGCCGTGGCCCGAGGCATGCGCAATACAACCAAGGATACCATATTTTTTAACAGAGTCTAAATTTCACGCTACACCTTTTGTTACTCATTTTTAAGGGAATTCAGATTTTTGTGATGTCATGGTCACCTTGCGAATTTGCAGAATTTGAGCTCATATCAACTCCGGCGAAATTCACAGTGTTTCTTGAGTCACTTCTCAATCACGTCGATAACCTTGTAAAATAATGAAGAACCGGCCTGGTGAATAGACTATTAACGCCTATTGTTCATAACACAATGCGTACCAATTAGTGCACTGCATGCACAAGCACACGTTGTCGCAAAAAAATGTTTGCCTGCTTTAATCAATCTTTATTAAGGTTCATCATCTCACAATACTGTATGAACCACAAATTGTCTCGAATGGATAGAAAGAATTATTGTATACAATGTCCAATCAGTATCAAGCTCTGTTGGCATCAGCCAATTATGGGGCCTCTGGCCAGTACGATGCACCGGGGGGGGGGGGGGGAGGGGGGGGGGGGTCTGGGCTATACAGAAAATTAACTTGTAGCAAACAGGAGACCGTAGGTAGTCTTCAATTCAGTCCACTCAGCGAAGGAATAAAGCACGGAGCAGCTAGCTAACAAGCCACATCTTTGCGCGTACACGTACACGCGCTGCAGCCTCTTTCATTCATAGTGCCGCAAACTTGCCTTAGTGCGTAACTAAGATGTAGAAATCCAATAAATTGTTTCTGCCTAACGGATCTGAAGATTAAATATTAGTGCGGTGTTGGTCAACGGATGTATTTTTTTTATATATAAATTGGCTACTCATCTTAAGTGCGCACTTATGGTGAAATGGAGTCGATGTGGACGTTTATAATTTTACGCGTGTGTCTTTCCGCGTTGCAAATTCAAACACGAACGCTGCCAAACGAGCCTCCGAATTCGACTGAGATGCCATGGGGAGGATTGGCTGGAACAACGGATGCCAGCTGGCGAGGAAGCACCGGTGATGATGGCGGAGAACCGACGGCTACCATGCCTGGCGAGCACGGTGAAGAGACCGTACCTTCTGTTCAACTCACATCTCATGCAATGGGTGAAGATGCAAGCACCGTTCCGAGCGACGCATACCAAAGCGGTGAATTGGTTTCCGGGGTAAATGGCACGGACGGCCCAACTCCGAGTGTCCGGACCTCTGATGCACCGAGTGGTACCGTGAATACCCCGTTGGCTGCCCCACGCCCCAACATGACAAACACGGTGCCCGGTGATGTTTCCACCACGGAGTTGCCGACTCAAGAGAAGATACCCATCTACATCGGTGGTTACTTTAGTTTCGGTGGAGGATGGGAGGGAAGCGGGATGCTACCAGCCTGTCAGATGGCTCTAGATCACATCAACCAGCGGGCGGATGTGCTACCAGGGTACGAGTTGAAGATGGTTTGGAACGATACTCAAGTAAGTTATTGTGTTTGCATTTCAAAGGGTCTCATCATATAGTCACGATTAATGTTTATAACATTCCGCCAGCTCGAAACCTTAACTGAAGTAAGTGTAGAACGTTAAATTGGCCAGGAAACTGAATATATTAGATACAAAAAACACATCTCTTGGACAAACCAATCACAGTAAAATGCCTTGCTTAAGGACACGAGCACCATGATCAAAGGATCATCATTGGTTGTAGAAACAGGACATAAAAAATTATACCTCGAACCATACATCAACTACATCTTGAAAGTTCAACCCAACTACATTTTCATTCATGTACCTTTAGCGAATACTATTTTTCATAGAATTGAAATATTCGGATTACTTTTCTATACCGCAGAGAATCCTATGTTAATTAAACATTCCGTACTACTATAATCACCTCGGTTCAATCGCCTTCGAGCGGTTATCTGGCCTTTAACGCTTCTTTATTTAGAGACAGAGAAAGAATGCGGGGTTCATTAAACATCGAAAGAGGTTTGTTGTGTTGTCTGTTTCGTGGGCAAATCTAATCTCAAAACGTGGTCATAGTGCTGCCTCGGGTAGAAGAAAGATGCGACAAGAATTGCAGGCAACATCATGGGGATATTGATAATTGATATTTTAACATTGTTTGAATAAAGACCCTGGAATGGTGCAGTGTAATCCACCTGTACATCAATTAGTGATGTTTACATTGCACTGTGTAATAATTAAGGCTTCATCTGGCTAACACTATGGATAGAGTTAGCTTAAAGGGCCCATATTTCTTTTAATGCAATCCTTGAAAATGCACCTTTGTGTCCCATTTAACCATATTTTCAATTTCGTTTTGCCATTTTCAAAGGTATTTGGGTGCCTTTTTTGGTTTTTATGCTAAATAAATGCAAATTTCCGTATTCATGAGTAAAAGTGTGATATTATTTCATGCAGAAACTTTAATGTTACATATATTTCAGCACGAAAAGTTGGCAGAAGGGTGGATGTTTTGCTGTTGTAAATTATCTTTTCTTTGATGATTCGTTGTTGTGTTAGTACATGGCAGTAGGCCAATGACCAAAGTTTTCTCACAAATGTTTTCAATGAGCAAATTTTTGGGTTCACAATTTGAACAGAAAACCTCTAAACTGAACAGTAGTTCCTGAAATGACATCACAGCAGGCGCGCCCTTTATAGTTTTCCGAAAAAGCATGGCGTTTTTTGGATGTTTAAATAAGTGCACTTTTTTTCAATACAATAATTAACAAATTAAAGGATTGTCAAATAGTTTTCATACATTTAAGAACAGTAGAAACGTGCACAAAATGTGGTCCTCAGAAAAAAATCATCTTATGAACCCTTTAAGCCCAACTAAAGGATAATGTATGTTTGTAGACAAGACTGATTTGAAGACATGCTTAGCTGAAAGGTACACTCTCGCAATTACAGTGAAACTCACTCCCACCTATACTAAAACTAGTTAATAGATGCTTCAGATAAAATTCATTCAGTCGAGAAGGTTGAGGTCACAAACGAGTTTCCAGGATTGATTATTTTTCCCCCCAGAGCATTTACATCAAAAAATTAGTGTGATTTTCACTCTAAATCGTCGATTCTCCTGGTCTCACTCTTAGGAAGAGCTCTAGTGGGTTTAAATTTGCGCGTAGCACCATGTGAATACATCTCTTCGGCGAATTCGAAGACGCGCAGTCCTGAAAAGAGGCAATATCCTAAATGGATAAGAAACGTTTCCCTGAGGTCCTGAGGGCAGAGAGCGCACGCTGCCACAAACGTCAAGAACACCTTTCTCACTTCATGATTAAGGATATTGGTTCTTTTCAGAACCGTGCACGTTTCTTTGCCGAATGGATTCATTGTGTTAACCTAAACTGTACACATCAAGACAAGGGAAAATGAGATGCCTAGAGAATGATGGAGGTTTACTGTTTGTTTAAAAATTTCCAAATGTTTACTGTGCCTTTGAGTCAATTGAGATCGCATGCGATTACGATAAAAAGCCTGCTTCAAATGTCGAACGTCATCTTAGGCCATTATTTGAATTAGACACGGCAGAATTTGACGTTTAAAAGTGGGTCTTTAGTAAACGCTGTCCCCGCAGATATTTGTCCGATTGTTCGGGCTGAGTTGTGTTTATGATCCTGAAAGTACAGTTCCAAAGCACAGACGCTCGTTATTAGTCTGTTTACAACAAATGGTACTTCAGTTCGTCTCTTAATCAGCAAAATTAAAAGCCCCACTTTTTTTAAAGAGCGATTTAAACTGATGATGGTTTTATGTTTTCTGTGTTTTACACAGTGCGATTGTAATGGACAAACTAAGGCGGAGGCTGGGAAGGAAAGCCACCATAAATTGAAATTTTATGAAAGATTTGTTATGATCGAAATATTATAAATGGGTTGCCATGTTCAAAATGGGGTCACATGCTTCTCAAGAAGAAAAAAATATGTCGCACGAATAAAACTCAGATTTTTTCCAAATGAAGTGATCATTCACTAGATTCTGCGTCAAGCTATAAGCACTTCTTTGTCATCACCTTGCTATTAGATAGCATATCTTGACACTATTGCATCGATGACGTCCATTTTAGGAGCCGATGTTTGATTCATTTGTTGTCCAGCTTTGAATCAGGTGTCAAGACTTTAATGAAGGAAAAGTAAAAGAATTGGACGGCATCACGAAATGATCAAAATGTCACTCATCACTTTTCCATTCAGTCACATTCCAATAACCCTATGCCTGCTTTTGGAGTAGTATTGTGTGATATTGCAAAAGCTGGGTGAACTATCGACCTAAGTCAGGTTAAATCAAAAAAAGAATACACGTACAAATTGGCAAGGTGCATGAGTATTTCCCCCATGCTTATCTTGCAGTGTGAGGCTGGTCTGGGAACTCGAGTCTTCTTCGATCAACTTTTCCGCGAGCCCAAGAAGACCATGATCCTCGGTGCACCCTGCTCGCCCGCCTCCCAGATCATCTCTGGCACCGCCTACTACTGGAACCTCATCGCGGTGAGTTTTAACATGGACGAGAATTAACCCCGAATTTAAATGCAGCAAAGAATAGAATGGCTCTCAGTCCCTCCATCATCGATTCTGACTTTAGCCAATTTGAAAGCAAAGTAATTTATACACAATCGATGAATGAACGTCTAAATGCCGATATGACTGAACTTTGTCTAATTATTCTGACTTTTGCTGAACCAAAAGGGATAGCCAGCCCTGTTCTCTTCTGAATGAATGAGTCACTGACTGAGTCACTGACTGGGTCGCTGACTGAGTCACTGACTGAATCAATGACTGAGTCAATGACTGAGTCAATGACTGAGCCAATGACTGAGTCAATGACTGAGTCAATGACTGAGTCACTGACCAAGTTCGACTGACTCAGTCATTGGCTCAGTCACTGACTTACTGACTGAGTCAGTGACTGACTGACTCCCCGACCGACTCTCGAGTCACTGACTGAGTCAATGTCTGAGTCACTGACTGAGTCACTTACTTATACTGACTAATTGAGAGTGACTGAGTCACTGAGTTAATAATGTCCTTAACTGAAACATTTGAGTCCAGCTCGACTAGGCAAGTCTATTTTGATTTTCTTCAACACATCACGCCGAAAAAAACTAACTATAAACCTGCAATATTTAATTTAATGAGTTTAAAAAGCCTTTGTTTTGTCCGGACTTTCTTGCAATTAGATTTCTCCTTCGGCTGCATCTCCCGGCTTGTCCAACCGTGAGAAGTATCCCCTGTTCTATCGCACCTACATGCCAGACGCCATGTTTAATCCCGTGAGAATCCGCCTAATGCGAGAGTTCGGCTGGAAGAGAGTGGCTACGATCCATGAGAACCACGAAGTCTTTTCACTGGTGAGGCAAAAAGAGATAAAGGGGAGGGGGAAATAGATTTTTTTTTAAATACGGGAAGGTCAGTAAAATTCCCTACTGGTTGACAAGCATCTATACATTCTGTAGAAATACCCTAAGCACACAATGGTGCTAAGCGCAGACAAGATTTTCTTAGCCAAAAAAAAAAAAAAAAGGTTACCAGCTAAACTGGCATGGTGAAGTGTATTGCTATCGACTGGGTTCCCCGCTAATTTTTGCTGAGCTTCTGAATTTGCTCAGCACAATTTTCGATGAAAACAGCTAATTGAAATTGCGACTAGCTTGGTCTATAATTATGGAGTGATCTTTTCATACAATACATCCAAGTCTTATTTCTTGTTAATGTTTAGTTGAAGTATCCCCTTAACATTTGCAGATAGTTTATCATTATTGTAAAGGTTTGGCTGTATACGAGGAAGAATATGGAATTCAGCTACCAAATTTGAGTATGTAATTTTACAAAATTACATTTGCAGAGAGAAAAAGAATCGTTGGTTCTGGTAATGCATGGTGCATGGGAGAAATAAAATGACTTCGCTGTGTAGCGGTTCATCGTGAAATGCCGATTTTATTTTTGCGTAGGGCTTTTAAAACGTAATCCACTTTCATCAAACGAACGAACAAAGCAGTGCTTCGACCGGCAATTTAGCTCCACGAACTGCGGGATTGCTTAATGTAATTTCCATCACAAAAGGAAAGGAATTGTCCACAAAATGCACAAATTGTGTCTCCAGGAAAGGCTTAGAAAGTGGCAAAGTAGCGGGATTAAAGGAAAACATTGATTTGGACTGTAGTGCTTCCTTTGGATTAATTTTTAATTCAATTATATGACTTTTACCTTAAAAATACTTGAAAAACGATTCAAAGAAAAAAAAGGAAGTGTAAAGAAAATTGAAAATGATTTGATTAAATTTAGCTTTCAGAATTAAGAAAACATACAGCGGCAATTCTCGGCTGAAATGCCTTAAAATGTACTTTTTCGTTCATTTAAATTGTATACAATTCTTTGAAATTAATTTATTCACGCGATACAATGGTTCCCATCTCCCCAGGTCGGAAATTACTATTTAGATCTCGAGAATCTGAAAAACTCTGACACAAAAATACCGACTTTAATACCGACTGACGTTAATTGATTTTTACTGTTGAATTAAAATTAACAAATTTCATCATGTTACAATGTTTTGGCTTATTTATTTTTCTGTTTTCGGATAGGCTATCGACGACCTTTTGACCCTGCTGAAAGAAGCAAACATCACCGTCATCTCATCGGAAAGCTTCTCCGAAGATCCGAAGAACCAGATAGAAAGTCTTAAGGTATGAGCCACAAAAGAAAAAACCGAATTTACTGGTCATGATTTGGGCGTTGCCTTAAAGGTGCTGTCATGGCATGTGTTTTGTTCCTTTATAACAGCGGACCCGGTGCGCCCTCTATGTGACTTTGTTGATATCCCCTCAAATGTACATTGCAGATTTTTTTATTCCTAGCTTCCTGACAGGATGTGTGATATGAGATGTATGTGATGTCTAAAACGCCTCTTTTCCCTTGTTTCGCTTGATTTGCCGCTCGTATCCCCCTCATGTCTGCGAAAATAGTGGTTCTAGAATTTTGTGACGTATGGCCTTTACCGACTGATGACGGAAGATTCAACCTCCCCGCCCTCCAGTCTGATTTTTGGGTCCGCCCCTAACCTCTGTCGTCTTCAATGTTTCAGAACGAATACTATGTCTACTACATCATTATTATTCCTAAACATGAAAGAGTCACACATAAACAACAATGTTTCTTTGTCTCGTTTCTTTTCCTTCAGAGTCAGGATGCCAAGATCATCATTGGTAACATGTATGCCCACATGGCTAGACGACTGTTCTGTGAGGTTGGTTTCTATTAATGTTCATGTCAAACTGTCAGCCCATCCTCAATATGTTTACCTTTTCAAGTTTTGAAATTGACAAACGAAATTGACTTTCAACGTAAATAATGATATTTTATTCAGAGGCTACTCCAACGAATTCTGATTGCCCTCTTTAAGGCTTACGAATGACAGATTTATTTTTTCTCTGAAAGTTCTGGAATCGTCAAACCGAATTACTTTAAGTTAGCTGCAGCACCATAGGGGAAACTTTCTTCATGTACAGCTCCATCAAAATTGTCTTTCTCCCCGTCTTGTACCCAGGCTTATAAGCAGGGTATGACTAGTGCTGACTACGTTTGGATGCTGATTGGCTGGTACAAAGACAAATGGTGGTTGGACGATGACGACACGATCACGTGCTCCGTCGATGAGATGAGGATGGCCGTAGAGGGCGTGCAGTACATATCCACAGAGTCTCTCCCGCTGAGCACGTCAAAGGAGCCGACAGTGGCTGGAATTGTGAGAAAATGCATTCATTTGATTCATAAACATTTGAATGGGAAATGTTGATATGCTCTGTGGCAGGAAACTGCTTTTTTTATTTCATTTATTTAAAGAAGCGTTCCCCGTGCTATGGTATTGAGTGTCACCTCTAAAAATAGATTGGCTATTTCAGTTGCTATTTTCCTAGCAATATACAAGTTATTAACTTTTGAATGAGGCATCGAACGAAAAAATCCGCCGACCTTGAGCTATCGAAATATTTCTTCCCCAAAGTTGAATAGCCGGCTGCCAGACAATTCGGATCTCGCAGGATGGGTTCGTTTTGTGCGCAAAATGAAAGTCCTTTTCAAAGGGTTGCAGACGCCCAAAATCGGAATAAAGTGGTCTTTTTGTTAAAACAAAACATACAAATTGAAACTACGTTAGGAGAAACAAAGCCTCGGTTTTTTTGAAAATCTCGGAGTATGCAACTTTAATATTTTTATTGTCTTTATCGAATATACAGGGTGCCCAAAAAATTGTGCAAGCAGATATCTTTTAATTTCTCAAAAACTACTTAATGTGAGTATTTCATCTTGATGGAGCGTATTTATTATACTCTTGTGTATAATCAGTGAAAATGCCATGGAAATTCGTTCATGCAAATCAGAGATCTAACAGATTGTAAAAGGCTATGGTTTTTCACCCATTACAATGGGATTTACACAGTTAGCGATATCATAGCGCATCAGATTGTTATGGGCCTTTTTACTGGAATGTAAATTAAGTTAATCGTGTAATTCCCATTCAATTGGAATGGGCGAAAAACCTTTTATAAACATTTATATAGTCTGTTAATAACACCAGCCTTTTTAAAGTTAAGCCTGTTTAAGAGTTTTATAATCTGTTAGATCTCTGGTTTTTAATGAATGGATTTCCATGACATTGTTACTGAAAATACACAAGAGTATAATTAATATGCCTCATCAAGATGAAATACTCACGTTAAGCAGTTTTTGAGAAATTAAAGGATATCTTCTCGCACAACTTTTTCGGGGGACACCCTATATTCGCTTAATACAATGTATAACCTTTCCCAAAATACTAATCAAATTTATGAAAACAAGGCTTCAATGCGCTACAATTCCCGATACCTATAAACGCTGAAGTGTCGAAGGCTTTTGCCAAGCATTTTAACCGCTGGAAGGACGAGTCTTGCAGCAGGTGTATTAGTCTTAAATTGGGAGGAAAATTGATGCATTAATAGAAATTTCATCGACGCACGAAATTCCAACTTAAAAACGGAACCTTGAGAAGACTAACCCCAAGCATACTGACGCAGATGGTTTCGCCTCCAGTAATTTTTTTTGTTAAATTGAATGAGGTGTCTTTCTTCACTTCAGGCCTGAAGACGGTGAACGAAAGAGAAATTCTTGAAAACACAAAACAAATGAGGTTCATTGAACTCAAACCCAGAGATATTTTCCAAACACTTATTATCGCCTTTCAATTGGTCGGATTTATCACGGCCGGTTACCGTAGGAGCATTATGGGCATGTTCATGATTAGAGTCGATAGGGGTCTGAGTATCTCAAGGAATAACATCAAGACAAATGTGATGCAATGTACATGAAGTCCCTCCAATATAAAAGAAGTAATATACATGGGTAGTTAACTAGGAGTCTTACTCGGAGGATACAAGAGAAGGCCCTGTATATAGAAAGACTCCGACCATCGATAATGTGGAGAACGGCCAGAATAATAGATAACTTTAATAATGTCCCTGAAAATCATTGACATTGCGATCAAGCTACATGAGTCGTTTGTCGGGAATTTTCATTTGGAGATACAGGCCAAAATAGGGCCACTTCATCACATCACTTCATCACATTTCTTGGTGTTCCGACTTCCATAATTTTTCAACTAAAGATGGTATCAGGATGCAGTTTTCACAGCAGTAATGCTGAGATTGTGCTCTTTTTAAATCTGTAATAAATCAAATTTTGACCGGGGTCGACAAACGACTCATTTAGCTTGATCGCATCACTTATGTTCATTATAATTACAATGAGTCATCACAGACATGCAAAATTACCGATCGAACTTGATTCACAACATTGACTACTGCCCACAAATAGTCACTCGGTGTCTTGCTTTGCCTATGGACATCATTTACAAACATTCAAAAAACGAAAGTGCCAAAAAAATGGAATAGTTGACTTGATTGTAAGTAAATAATAGAATTAGGCATTATGTGAAATCGTTTCGCCCAGTGAGAAAAGAGGCATTTTGTCATCATTTCCTCGCAATGCTTTGGGCCGACCATGGCGAGAAAAAGGCACCTTTTAAAATACTGCACACAATTGAGCCAATGTAGTTTGGTTTGCAATCGGTTACATATCCGTGAATGACAATTTTTTTTTCCCGACTGACAAACTGGAGATCATACTAAAAGAGGGCGCAAGTCAAAACGTATTAGTGAACACTTTTGGAAGGGAGGGCTTTGAACGGTAACCTTGCTTTGCGTCGAGCAGATGCATATTCACAGTTTTCTCAAAAGTGCTTAGCTAAAATGTCGGCAGGTTAGTTTTTCAATAACCCGTTTCAGATTCTTTTATTGTATTGTTGTTCATTGAAGCGGCAAACTTACATTATTTAATTTGCTAATGGTGACCATAACCTTTAAATATTGTTTACAAGTAACGATCTGTCGGTATTTTCTAATGTAATTTTTTGGGGGGTACGGGCTCGTTATTTGCACAGACTCCTGCCGAGTACGAGACGTTGTATCAGGACCGTATGTCGTGGCCAGAGAATCAGGGGTATAGATGGAACAGTCTCGGCCCGTTCGTGTACGACGCTGCATGGGCCATTGCCTTGACATTCAACAAATCCGTGGAGGTTCTCAAGACAAAAAGGTACCGATACAAACTTGTCGACATTTTGAGCTTCAATCCTTTGAAAACTTTCACGTCAGTATTTGTGAGTGGATTAATTTAACTGTCCTGATTTCTCACTCTCAATCTCAAGATACGAAATTATTGGGGACTTGTGAGGACAGAGATGGTCATTGTGGTTGATTTAATAGCTGCTTTGCGACGAACATATACATGTAGGGAGAAGCAATGAGTGCCTAGGCCCAAGGGCATATGCACCATAACCCCAGCCTGGACTCGAACCCACAAATGTGCAGAATTAGCTGAAATACCAGTCACAAGGCGTGTTATTTTGGCTGCCAAACAAAGTCTATCACTGAGCAAATATTATCTTGTACCTCGCAAATTTCTGTCTTGACAAACATCGAAACTCATCCCACTTCGATCAAAAGTTACAAAAAAATTCGACAAGGCCTCCTAGGGAAAAGACATGCCAATTGATTTACCCTAATGCTGCAGCAATTTTGTTACTTAACGTAATAAGAAAAGACGAAGAAAAGAATTAAAAATCGTTTCTTTTAATGATCAGATTAGCTGGACGCTTTATCAGATTAGCGAATTGCTGTGGAGAGTTTAAATGTTCATAAACAGAGAACGTGCATTTCGTAACAAAACAGCGCTACAAATTATGAGAAACGCTTTTCAGTGGGCTTCCATTTGTGGGAAAGACATTCGGTTTGAGTCGTACAGGCCTAATTAGATTTTTCTTTCCTTCTTTTCAAAAAAATACTGAAAGGTTTTCGGACGGCAGTTTCAGGCGCCTGGAGGACTTTACCTATGACGACAAAGAAATGGCGGAGTTGTTCTTTAATCTGCTGAACGAAACGGAGTTTAAAGGCGTGTCTGTAAGTGGACATTTCTGGCTTAAGTGACTGGAAGGTTACCCTCGGGGTTTTCGACCCTTAGATCTTGCCTAATTCCTCTACGAAATTTTCAGTATTTGTGCAAAAAGTCTCATGTATTCAGTATTCTATATTTCATTTTGGCGGAATAACAGGCCTAAGTTTAATTATATGAACTGCACTTGTCTTTTGATTTCAATGAACGCGTTCAGTCAATATTATTAGAGATGTAATTACTCTCGTCAAATACCAACATAACTTAGCGACAACGCTTTGTTCACCAGTTGGGACTGTCCGCGAAGTCCAAGACTGGTTCGCATGTTCGTATAAAGGTACGGGGCTCTTTGCTGTCTCGGCAGGAAGGCATAGGGTGCCACCTCGTTTCCTCCCTTTTATGGTGCTTGGCCCTTGGGTTATATGAATGGACAGGGAAGGAGGTGTGGTGGGTCGAGAAACCCAAGAGCCCTGAAGAGTCCTGGATTAGGAGTCGGTAATGGGTTCATTTTATAGTTGAATCATATAGTCCGACCCGTGAATGCTTGGTCAACACCACAAAACTCTTTTGCAAAACCACGGTATTTTACGAAAATGTCTTCATCAATCAATTTAAATAAATTTAAAAAATGATATAATGCACTGAACCAGCGTTACGTTTAGCCTTGCAGTTGACGATTATCAAGACATTAATCACAATATTATAAATAACCTAATAAAAAAAAACCTATCGTATAAGGTCGACTATTTCTCAAAGAATGATTTAATTTATTCCAGAAATAGTTACAGTGAGATGTATGTTTTCAATTTTTGGCTTGTTAAAAGGGTCCCAAATTACAAAATAAACGTAAAAAGTGAAAAAAATCATGCACAACGTTTTGATCACGAAATAACCAATTACATTTCATCTCTTCAAATTGTTCCTATTGTTCCGATGTGCTTTCAAGAACCGATCAAAATACATCTTTTATCCTACCTCTGCCCTACGAATATTGTTTTTCACAGTCTGTTATTTACTATTTCGTACAGTAAACACAGACGTCTCAAGCGCCTAATGGAACACGTACATCATTTTATTCATTTCCAATTCTTTCGAGGGAAAATATTCCTGAAGGGTTCTGTTCTGACGTCTTTTGAATTACAGTTCCAATATACAGAGTTCGTTGAGGGCATAATTATAGTGTTGACATAATACGCTGCACTTTCATCTACTGGACACTCTTTTAATATAAATATTTGAATGTCAGAGAAAAAAACTCACATTAACTGCCAAAGGCGGACTGGGCAAGTAAAAGTGTTGATTTGTGATAAAATAAAAAGAAATGTTCGGAAAGGCCGCAAATGGCTGAAATTGGGCAGGTGCAGGAGTCGGCATTAGAACCGAGCAAGAAATTAATTTTGGATGAAATTGATTTTTGGGAGTGAACAAGATTATACGCGACGTCGGCGACGATGTATGAATCCAAATCTGATATATTTCCGTTGATATTCTCATAGTTCTTATCAGTAAATGCCATAAAAATTACATGAAAACGTGAAATTGCTTTGGAATAATTTTTCAAAATGTAATTCAAGGTTGCTATACGAAGTTCAAATGAGGATGTTTGCAAAACGATCTTGCCATCATGTTTTTAGTTAGCAAGACCTTAGGTGAATGTTACTTGACTGCGTCACTATAAAAACTATTTAAAGTGCTTTGATAATATATTTACAATATCCATGGCAGCTGTGCACAGGCGATTTCCAGCTTCTATGAGCACCATTTCGGGTATTTTCTGAACCATCTCTACTTTTTTTTGTTTCTGTCACAGGGACCTGTAGCATTCAAGCAAGGCGACAGAGTCGGAATCACACAAATAGAACAATTACAAGGTAATTAATTGTATTTTAATTGATTGTATTCACTGTATATCAGTTGAATGAAGTTGACCTGCTCAATATAAATCATCATCATCATCATCATCATCATGGGTGTCACTTGCAGACGTTTTACGTCCATTGTGACTCGTGGCGCCGAAGGCACGCGTTGAGCTCTTCGCGATTGAAGCGTGCGCCTAACTTGCATTTCGTCCAGTCCGCCTAGGTCCTGGCCGAGGGCTATCCACTGGCTCCGGACGTATTTATGCTCTGCCTTGGTGTACAGCCACTATTTCTGCTCGCTCGAGTTTGGTATGCGCGTAATGTGCGCCATGTACTTGACGTGCTGTTTTAGACAAAACTCGCTCGCTCCGGATGTCCGGCAGATTTTCAGTATCTCGCCGGCATTAAACTTGAAAACGTAGGTGTCCTTACCGTCCATGTTCTTTTTCTTGCTAAACCCGCCTTTGACTAGCTTCCTGCAGAAATTCACCCACAGGCTGTCAAGCTTGTCTCGTACGGAGGCTCGGAGTCGTTCGGTTTGCACTGCATAGACTAGCCTGCTGCGCACCATCGCCTCCAGCACCCGGACCCGTTTTGCCAGAAGATAACGTGCGTCATGTTATTCTTAACTGCATGAAAATATCTCTAGAAATTGAGCCGTGTTCATTGTGTATCATTCAAGGTTCCTGCTCGGAGGGGTGGGAGAAACACCGGGCCACGTGCTTCAAGTTTGTAGCGGAACCCATGCTTCGGTCTGCCCAGGCCCAGGCCCACTGCGCCTCACTCAGCCCCGGTGCTTCACTCGCCCACATCGGTAACGAGAATGAACACGACTTCCTCAGCAATGTGTCCAACTCAAGAGTGATAGATTCCCCACAAAAGTGGTAAGTCTGAAAAAAGGGGGAAATGAAATATTCAGAAGAAAAAAAACAATAAGTAACGATTTCTTCTCATTTGTGACTCAACATTACAAAATAAATCCAAATTCGCCTGACCTTACATAATCTTATACGATAGAAATAAATGAAACAATCAACACTTGTTCACATAATACCTGTATAAATATCGTGAAGATGTCAAACTTAGTTATACAAAAATGAAGAGCAAATTATGCGTTTGTCACTGCACGTGTAATTTTATAATAACTAAATATTTGTCATGAAGACCCAATTCGTGAGATCCAACATGTTTGAAATAAGGAAATCGGTATCTATCTTAGCCCATAATTCTCCTGTATTAACCGTAGACGAAGTTTATCATAGATTCTGTTTACTTTTTTGTTACTTAAAAAGAAGAAGACAAAACTGTTTGCTTAATGAAGCGGAAAGTTGCGTTCCGGGCCTGCAACTTCCAGCAGAAAACCATATTTTGGGATCAGAGCGTTATATTCAGAATCTGCACATTGAATTAAAAATTCTTTTCAGAACCAAACACAGTCACAACAGAGATTTGACATCCATGCTGCGACCACAAGCCTCCCATCCTCGGAGTTTCCACCACGCAAACCTTCAAATCTTAACTTCAGTTGACTTCTTCTCTTTTTTGCATCTTGTACGCAAATTATTCTTCACGCACTAGGTTGGTGACTGTTTTACACGAGTCTGGTGGTGCGAAGAATGCTTCTTGGACCCCCCACGATAGTCCGGCTGACGTCACTGACAACAGCGCGTGCGTAGTCGTCGATTATCAACAAGACGGGAGATTGCAGACAATAGACTGTAACGAACTGATGCCGTTCATTTGCCGCGTTCGCGCAGGTATGTTCTTAATTAGGCAAAAAGGACCGACAGCTTAATTACAACCACACAATAGACGAATACCAATTAAGTAAATTATTAAGAAGGACAAGCCATTGCAGAGTTATGAACAGTAAGGTATGTAAACGTAGGGCAAATCAGGTAGTGGAAATAATTTGTAGCTAGGGCCTATAGGACAAGGAATTCGAACCATTAAAAAAAAAATAAGGCCAATTAGTCGGGAGTTAGTAACTTTGTTTCTTTTGAGTGATCCTTCGGGAGCTCGTTAATTTTGTCTTTTTGCATCGTTTTTGTTTTCATTTCTACTGTGTTTGATGTCAATTTTATGGTACAGTTATATCCCGAGAAATAAAGAGAATGTAAAAGTAAACAATGGAGTTTGATAGTATATTTTTTTCACGTTCCGAGGCAAAAAGCCGGCCCTCCTTCTAGTTCGTTTTATTTTGCATCCTGAAATCCTAGCAAGATTAGCAAAGCTGGTCCCAAACTAGTTTGGTCTAAGTCTAGGTATATCTGAGACATTTTTGGGACCAACGTGAGGCTGAACAAGTCTAATTCACAATTGACCGTATAAAGTCAGTTAGTCAGTGACGTATTCTACCTCCATGGACCAATGAATAGACCTTTATCATGCTGCCACCATTTCAGTCATGTTCCCTGTATCCAATAACAATACTGAATGATAATTTTTTCGTGCAAAAAGGAACCAGTCTATTTTTCCTTCCAGCCTCGCTTTGGTTACGTTGATTTGAATGGGAAAAACCAAGATGGCCGCACATGATAATGGTCTATAGGCTGACCCTCATACCAGCAAAAATCGGCGTATTGTTTTTATTTTCTTTACCTGCACAGAGTTTTCTGAAAAGCAGATTGCGTTTTACAGTGCACTCGATGACACTTTAGAATGGCGGAGTGATATCGAATGGCCGGGTGAGTCGGTTCAGTGTGCATGTGATTACAGTAATCAGTCGTCGGCATTTTTTTTGTAATGTTAAGATCGCGTGCTGTCTGGACGAATGGTAGGAATTTTCTTTGAAACTGAAAATTTGTTGCTTTAATGAAGTTGTATTCAACACAAAAATGTGTTTACTTGGCTGCGTGGGTATACCTTTCTTCTCAAAACACAACGGATGAATAGTATACTTAATAAAAGCCTGATAGGGTGCTGTGGTCCAATGGTTACGGTGTTCGACTCGTGTGCCGTGGTACGTGGGTATGAATCATGACGGGGAACATGGTGCTTGTGTTCTTGAGCGAGGCACTTTACCATTATTGCTTCGTCTTTCGGATGGGACGTAAAGCCGTCGGTCCCGTGTGTTGTGTTATACCCAGTAACATTTATCGAAGGGGTTTGCCCCGGTGTTTCTGGCGGTGGCTGCAATATGCGCTTCAGCACCTTGTAAACCCTTTCAAAGGGGCGACATATAATGGGTCGTATATTTCTCATAAACATCATTTACCTGTCTTGAAAAATAGATTACCAGCGCCTTGAGTACCTAATTGTTGGTTTAGACACGTGCGCTATACATGTATAAGACACCGGTATTATCATTATTATTATAATTGGATGGGGCATCCAATTATAATCCAATTATATGGTCCAGCGTAATTGGACCACTATGCCGCATCAATAAGATAAACCAATTAGTCACAACAAGGCTGAAATTTATTTTCTTTGTTGCCGAAATGAACTGCTGATGTAACAGTATCCTGAACGAAAAGGCTATATGGTTGGGAAATATTGATTTCTTCTGATGATTAGGGCAGGTCCAGACCGGAAGAGAGTTCGGTGAATTATCTGGCGGTACATCGTAATAAGACAGTGATCATAACAGGATGACAATATTGAGTGTAATGATCTGGGAATGTTCTGTAACGACATTGTATTTGTGTAACTGGGCATGCGCCGTTGACAAGACTGAATATAGAATAGGTACGTTGTCCTGCATTTGTAGCACTAGGTTTCTTGTAAACACAGGGGCGGATCCGGGATTTTCCAAAGTTGGTTGGCTTGGGGCGTTGAAGTCCTAGATTTATCGAGGTGGGGATGAGGTGTTACAGTCAACACATGAAAAGACCAAAGGCCTGAAATCACGCATTAAGGATTGAAATGGAGATGACGTTGTTCAGGGAACTTAGAGACATAAAGGATCATTGGCTTTAATTTTTTATGCATTTTGTTCGTTTACAATAATAACTCCGCTCGAAATCCAAAGAAGAATGTTCAATGTCAAACCCGTTGAATTTTCAGAACAGTGGATATTACACTTTTCGTGAAAAAAAGTGGGGAAAAAAACAGTGAAAACCATGCACAACCTTTTGATCACAAAACACGATTTCGTTTTACTCTTTGTCCGAAAAAAAATCAGTCAGTTGCCTGATTGTTTGCAATGACCAATATTTCTGGATTTCTTCTAAATGACAGCAAGCCAGGCCAAATAATTTCACGGGGTGTTTAGTACCAGTGCGATTTTTAATCTAAGTAAGCTTTTTTTAATGATAATAATTGGGTAGGTTGCTTTTGGGATAAATGCAAATGATCCTATGTGTCGTTAAGGAAATGATGTGTCGTTAAGTTGTTGACATTTGTTCAATTACGTAAATGATTAACATTAGTCAGTTGGGGGGGGGGGGGGGGTTGGGCTTAAAGCCCCCGACCACCCTCTTGGTATCGGACCACCCTTGGACCTCAGTATATGAGAGAAACTTTTAGTCCTACCCAAAAAAACAAATCTGATCAGTGGCGCACCCAGGATATGGCTGGGGGGGGGGGGGGTGGTTCACAATTTTGTGTTCAAATTTTTTAGAAGTTTGAATTTTTTTCCAAAAATGTTGCCTAATATTTTTGGCCAAAGAAAAAAAAATGGTGTTTTTTTTTTGGGGGGGGGGGGAGGGGAGGACTATTTTGACGCCATTTACACCTCAATTATACTACTGGAAAATAGACCACATACATATCACCAAGGTCAAATCGTGGAACTAAAACAAAATTGACAAAAAAAAAAAAAAAACAAGCCACCCGGGACCCGGTGCGCCACTGAATCGGACCAAATATCTCAAAAACTAAACAAGCATTAATATTTTTATGATGACGTCAGGTGAGGGGCCGCCATTGGATCGTACCCCGGTGATCATCGTGGAGATCATACGGCAGTATCTAGGCGTGACGCCCACCCTGTATTTCTGCATCTGTGGAGTGGCTGCATTCTGTATCGTGGCTTCGCTCTGTTTCTTGGCATTTAACATCAAGTATCGCCAACAGAGGTATTAGAGTTCAAGTTTTATCATCATTTCAAAATTCCCGATATAATGGTGAAACATTCAGTCTTTTTAGACGAAAAACTGAAGGCTCAAAGACTTCCATCGTGTATAGTGTATACACGAAAGCACACTATACCATCCAACCCGCACACAACGTCAACTCGTGTATTACAACTTATTTGACTTGAGCTTCATTTTAAACCTTTCATTTAAATGTCACGTCCTTGCCTTGAAAATAGCGCGGGAGCGCAATTTTAATGAAGTTGTATTCATCAAAGAATGTGATTTCTCTGCAGGGGTAACCTTACTTCACAGAACAGAACAATGGGGTCTAGTTAACCTAATAAAATTATTCGTTGCACAGTTCTTTTATCCAATACTTTCATTAAAATCAGGTTCTTGGCTTTGAATACCTTTGAATACTTACGTGGCAGGTAAGGGGCCTTGATGGCATGTCTTGTACGCCTCCTGATGCCTGTGCCCATATAGTGCCCCAACCCTCCACGCTCAGAAATTTGGGGAAGGCAAACATTGTTATATTTTCATTGTTACAATTTCATTGAGTGCTTCCTCTGTTTATAGAAAATGAGGCTTCAAAGTTTCCCCCAAATGTTACAACAGTTTGTTGTCTTAAGACCGTTAAACTCCCATCCAGATTTTGCAAATGTTCTCTTCAATTTTTCTGTTCGTCCTCCCAGGCACGTGAAGATGTCGAGTCCCAATCTGAACAATTTGATCATCGTTGGTGCACTGCTGGTCTACATGTTTGTTATCGTTGCCGGGCTGGATACCAACCTTGTCTCCGACGAAGTCTTTGTTATTCTCTGCCATGTAAGAATCGTTTCATTCAAAACAACACATACAAAGTCTAAGTCAGTACTTGATCCATCTTGAACATTTCTCTAGGTTTTGTCGAGTGAAATACATTCAATCTCTTAAGGAAAACACGACGTAACAAAACGTAATTGTTTAAAGGCACGTAGGGACATTTGCAATTACCCGGAAATGTACCTACCGATTTTACGATAAAATCCTTGCTCAAAGTGAAGATAGGACTGGTACCAAATACCCTGTGAAATTATTCCGTCTGAAATGGTATCATTCGGAAGAAAACAATAATTGAAGGTGGTTTACGAATGTGCCCGCGCGCCCAAAAATTGTGCATACGTTTTGAAATTCTCCTTTTTTTGGTCAAAATGTAAAGTAGGCCCCCTATTATTATTAAGCACCCTTCTCAGGATTTTGAGCAAATTTGTTGCATCAAACGACAAGAAACTTGCACAAAAAGCAAATGTTCCAGTGTACCTTTAATGCAAGTTATCAATATTTTGGCGAGACAGAAATACAAAATGTTACCGAGTGAAATTCTCTATGCATTTGTTTACAGGTGAAGACATGGGTTCTATCCGTGGGTTTTGTGCTGGCATTCGGTGCGATGTTCAGCAAGACATGGAGAGTACATCGCGTGGCCGCCTTCAAAACTCCTAAACGAAGGGTAAAACCAGACTTTACTTTCAAAAATCAACTCGTCGACACCAACGTCTTCTTGTTCAACAGTGGAAGCTATAGAACCAAGCTCAATGCGTCATTAAATGCCGCTTTTTATTTTGCATTTATCCAAAAGTAACCTACCGAATTATTATCAAAAAGCTTTAAAGATCGTACTGGTACTAAACACCCCGTGAAATTATTCCGTCTGGCTTGCTGTCATTTAGAAGAGATCAAAAAATGTAGGTGATTTCCAACGATCAGTCAATTGACTGATTTTTGGAATAAAGAGTTCTAATGACGAAATGGTGTTATGTGATCAAAAGGTTGTGCATGGTTTTTCACTGTTTTCTCGAAAAGTGTCATATCCACGGAGCTGAAACTTCAACAGGTTAGGTTTTGAACATTTTTCTTTGGATCTTTAGTGGTGTTATTATTGGATTTGCCTTAAGTTTAAAGAATCCGCAAGGTTGCAAACAACTGCATACTTAGCACCTTACTTACGAAACTTGCATAAAGAAAATTGTCTGCTTTGATATTTTTTTTAGATCGTGACGGACGGGCAGCTTTTTCTCATGGTTTTTGTCCTCCTGTCGATTGACGTCATCATTCTGACGTTATGGCAGTTGATAGACCCGGTAGTCATGGAAACCATGGATCTCTATCCGCAGGTATAGGAAAATAACCAGTTGGGGCTGATTATGATCTTGGATCAGTGCATAAACGTAGAGGGCGCTGCGTGGCCAACTCACGAGTCCACTCCTGCATGCTCAACAACACTGATCAAAATCTGGATGCCCATTGGCTGTTGGAAGTGAAGTCACGGTCCGCCATGTTTCCACTCCGAGAACAATAGATTTGCAAAGAAATATATCTTATTTATTTGACGTGTACACTTTTTTTTACTCGACGTATTATTGTATTGTATGCAAAAATTAAAATGACAATAAAACATCTTGTATATAAGTTTTCTATTGAGAAAAAAAAAAGTTTCGTACGCTTTAAGACGGCTCTATTTTGATTTGTTTAAACGATGGGAGTGGTTAAGTCTGGTTCCCTCCCTGCTTTCGAATGGAGCGATAGGAACCAGCGCGTAGCTTCATTTGTATGTACAGCTCGGAATGGCCAACGACCTCTCCAGGTTTTTCTTACATGGAGATCAGTGGTCGTACCATGTCCTACCCAACACCCTCAGGCACTGGGTATCATCTCAAAATGATTTTATGAAGACAAAAACAAATATATTTAGAGTAACACCAACTCAATCACATGGAAGATAATTCATCAATATAACTACATTAATGTTTTCTCTGCACAGGATGACCCTGAGATTCCGAATCGTGTCATACAGCAATACGTACAGTTCTGTACCTGCGACACGTTGACGTATTGGCTAGGTGCACTGTACGGATACAAAGGATTGCTGCTGATATTTGGCACGTTCTTGGCGTGGGAAACGCGTAAGGTATGGTGTTCCATTTGAAACCTCTCTCTGCCTGTAGATGTTTGAATGATGGTCCAAACTTAGAAAGAAATGTGATGTTTTGGCAAATAAAGAATAAGGTATTTCTCGTAAAGCACACATGCATAAATAAACACCGGTATCTTATCAAACTACAGACCTTCGGCAAAACGAACGGTACAAGTTTGTTTAAATCATGCCTAAAAAATAGTTAGGTTGAATGGTATACATATTCACACGAGTGAACAATAAAGTGACTTTGCACTGCTTTAATTTCAAAGTATAGATGGCATTGATAAGCCAGAATATTAATGAAAGATATTTGGAATCTCGAGGTATGCCGGTCCTTTCCCAACGACGTCATTCTGAGTTTGCGCACTCCGCGTCTGCTCATATGAAGACTCTGATTCGTCTCCAAATCGGCTAAATTTGGTAAAAATGTGCCTATTGAAGCGATTTTTAAAATCACAAACAAAGAGACTGTTTAACAGTAATTTCTGCAATACAAAACCATGTAAACTCAATACCTACGTCAAGGTAATTTGAATTCAAGCATGTTTGTACACTCCAAAATGGCGTCGAGTCGCAGCGCCCTCAGTCGCCACAGGTTATTGAATTATTCATGAGATTATTGAATTATTCATGACAGGTGAGCATCCCGGGTCTGAACGACAGTAAACTGATCGGTGTCAGTGTCTACAATGTCATCATTCTGTGCCTCATTGGCGTGGCTGTCAGTGTCGTCATCAGTACCAATCCTGAGGCACTCTTCGCCTTCGTGTCCTGCATCATCCTCTTCTGTACCAGCATCACACTTATCGTGGTCTTCGTGCCTAAGGTAGGTTTCAATACCAAATACTTTAATAAAGAAATTGGGCACCATTTGCAAACATTCAAAAATGAAACTGTCCAAATATCACATCCCACTAGATTGTATAAGTAAGTAATAAAGGATCAAGCATCCTATACTACGCCTGATACTCCTGTACAAGGTAGTTGCAGGACTGGTTCCGGCCATCCCCTCACATCTATACCTAACACCCAGAAAACAAGGCAGAAAAATTCGGCCAAGAAAGATTGACGGTACATCCTCATCGAATACTATAGAAAGTTCCATCGCCATGAACTCCAAGTGCTTCAAAGTATCCTGGTGCAACACAGATCAACTTAAAAATTCATTCAATTATAGACTGGAACCATCTTGAGGAAAACCTTGTTCAAGCCGACTCGGTCAAGAGGTTTAAAACCCTCCTCGGCCACGGACCTCACTCAGTGTAACATCCCAGCGTGCACCCTCTCTCTCCGTTGCGTTAATGCCTGAATAGGTTTCTGCAACGTACCCATACAGATACAGATACAGATCCTAGGGAATCTTTAAGCCTAGAATGCTGTCACATTCAAGAAAAGAGGAACTATCACCGATTCCTCGCGATGATTATAGACCAAACCATCGCGCTTTCAAACATAATAATGCTTTGCATGGAGAAAGATGAAGAGGTATTTTCACAGTTTTCTCAAAAAGTATAATCATCTACGGAGCTGAAATTTCGACAGGTTGATTTTTTTAATGACCTGCTGTGGATTTATTGTATTGTTGTTCCTTGAATCGACAGAAACATTCAAATGGTGTCCATTACTTTTAACCATAGAAAAACCGGTTTTTTATTATCTTAAATCCGGAAGGGGGGGGGGACAAATTCCGCCGTCCCTTTGATCTGGAAAATGCAATAATATGACCAACTGCAATGAAATTTGGTCTGCTAGGCATTTATGCTTATATTACATAAGACATTTTGGCGACCCGCGTTGACGATTTTGACATTTTGCACGAACGCTACGTCCGATCTTTAGGTAACTTATGACCAACAGGTAGCAGTCTACAAATTCATTAAGACTAGACAGGAACAACAACGGCACATCGATGAAATCAGTAAATGTAAAAGGTACCAGAGGGGGCAGATTCCGTCCGGCCCTAGTGTGATGTAATGTCGTATCTTCTCTGTTTTCACGGCATTCTGCACAGGCGTGTCGTGAATCAAGAATGTACCATTGTCGCATGGGGGCGCTGTTGCCAAACAACAGACCCCCAGTCTAGGTCAACTTCAACTACATACAAAACCTGTAAAAAGAAAGACAATGTGATAATGAATTCCTTGAAAATTTATGTGAGATTTGGTATGGAACGTTCGGAAATCAACGCAGCCTTATTGATTGGTATTTGTAATTTCAGATCATTGCGGTAGTGAAATACCCGGATGGGGATCCTGCCCAATCCGGAATATCACGCTCTAAGAATGCCGTCAACAGGACGTTGAATAGCGGGACGGGAACAAACACGAGCTTGACCGCGGAAAATGACCAATTGAAAACGAGAATCCAAGAGGTATGCGTGGAGTTGCATTCCAGATTGTATCAAGCTCAACAATCACGTTTGTTCGTTGCCCATTTCTTCAGCAAATTGTCTTTCGTGTCCGTAAATTGTCCTAAGTTAATTAAATATGGTAAATTGATAGTTCATTTCTAATCACCTGGGGCCAATTTTATAGAGCTGCTTAATTAAGCACGAAATTTGCTTAAGCACAAAAACGTCTTGCTTAATAAAATCAGGTTACCGGCCAAAACTCCATGCGATTGTTATGCTAAATAAACAACAGCTAAATACCAGTCACAAGCAATGTACATCACATGGAGTTTTGGCCGGTAACCTAATTTTACTAAGCAATATTTTTTCGTGCTTAAGCAAATTTTCTGCTTAAGCAGCTCAATGAAATTGGGCCCTGTTTACTGTAGTGCACAGCCTGTGTAACGATACATGTTAAGAACCATGATTTCGTTTTTATAGCAATCTGTACACCTGTTGTTTAGTATTTTTCATCGCATTTGAATATTCAATTGTACTTAATTGAGAATAAGCAACTAACAAAAACAAAAGAGTTTCAAAAATTAAGACGTGTTTAAGCCAGTTGGACTACGCCCGACCCCTTCTGAAACAAAGTCCGATTCTCATCTCGAGTGGTATGTAAATAAAAATATCCATGCTCAGTAAAACTTAAGCTCAGTGCGTTTTGTTAGTATCGTTGTAAGTATTAAATAAAATAATATTAAACTAAATCGGGTGAATTCCGCCCTGCCCTTTCCAAATCTAAATATTTTTTTTAACAGTGTTCTTTTCCTTGTTTTAATAGTCGATGTTATGCATTTTAAGAGATATGCGTATAGTTATCGAGTTAATAATACGAGCAGATTGTATAAACTGACATAGAAAAGTAACCAAGAACAGACAAAACAACCTGACGAAATTGAAACCTTAGATAAAGTAAAGTAAACTTTCGGTTTGTTTTCTATTTACATGGGGAGTTGAAGCATTAACAATACTGAAATGCGGAAACGTTGAATTCAATGCCACTTTAATATGCACAAGCCTTATCGCGGTACAATGAATGTTCAAGACCGCCCTTATACGAATTGAGATATTTGTTCACGGTCTTTCCTGAATCTATGGTATATACATTTCCGCTTTCATGTTGTTCCACTTACGATTATATTCAGTGTAGCCATGCAGACACGATTTTAGGGACAAACAATAGCAAGTTCAACCTCATTAACACCGTGACATAAAGGCCTACCCGCAGTGCATAGTTCAAATGACTCCATGACATTCCATGTACATGTACATGACTCCATACTATTTTACTGATAATAGTATACAACATAGAACACCTCGCCTGTATTATATCCCTGATTCTAGTCCAGGATTTTGTGAATATTATGAGACTCAACTGAGCCGTCGCAAGAGCCTTGCCAAATGCTTGACATTCCATGTACATGTACATGACTCCATACTATTTTACTGATAATAGTATACAACATTGAACACCTCGCCTGTATTATATCCCTGATTCTAATATACAGGATTTTGTGAATATTATGTGACTCAAATTAAACTGAGCCGTCGCAAGGGCCTCGCCAAATGGATAACATTATTTTTATTCAAAATCTTCCTTGCCTTGAAAGCGCTGGTTCATTCATTGACAAAAATGTGACAAATCTAAATAATCTTCACAGAACCCCCCCCCCCCAATTACGTGTCTGTACAATGATTAAAGGGAATAGACATCATTTGCTTTGGCTGTCAATTTCAGAAATGGATGGATGGGGGGGGGGGGGGTATTTTATATCAAATGCTGTTACGCTGACTTGTTTGAAGTTTTGTGTTTGTAGATGCTAGAAAAACCAAGAAAAAACAATCATGTTCCCTGGTTCCTTGGCCCCACTTAAGATGAAACATAGCAATTTATAGACGTTAGGGAATTGTAAGGTCAGAGAACTAGTCTAGCAGGCTTGTACATGTTCACTAACTAAATTTGGTAAATTGGGGGCAGTATTTGAAAAAAAAGCCATTTTTTTCCCCAACGCTGGTCGGCCGACTATGTTTGAAATTGATACAAAAATACCACCGTTCTTGAAAATGACAGCACATCAGGTGCCATGATTTTACAGGATGCTTAAGACTGTCATTCACTAACAGTCCAGTTGGGTATATCATAATAATTTGTTAGTTTTGTTTTTTGATGTTTGCAAATGGTGTATCTTCCCTTTAACCTTATCCAACCTTAACTCCCCAGCTTGAGAGCCAGTTAGACGAGCTGAAGGGACGAGGCAGCTCGCGCGTACTGCCAGGGAACGGCAGGGGCTTTGGTTGCTGGACGTGTGGTCTGGTCTGTGGCTTTTCTCCTTCCAGGGACTATACTACTGAATCGGGAACCGAGGAGTCACAGCTGCCTGATCTTGATACTCCCGCTGGAAGTAGCACGGCAACCGCCAGAATGTAGTGCTCACCTGGATGCGGCTGAACTTAAGGGTCCATGAGATGAATTGTCTTAGGAACACGTTTTCTGCAACTTGCTACTCCTCTTAAATGTATGAAAGCTGATGCTGAAATAGCTATAACATTGAGGTTTCTGCCTGAAATGACACCACACTGTTACTCGTGAATATGGAAATTCGCATTAGCATAAAAAACCCAAAAGACACCTCAAGTCAAGAAATCAGGAAAAAATACCGACAACTCTCGCAAAGTAGAGGAAGTCGAGTGCAATTTCATCCAAATTTCTCAGAAATACAAGCTCAAGTTCAGAGCCGGACCCTTCATTGAATAAGTCCCGCAAGGGCAACAAAACTCTCTATTAAGAGAAGTAACTGCATGAGGGTAAGGAATTAAAATTGTCTTTAGTTAGCGTGGGTAATTTGGGATCCATTTACTGGCTTGCAACCCGAAAGGCATTTGAAAATGGCAAACCAACAACTGAAAATAAGGTTAAATGGGACACAAAGTCACATTTTCAAAGACTGCATTAAAATAATTACTTTGCATGGGTCCCACCCACCCCATCCCATCCCACCGTCATAATCAAGGCCCTGATTATCCAATAGGCATGTGTAAAATAAGGTATAAAATACGTTCCGGTAACTTTTGTGATTATTTGATCGTGTTAGGGTATCTGTGATGTACCGAAGTTTTGTGATTAACTATTGTGTCTTTGTTTTGTTGGAAGTACATGTATGATTATGTTATCACAAAACGTGTCTTTAAACATTTCACCGCAAAGTGTGTTAAGAATACATCCCTTCTTCAGCAACGACGACAAGCTGAATGTGTTGTAATCGAGTCCCTCAAGTCCTCATACGTCCATCCCAAGTCCTCACAAGTCCTCACAAGTCCTCACAAGTCCTCACAAGTCTCCACAAGTCCATCACAAGTCCTCACAACTCCTTGCGTCTATCATTATGTCTTCACAAGTCCATCACAAGTCATCACAAGTCCTCACAAGTCATCATAAGTCCTCACAAATGCAAAAGTCCTCACAAGTCCATCACTAAGTCTTCACAAATCCATCACAAGTCCGCCAGTCTCAATTTAAGTCACAAGCTGTTCCACTCAGGTGTTATTGTTCATCTCCTGTTACTTGTGACTGGACTTGTGACTGGACTTGTGATTTATCAATGATAGGACGTGTGATTAACTGTAAACTGTTTAACCAATGTACCATTCGGATAACAGGGTGCATAATCTTTGAATAGCTGTAAGAAAAAGTATTACTGGGAAGTATATTATTGTTCGCTGTAATTATTTTAAAGACATTTATTAGACTCTTCGTTTGGCACTTAGTCATTGTACGTAAGGACATATATATCGTTTAACTAAAGCATCAGCCATAGGCCTATCACCTGATTGTATCAAACAGCACCCGAAATAAGTCTTTCTTTATATGGAAAAAGTAGAAGCCTTTTTAAGAGCTGCACCCTATACAATTTTAAAATGGGAAGAATGTTGCACAAAATCGTAAAACTTGTTTCAAAACTGTAAACTTTGTATTAAAAGAAAGTTCGTCAGCCTCCACCTTATCCTAAAAATCGAAAGACAAAGGAAAATTCCACGCGATACGTCCATGTGAATAGTTATGCCACTCAACTTGAACATGAACTAATAATATGATTATTACAATTAAATATTTTATAAATTGCATGTATGACGATCTTTTCAATTTCAAAGAAGATACACCTTCAGTCTTCATCCTCCACATTACCACTAAATTCAATAGATGATGGCTCCCAATAATTTATCCATAATCCAAAATTTTCAGAGCTTTGCTCCAATTTATCGCCATGGTGACTTAATACAATTGTGCCAACAAGTTATATTTATGATTTACCATGAGTTGTATGTCGAAAATAAATAAGTGAACTCTCATGAACGATTAGCGATGTCCGAAGAATTAATCAGAGAGTTTAAAAATGAGGAAAAAAAGGAGAATAAAAAAAGAGATGGTGGTGGTGGAAACGTCCTTGAAAGACATTCCGGTGTTGTGTAAAATGTTGCCTTTATAATTATGAAATACGGACTCATTGGTTGCATTGCGCATGCCTATAATGGGCAGAAACGGAGCAGTGACGACAAGTCACGTGACGCCGTGATTTCACAGGAGTCCAAATTTCATACGACACCGATATAAACCCTGACTATTCACAATTGAGAGAACAGGGGAGGTCTCCATAAAATATCCCTCTGTTGTACATTCAAGTTTTTGAATTGAACAAACAAATTTCCCAAGGATTGCTCTTTGCTGTACTCCGTCAGTAGGTGGATCAGCTGCTGGATGTCCCGCCCCCCTCCGCGGAACAACTTACCGGCGAACCCCACCGGGTAAAACTCCAGCGTGACCCAGTAGTTCGCGCCTTGCTGCCGGATGAAATTCCGTATTGTTTGCAGGTAGTTGGGAGGCGCTCTCAGGTCGTATGATAATTGGAGGTAGAACTCCGAACTATCCCTCGCGTAGGCGAGGAGAAACGCGTTGTCCAGATTCATCTTGACGCGGCCGGAGAGGAAGGAGTTCCCGAGGGCCGAAAGGTTCGGGTAGAAAGATCTTGGGGCTTCAATCAACTGCAAGACGCTTCCCTGAACGTGGTCGGGGAAGCTAGATACGATAGCGTGAGCTGATTGTCGGAAACCCACGTCCAAGGCACTCGTGAAGATCACAATGGTCACTTGAGATTTTAAGAGCTCACTGGGAGTGTTCTGAATCAAGGATTCCAGGGTTTTTCTGAGGTCGCTCTTTCCTCCCGACCGGGGAGTAAAGGGGATGCCGATTGTTAGAAACCCTGCGAAAGAAAATAACACCAATACTTCGGTAATTCAGACTATTTAAAGGCACATTGGATCATTTACTTTTCATGCATTTTGTTCGCTTCCACTAATGACGCCACTCAAAATCCAAAGCCTAATGCTCCAAGACTTAATCTGTTAAGGTTTCAGCTCTGTGGATATTACACCTTTTGAGAAAACAGTGAACAAGAAAATGCACAACCATTTGATCCAAAGATCAGTCAATTGACTGATGGTAGGAAATGACCTACATTTCTTGATTATAAATGACAGCAAGCCAGACGGAATAATTTCACGACGTGTTTAGCACCCGTATATGATCTTTAATCGAAGTAAGTTTTTTGATAATAATTTGCTAGGTTACTTTTGGGGTAAAGTCAAATAATCTTGCATGCCTTTCGGGTTGCAGGCCAGTAAATGGATCCCAAATTACCCACGCCAACTAAAGACAATTTCCTTCCTCATGCAGTTACTTCTCTTAATAGAGAGTTTTTTGGCCCTTGCGCTTGAGGGCTTGTAGCAATGGTTCTGAAATTGAGCTTAATGTATGTCTGAGAAATTTAGATGAATTTGCACCCGAAAGTCCTCGATTTTGCGAGAGTTGCTGGTATTTTTTGCCTCAATTCTTGAATTGGGGGTGCATGTACGTCGTTAACGTCAGTGGCAATTTTCTGGTATCTGTTCCCTATCGGATTATGCATAATAATTCCCTTCCCTGCTCACTGAAGCACAAATCCCCAACACATTCTTCATGTGACACGATCGATGTCAGGCTTTCCACTTTACCTTAGACTTGACTCAAGTCGGAATTGCTTTAAGTCAGTATCTTAAAAAATGAGTAAAGAAAATCACAAAAATTACTTAGTTTACATATTTCCGAGTATAACAATGCGTGAACACTGTATGTACATTATACAACACGCGTATGGCCATGGGTCGCTGCATCACTTAAAAATAATACATGTCCGTTTTTAACGTGAAGGTCCGAATTCGACGCATGAGGGCGCGCGTTATGGTATGGACGTACGTATGCGCTATGCGTGGATTTACCACAGGCACACACCGAGCGCAACCCAGACTTAGGCAAAGTCTAACTGTACCTTTGCTTTTCCTTCGATGACCCATCACCAGAGCTCTATCTTTGTCGAGGTTCATCAGATCCATGCAACACACTGCAATGGGTGACGCATCCAAACTCTGTCAAACAAAGTCAAATCCCATAGATTCAGAACAGATATTAAGTGGAGCACTGCAAAAACATCGGTGTTAAATTGAACACCAGTGGTATCTATACAGGACTATGGGTGTAAAACGTTTGCACCACTAGTCCTGGTTACCACCAGTGACCTCAAATATTTGGCAGTGAAATTTGGATGGTTCCAAAATTCGAATGCACTTGCGTTTCGATTTCCTCTTGTTTTACTATTAAACATCCTTACAAGAAATCAAACAAGATTTGATTAACCGGTAATAAAACGTTAAAGGCATATATGATCGTTTGCTTTTTCATATATTTTGTTTGTTTCCAATAATAACTCCACTGCAAATTCAAAGAAGAATGTTCAAAACCTAACCTGAGGAAGTTTCAGCTCAGTGCATATTAAGCTTTACACTTTTGGAGAAAACAATGAGAACCCATGCACAAGCTTTTGATCATGAAACACGGTTTCGTCAATAGCGCTTTTTATTTCCAAAAGTCAATCAATTAACCTGAGTGATCGTTGGAAATCACCTACGTCTCTTGATTTCTTCTAACGGACAGCAATTTCACGGGCTGTTTAGTACCATTTCGATCTTTAAAGAGGTTGTGGAATGCTCGAAGACATTTCCGTCATTTTTCGGGTATATGTAGCCTAAGGTGTGATGAAATAAAAACGACTATTGTGTCTGTCATGAAATGAGTACAAAAGGTACTTTTGAGAGCTGTTTTTCAGGTCCTGTTTCGACCTGTTCCAACATAGTAAATCGTGACGTAATAAACAGGACTCGTGTATACTACACTGCATCGGGAGTCCTGTTTATTACGTCACGATTTACTATGTTTTGTTTGCTGCCCCCAACGACGACTTTTACACGAATTGCACGTTCGGGTCGAAACAGGACCTGAAAAACAGCTCTCAAAAGTACCTTTTGTACTCATTTCATGACAGACACAATAGTCGTTTTCATTTCATCACACCTTAGGCTACATATACCCGAAAAATGATGGAAATGTCTTCGAGCATTCCACAACCTCTTTAACAATTCGGTTGGTTACGTTTGGGATGAAGGAAAATGATCCTACATGTCTTCAACGGGATATTATTGGCATTATTTCTAACCTTGCTTTGTTCACTGCTGACCTGTTGTGTACTGTTTATTCTTGTCTTTTCTTGCCGAATTCCAGTTGGTGGAACACTTCGAGTCGTTCCGATATCCTTTTTAGGTGCCTCCTCCTTTACATGTAAAATGCCACTCCCTACAATATTGAAAGATGACATAGGCTTTTGATTTGGTTTGATCTATTCCCAAATATCACAAATACAATAATGAACAACATTTAAAGTTACAAGAGTATACAACAATTAGGTGATGAATGGTGGAGGCTCGTAGAAAGCCGATGCTTGTACTTAGCCAGGCCCGAAGGCTCCCCGTGAATAAACAATTAAATTAAATATAACAAAATAAGAAGAAAAAAAACACCAACACTTAAATCAGTATTCTGTTTTTAAAAAAAATGGGCAAATGGGTTGGTATTTTCCCCATAGTTGGCCAACACAGCCACCGCCGACGCTCTTGGGTAAATTCTTCCCAATAGGTGGTCCATTTTTACCCGAATGAACCAATGATGAGGTAACTTCATACCAATGTTGGGCAAATAACAATGCCAACAGCGTTTGGCCCATAGAGCTCTATGTTCAATAACTGGCTCGATGTACAAAGTGATGCCTGCTGGGCGCACCCATATTTGTGCACAAACCATATAGAGCTATATAAAATTAATTTAATATAGCTCTATGGCACAAACCTATATGGAAAACTCGAAATTTTGTAAGGCTTTTGTACGGCTATTTGCATATCTGTTTTTTTTTTTTTAATATTCTATACAGGTGCGTTATCGAAGCCGATGCGCCCAAAACCGAAACGCACAATCAGTAAATAAGCGTTTCAATTTGATCCGCGGAAACCCATGGCGCAAACCATTATTATGGCGCGTTTTAACTGCAGATGAATTTGCCGTGCATATGATTTTGTCGTTTATAACGCATACTTTATTCGTAGCGTGTTATACGTGGCTGTGCTTTTAGTTACGACTGACAGAAACAACTGTAATACATAAGCCAAATCATGTTTCCAACATGGACATTTTCAGAGTCATTTTGCAATGTCTCCTTCAGTAGAGTGTCTGTCGGTGAAGTTTACGAGTTTTCAGCTCAGGCTCGGACGCATAATTTGTATGGGGAATTTGGTCCGCCTACCCTCGCATCCATGGTCTCTGAACCGTACCCCAGTTGGGTGGTGTGACTTTTTTATGGCATGAATAAATAATAATAATCATTTCTCATGACATACTCTGACTGTGTGCAAAATGCCATACTTGTATCGTGAGGCGCTTATCACATCACCAATCGGCAGTACTATAGCGCCCGTAATTTAATATAGCTCTATGTTTTTACCCAACCTTTATGTTTACAACGTAAAGATGTGCTTACAGGGTGGGTTTTCTTTAAAAAGAATGAAAACGGGTGTTTGAGAATGAGCAGATTTTGACAATTGCTTTGCGCCGCTTGATTGTTTTTGAAGGACCGCCTCGTCTCACTTATATGACTCTATTTCAACAATGTACATTTTTCGTGCAGAATGTATATCTTTATAGGCCTATTCTGTTTGACTTCAATGTTGATTATGATGTATAGGTCTTCTTCGTGGTCGTGATAGTTCGTCAATTTCCATTCTTATTTTGCAAGTGCCAGTAGCACAAAGTACATTCATCGAGAGATAATATAAAATGGTTGATAGGCCGTTTTTATATATGGCATTCACCAACCCACACCAAAGAAGCAATGTTCAGTCCAGTCCATGGCTTACCCCAGTAGTTCGTACCCTTCACCAGTAGCAGATATGCCGGTGTGAGACACAATATCACCACAGCTACGACGACTGGTATGCACGTCCACCTACACTGACGGCGCATCTTGACTCCCGGCCTATCTACATTAAAACTTGTGAATAAAATAGAGAAAGAATGAGCGTGAAGTTCAATTCAAGGCAACAAAATGGCGGCGACACATTAACTCAGGGGTCGAATTGTCCATTCATGCAGCTAACACGCAGCCATGGGATGACTATTATCGGGAGTTCACAAAAATCGAATCGGAACAATACGGATATAAAATCGCTCCGGCGGTGTGTCTATGTGTAAAGTGCACGTAATTGCGCATGTCATTAAATCGGGATTACGAGTAATAATTATATTGCCATGTCGGTGGCGCGGCTAATGGAAATAACAGTCATACAAGGAATAATGTACCAGTCGGTCACAATTCTTCGTAGTCTGGTATTTCGAAAAAAAAAAAGTCCATGCTTATTTGGCAGGGCAGGTGTCATTAGCATACAGCAAACATTTACAAGGAAAATTTATTATTATTTTCATTATTATTATTTATTCAGCCAACAAATGAACAAAAGTACAATGACAAGGCAAATATATATCAAAAAGTAAACAAAATTGGAAATAAAAAAAGTATGACCAGGCAAGACTGAAGGATGCGAGAAGGAATGGGGGGGGGGGGGAGGGAGGGAGGGTGGACAGTTTGACAAGGGAGAGGAGATAGAGGGATAGAAAACAAGGACAATATAACATTCCAAACCGGCCAGGGTAAACAAAAGTGTACTTAAACACTGTAGCCCTAAGGCCTGCCTAGCCATGCTCGAAATGTCTACACAAAAATTAAATAGATCTTCAACAAAATGTATACAATATAAGTATAAATATATAAATGAAAATTTGGTTAGACTTTTGAAATAAAGGTTCATTATCCAAAAAATTATGCGGATGGAAATTATGTTCTCCTTGCAGGCCCTAGAGAAGTTGTTCATTAGTAAAACGACGTAATCAAGGCAATTTCTGTATTGTACAGAATTCTCCCGGTGATCCCAAAAAAGCCCGATAGACATGGGCGTCGCGAGGGGGGGGGCAAGGGGGGGCACTTGCCCCCCCCCCCCCTGGAAAAGCAACAAAAAAAAAAAAAAAAATAGGAAGAAAAAAAAAGAAAAAAAAAGAAAAAAGAAAAAGAGGCGCGAAGACAAAGTGGTGTAAATTTAATGAGTGGGGGGGGGGGGGGGCAAACTGTCCCTGCCCCCCTCTAAAACTGATAAATCGAGAATGTGTTGAGAAATACAAGCATTTTTTGTCAAAAAATTGTTTTGCCCCCCTCTAAAAAAAATCCTGGCGACGCCCATGCCGATAGAGGAGCGAATCACTCTGTGACGAACCGTTGGACGTGAGACGCCTTGGGACGATCAAGGAGGGGAAAAATAAATCAATGATGCAAGATGAAAACACGAGGAGATGAGGGTTTACTGCATCCAGGGGAAGACTGGTCAACACAAGAAGGGAACGTGTCACAGTCTGGCCCCATAAAGATGTATATCATTATTTTAAAAATACGCGAATTGATTTCGCTGTATCTTCAGGGATCCAGACATGGGTCAAGGTCCCATACATATGCATTCAACACAAGTGTACTGAATGCATAGAAACTACAGAGTTATTGATAACAAAGCCAACGTCATAAAAATCATGGTTTAGTCGTTGGAATGGAAGTCCAATATAATGTTACTCGAATTTAAAATTCGCTTAGATCACACAAAATTAACACAACAAAACTTTAATAATCCATGAACAAGTGGGAGAATATTCAAGAGTTATTTGCTCTAATACTTACACGTCGAAGAAACGGAGAACGGTCCTGTGTTATTAAGCGTAATATACTGCGCGGAGCTTCGCATTTGCATGCAACACAACACAAATATTGTTATGGAAATGTAAGGTAGCAGAAGGTTAAAGCCGGCCATATTGAATATGACTGTTCTTGATTTTATTCAGCTTGTTCAATTGTGGTGCATTCAACCGTTAAGGACGTAAAATTGTATAGAGGCTTCGTGGTATGCATGGAACAGTTAAGGCAACTACATGTACACGTATTCAAAATTGACAAGGCAGGATATACCACACAGGTCGACTGGGATAGTGTGCGTCATCACAGAAATATACACCAAAATCAAGAACAAATCAGCTGGCTGCTTCCTGCATCCTTCAATAATTAAACTTTCGTAAGTATATCTACATTGCCCGATGTCAACTTGATAGAAAGATGGCTTGAATGTTCGAACAATGTTTGAACTCACTGACTTAAAGACGGAACTTGAACTTCGTAGTTTTTGACATGCCTTGTTTTAATTTCTACCGAAAAATGACGCAGACTTTCAGATACATCTTGAGAACCATGCATGAAGTACATGTAGTCTAAAAACATATGAAGACTTGGTTAATTTTTTTATTTGTAAACAACTGCCGGTACAATCGAATCGGTATGAATTTGTAAATCACCTGCTGTGTATACACTGATTGATCTCCTTTTTCCCGACAATATAACAGGTATGTTTGTGAGAGACCAGACGCAGAATGAGACAGAGGGAACGGAGGATTCTTACAGCATTCTGGGTGGTTTTTGCGGCGGTTGTCCTGACGGCAGTTTATTACATATTCACGATCAGAGACGACGGAGGGGGTAAGTCGGGCGATTGGAATATCTTCAATGCCTAATCCACGAATGAAACGCTTTCGTAAAGATCGGGCCCGAGACCAGGTTCTTCTTTTTACCTAAAAAGTGTTTTTTTTATACTGTATTTTTCGTATGCCTTGACAGAAAAAAATGGACTTAGCCGGCCCCACCTTCTTTCTTCGGGCACAAGATATTTTCTAACACTGCATAATTCATGACAATGATTGATCACACTGCAAATAAAACTCGATATTCTCAAGGGGATATAGTCATGGCAAATAATAACAGTAACAGCTGTGAAATACTTAAAGAGAATATACATTTCCAAACATCAAAAAACAGAACTACCAATCAGAAATACCTCACTGGACTGTTAGTGTATGACAGTCTAAAGTATCCTGTAAAATCATGGCACCCGGTGTGCTGCCATTTTCAAGAAAAGTGGTATTTTTGTATAAATTTCCAGCGCTGGTCGGTCGACAAGCGTTGGAAATTTATACTGGCTTTTTTTCAAATACTGCCCCCAATTTACCATATTTAGTTAGACCACGCTTTCTTTGCAATTGATTACACACCTATGAACGGGTACAAGCCAGCTAGACTGGTTTCCTGACTTTACAATTCCCATACGTCTATCAATTGCTCCGTTTCTTCTTCAGTGGAGTCAGGGAACCAGACTACAGGAACATGATTATTTTTCTTGGATTTTCCAGCATCTACGAACACAAAACTTCAAACAAGTCAGTGTAACAATATTTGCTATAAAATACTAACCCCCAAAACCTATCCATTTCTGAAAATTACAGAAAAAGAACATGTTCTACATGTTTATTCCCTTTAAACAGCTACCTTGTATTGATTTTCTTTATATGCAACCATTATTTCTGAGGGATTGAATAATGTGCCTTTTGTTGGGCACTATAGCGACTAGATAAAATTGATTTTTAATTTTTTTTTTTCCCCGGCACAATTTTTAACGCTCAATTTAAAGCAATTTTTATGCTCTCCGCTTTTAAAATAACGTTTACTGTGCAATGTTAAATATAGGTTACACGCATGTATATGATTTTATCTATTTCATTTTAACGTTAAAATAATGTTTATTGTTTTATTACTCCTACTGGGACCCATGGGAGATCAGTTTCTGACAAAAGGACTGAATGGGCCACCCAGTATAAAGAAGAAATAAATAAATAAATACCTCAAAAAATCCTTAGAAATGTTGTTCGTGTTATTCTCGAATTCCCGTTTTCTGTTTTATTCCACTCAACTCCAATATGAATGTCCCTTTCTCTGTACGTACGAATCCACTTATCATGTACATTTAATGCATCGTGTTACCGTAGCTAAATTTAATTGCCCAGAAGCCATTTTGAAACCCGGAAAATAATCTGAAATTCCCAGCAATGCTTTTGGGCAAACTTTAATTAATTTTTGACCATACTTATTTAATTGTTCACTGCATGCGATACAGCAGGGTTTTTTTTTATATGATTGCCTTGAATTGTGCACGCTGCACTCATATACGTCTCGATAACAATGTTAACAAAACAAAACAATGGGAATCGATAAGGTGACAGCTGGACAAGATATAAAATTAGAAGCTTAAATTATGTTAATAAACAAAACCCCAGAGGATTCATATTTCGGCGACATAGATTCGAAAGAAAGCGGGCCAAACTCCCCATCAAATTATGCGTCGAGCCTGAGCTGAATAATCGTAAACCTCACCATCAAACACCCTACTGAAGGAAACGTTGCAAAATGACCGTGAAAATGTCCATGTTGGAAAACATAATTATTTGGCTCATGTATTACACTTGGTTCTGTTTGCCATTACTAAACACAGCCACGTATAACACGCTATGAGTAAACTATGCATTATTAACGATCAACCCAAGCGTGACGTGAATGAATATTATAAGCGACACATGCACACAGGAATCTATAAGGCGGTAATAGCCGGTAGGCTTATTTAGGCAGCCTTGCCATTGTAATTCCCAATGCGATTCATAATGGTTTTACCAGGTCATGGACAGGTCGAGCCACATCCACTGGAGATCGAGACAAAACTGAAAGAGGAACGTGTTATCAAGCAGAAAATAACCTTTGATACGCAAAAGAGGATAGAGTTGGAAGTGAAGAAGAGCAAAGACGAACCCAAGAACAAGGTATTGTGATCTGAAAAAAGTAAAACAATAAGCCTCTGTACTAATGACGTCACCACTTTGTTTACATGTGCACTTTCCTATGGAGCCATGGGGGCCCAAGGTCCACTGAGCACCATAGAAAAGCACACACGTAAACAAAGTGTGACATCATTAGTACAGAGGCTTTTTTACCTTGCTAATCCAAAATTAAATGCTATTACTTAGCACTCGTCAAACGCCGCATGTCAAACTTGTTCTCAAATTTTAGGGGCGTGAGCATTTTGGCCTCTTGTAAGTACGCTCTTGGTCAAAAACACAGTATGCGCGTACGACCTGCGCGCGAGGGTAGTGCCACCCTGGCCTCTAATATTGTGACCGGATTGCTTAATACTAAAAGTTATTGCCTCGTAATTGTGTCTTATATGAGGCCTGCTTGGGAGTAAAGACTAGCTCCAATTTTATTAGCCAAATGCTATGGAAGAGAAAAATCCTAAAACGAAATGTACCACAAGAGGGCGCCTTAGTTATTTTATGAGGCGGTGTACGCAGTGGTAGTAGTAAACAATAACTAAAAATCTTTAAGTTACATTTCTTTGAAGCTATTTCGGCATATAGGCCTGCCCTTATGTATCGGTAGTAATCCTTAAGCCCGGTTCGTACTCGGCGCGAAAGCGAAAGCCAACGCGAATTTGTGATGTCATGGGAATTAAGTATTCGCGCTGCGAATTCGTAAAAGTTGAACATATTTCAACTCGTGTGAATTTCGCAGCGAATGCTTCGTGACGTCAAATTCGCTTCACATTCGCATTCGCGTGAAGTATGAACCGGGCCTCAGCCATTGTTGATTCTGTTCTGTACCCCGTTTCGAACAGACTGGCCCGCTGCCCGTTGGACCCCCAGTGATGGGCTGTATGGACCTAGAGCACATCGACAAGGAAAAAGCCTTGGTGATCGGCCATCGTAGGAAAGACAGAGGTAACGTAAGGCAAGATGCATTAGGGTATGCTGACAGATTCTTGACTGTAAGAGGTCCAGAGCAATCTAGTCTGGTTCTAGCTGTTGCGAATAAATATAGCCTGGCGTCAACGAAATGTATATTCGGTAAACTTCGGACATTTTCGGAATTGGGCAGGACCCTGCTCATTTTGGTCATGTTTATTTTTAGCCGTGGCGGGTGCCCGACAAGATGTGTCGAAATAATCTGGAAATTTGGTCTGGGATCCAGACTGTTGCGAACTTCGAAAAATGAAAATGGCTGGAAGAGATGTTTATTTGCTGCCATCTTGCTTTGAAAAATATTCATTTTTTATGGGCTCAAATATCGAGAGATTTTACTGGAGGCTTCTACAATTCACAAATTTGCGGCTCACCAAGTTAGTTAGCATAAAAGCAGGAATGACACTGAGACGAGATCCAAGTTTGGTTATATATTCAAGGGAGGAATAAGTTCATTAGGATTAAGATAATGTACTGCATTGCGGATTTAGTTGAGGTCATTGGGGTGGCTGAGTGTCTTCATAGGCCTACTAGAAAAATCACAAACTTCCTTTAAGTTTCCTCAAATTACAATCTCGTCAATCACAATACATTTCTTGGACTTGAACAGTTCGGCCAAATCGTGAATGCACCGCTATGGCCTACATTGGAGTTGACTGCCAACAACAACAAAAACAAAACAAAACACGTGAACCTTTTTATTCATGATAACTTGTTCACATTCCACTGCAGGCTTCCTCACGATTGGTATAACCAACGTCAAGCGCAAGAACGCCAGCTACCTGAAACCAACGCTCCAGTCTCTCATCGACAACGCCAACGAGGAAGAGAGATCCAAACTCCGCATCGTCGTCTTCGCTTGTGATTTAAAAGATGAGGATCGGCAAGAGGCCCGAGACATCGTCTCCCACAGCTTCGCCGAGCACGTCCAGAGCGGGTTGCTCCAGCTGATTCAAGCGGACAAGTCCTTCTATCCGCCCCTCGACAAGCTCAAGCAAACATTTAATGACCCGATGGAGAGGGTTAAATGGCGGTCCAAGGAGAACATCGACAACGTCTTCCTCTTCGCCTTCTGCGTCCAGATGTCCGATTATTACATGTTACTTGATGACGATCTTGTGACCTTCCCAGGTTACATCCAGACGATCCGAAACTTCATCACGAAGCACCAAGGAGATCACTGGATACTGCTGGACATCTCAGAGAGGGGCACGGGTAAGCTGTTCCGGGATAAGGACTTACTCCTGCTGGGACGGTACCTGGTCCAGTTTTACCAAGAACAACCCGTGGATCTTCTACTGAACTCGATGATGAGACTGCAGGATCAGGGCAAACACCACGTGGTGGAGCCCCCACTGTTCAAACATTTGGGGGTGGTGTCCACGTTAGCGTTGAAAAATAAAAACGGTGGAGGCTGAAAACGAACCGATTCTGAACTTAACAATATTACTGTATAGAGCCTACAGGTTGTTCAACCAGAGACAGTCGAATCGGGCAGTTTTGCAGAAAAGTGGGGGGTAGTATTCAAAGTCGTGTCTAACGTATTGCTGAGTTAGAATAATTGGTCTTCCAAATGCTTTTTAATTAGTTTCATTAGGATGTTTTGTTCAAAATATACAGCAATCACAATACTGGACTTGAAAATGGCCACTTTTTTTTATTTATCAAGTTTACAGATCGAAGCCGGTCGGATAAGTCACACGTTACTCTTGAACAAAGGAAATAAATCCTTTGTGTGTTTCTCTAACTGCGCTTTCCCACTTTCAACGGAAAGTGGCCCAAGATGATGTTCAACCCTTGAGTTCAATGAAGCATGGCGTTTGTTCCAATGCATCGATTTGAATGAAATGAAGTTTTTTATGGTAGATTGGTTATCTGACTTTAAGAGGTATTTTGAAAATATTCCAAAACTCACATGCCTTTATTATTTGGTTTTCGACTGTTAGTTTTTGTGTGTGGAACAACCTGTACTACACAAGGGGGAAAGCGTATACTGTGGTACTCGTCTGATTCGCTCAACTTTTTTGTAGTTATAAGCCTAAAGATTCGTAGGATTCTGTTCTCTCGTATGAAGTAACACAATTGCTCAAAATCGTAAGTAGGGTCGACTGTAACTGTTGTTGATAAGCTCAGTGGCTAGTGTACATTTTGAGAAAGCAGAGACAAACAAGCACATTTTGGGGGCCTTCTAACAAGATTCCGTTGATAATGCTTGTAAAAAAGTGTGCTGTTTTTAAACCACCTTCAATTATTTTCTTTCGATCGAAACCACCTCTGTCAGAAGAATGTCACATGATATTTTGGTATTAGTCCTATCTTCAATTTGAGCAAGGGTTTTCTTATAATTCAGTAGGCACGTTCCTTGAAAATTACCAATTGGTCATACAAGTCTTTAATGCAAGAACTTCCAAGCCGAAAATTGAAAAAAAAAGAACCGCACGTCTTTTTTTATACGTGATAGTTCCATCAAACATTCTTTTAAAAAATACTGAATTGTAAATATGACAATTAAACAAAGAAAACGTTTGGATTTAAAAGGAAAGGTGAGTTTTGAACGGTTCGGGCAGAGACAATTTCATAGTTTGTTTGTAGTTATTTTCTTATTCTGAAAGACTTTCAATCGTCTCGTTTTCCTCTGACTTTCTAGTCTTTAAACACTCACAAAAAGAAGATGATTATACGAAAAAATCTCAAACTGAACCCGAAGTGTGGCAGGCTGGATTTACGCTGTAAGAGTGTCCACTATTTGGTCTGGTCCTTTGACTGATATATAAGGTGGAATGAAATGGAGATTTGTATTACTATACTCACCCCTTAATTTCAGCTAATTTGCTTTATTTAAATCACGCAAACTGGTTCGAGGTTAAATCGGCCGATCGTCTCCAAATGAACGGGCTCTTTCAACCACGATAATGCAAGACCAACAACTGGTCTGTTGACAAAGGAACAATTTTGGGATTAAAAAATACTTTCAACCCCCCAAAATGATGACCAACAAAAAATACTTATTGTTTGATGTGTCAGCGTCAGAATTGTGGAAGTTATTTGGAACAGAACATTTTGTTGGCTAGGTGACTCATTTTCAGTACCAAGGGAGTGAAGCTGAAACGAAGACACGAGGCCCGGCAGACTTAGTCTGGTTCCCGGTCTCTGCGCTGTCCTTCGGAATTCGAATGTAGAGACTAGGTGGGCAATAGATTAGGAAACATTATTAGGATTTCCTCCTAATATATGCAAATTACATGCAGGACGAGAAAGATATACCCATTATGCAACAAGGTCCGATTCCCGGCCCCTGAATACAAAATCACAAACGATAATGTAAGCGCGGAACCAGCCTATTGCAAAATGGCAATTAAGGCTACCACTAATGGCAGTTTGTGGGGTGATGAGTTTCGATTTTCGCTGATTAGAGAGTGTCTCTGGCAACTACAAATACAGAGAGGGGCACTGCTTTTCAGTATTTGAAACCTATGCAATTGAAATGATTGAAAGTTGCCTTCGTGCAGACACTGTGGCGAATTTGCCCACTGAGTCAGTTTTTTTGATAGCCATGTGTACAACTACCATCCATGCGCGAAGTTGCATAAACACCATTTTCTAAAATACATATATCATACTGCACACGCGCAAAGCGATCCAATCAATGGCTTTAAATGGGACTTAGCCACCAATCCCCATGTTATGGGAGCGGGAAACAGTCTACGGCAGACTAGTCGTGTCCTTGTCAGATCACACAGGACGTCCATAACGGGTGTCCGTGAACTTGAAAAAGAACAAATACACCATCCTTCCATACACTTAATTACAAGCGAGAGTTTCTGCTCACGCATGGCTCTTATGCGAAAATAGAATAGCAGTCTGGCTAACGACTTTGGGTTGCAGGGTTTCGGTGAGAAAGTTCGAAATCAAATCATGTGCAGCAACGAAAGATTGATATTCTTTATAAAAAAAAAAACCTACTACATAACTTTAATAAACATCATGCACACAGTTCATTTTGCCATTGAGGAAGGAACTTACAATAATATGTTCTTACGGAAATGCAGTCGACCACATAAAATAAACAATCTACAGGCGAGTTTTTTTTGCAGTAATACGCTAGATTTATATGCACAGCCATAGGGGTGTAGGACAATATTGCATACGCGGGCCAAATCACGATTTGTATGCGCTCAGTGTTTTTTGTATTATGGCATTTTATGAGCTATGAACGTGAGGGTTTGTTAAAAAAAATTGTATTAAGTGAAGCCCTAAATTTGCTCTATTTTGCAATGGAGCGGAGGCGTCATTTTTTTTTTCAAAATGGCGATGGGCTTCATGACTACTCCAGTTTACTAAGGGGTGGTCATCTTCGGATTACCCCCGCCAATTGAACTGAAAAAGCAAGATGATGAAATGAGCTTTAATTTGATTGGTGTCTCAAACACCTTGGAGAGTTGTGAGTATTTGTCCTAATCTTAAAAAGTGGGGGTATTTATCACTGGGGTCTATGGCAGTTGATTGACTAGTCTGCAAACTTATATATGCACAGCAGTAGACATACGGTTTCTGTACTTTTGTACGACTGTTCGATGCGCATAAAATGGTTACCAAACATCCCAGTGAGTCATGGGAAGTCGTTCTAATCATGAAACTAGGGTCTAATAATATACACAGAATAGCCTTGTATGCAGGCTGACATCAGTTGGGTAAGTGGTGTGGTGTTATTCCCCATACCTAAAAGTCAGACGGTGAAGGAGGAAAACAAACACACAGCAAGCGTGGCAACAGTAATAACTGAATAAAATCGTGCTCAGCCTGTGATTTCCCGTATAATCCGCGCACATGTTGTTTATAACAGCAGCTTTATCGAGGTGAAATATAATAGTGAAACAAAACTACGAACCATTCGTCTGTCTCGCTGGTTCCCCGGGATCACATATCCAAACCGATATCTATATGCCTAGATCAGTGCCTGGCATATCAGTATCTGGAATGTACGAGTTCTTATCGAAACAGCGGTGAGATGGCTGCGGAGTGAAAGGAAGATGTAAATGATAACCAACCTTTGACCTTGTATGTCCTGTTCGTAGACGATGTGTTGCTGTAGGCTACGTTCATGTACCAGACCAACAGGGTGAGCGCAAGTATACGCACCGGCAACTTGAAGTCAAACATCAGACTGCCGTGTTATATCGGTTATATTAGCTCGTCCTGTGTTCATAATAATGTGGAATTAGTCATCATTCGTCCTTCCTTGCTCTGTGACTGTGACTGGCGGCATCAGCAGCTACGGGAAGGCAAAGACGGATTTTAACGAGAACCCATCACAGTTTGCTTCATGTATATTACTCAATGCTTCAAGTTGATCGAGTTTCTCCGCTAAGTTGCTGTGCGAGATTTCTCCTGGGCATACATCAACACACAGTGCTTCCTCAAAGACCAACAGCAGAAAACAAACCTCGAGAAAAGTTGTTCACAACATTCACACCATTCCGCATACTGCTGCCGCAGCACTGACAGCCGGCTCGTTGACGTCATCAGTGATTGAAATCTTGCAGGTCGACAAGCAACTTTGTTGTGCCGTGAAGAGTAAGTCTATGCGATATGCATGGAGAAACAAGAGGGTGGGGGTTAAAGATAAAATTACAATCGGATAAAAGGACAAAAGGCTCCATGCCCAATGTCAGAAATTACAAATCCTCGCATCTACCTGTCACTGTCTTCTAGGCGTGTTAATAATGTTTCCAAATTCCATCTGCTTATTTTTTTTTATTACAACCGCCGCGATATGACATCTTTAAGTAACATTCCAACACTCTCGGCTGTTAATAAACAACGCTTATGTGCGATCAAACTGGACCCTTGAGGATGAAAATAAATCGTGGAGCTGTAACCCTTCTCATCCCCTCGACCCACTGTTGGACCCGGGAGCCCCCTTTGATTATTTTTCCACCTTTGGGTGATGAAAGAGATTTCAGGTTTGTTTTTGGTTGCAGTTATTGGGCCGTGTGAACATTTTGCTCAGCAATGGAGGAATAAGAAGTGTGTACATGGTGTAGGAAAGGGAAACGGAGTGGTGGATAGAAAAACAGAAAAGGTCGCACGTTCATAGTTTCTTTTCATGTTTATTTAAAGACTACAGGGTGAGTAAACAAAAAGCGAAACCCAAATGTCAGGACCATTGTTTTAGTAAAGTTCTGCATGTAGCACTTTCAAAATCTAGCATAGGAAAGCCCAATTCATAAGCTTTCTTTAAGTTTAAGTATAATTCAAATCACTCATGTATTTTTTAAGTTACGGAGTTTTAAACACAACCACCGTTTTAAAGTTCTGTCCACGGATCACAAAAAAAGGCATGCGTTCTTTCATGAAAACGAAAACAATTATGTGATTTGTTTTCGTTTTGCTGAAAAAAAACCACTTAACTTTTTTTGTGATCCGTGGACAAAACCTTGAAACGGTGGTTGTGTTTAAAATTCCGTAACTTGAAAAGTACATTAGTGATTTGAATTATTCTTGTACTAAAAGAAAGCTTATGAATTGGGCTTTTATATCCTAGATCTTGAAAGTGCTACATGCAGAACTTCACTAAAAAAATGTCCCGACATTTGGGTTTCATTTTTGGACTCACCCTGTATTTTAAACAACACCATGAAGACGTTGGTTTGCATTGGACCGTTGGGCGAGCGAAAAAAATTTGAGAAAATCGCGGCTGGTTTTCAGTGCTGTTGTTGAATCGGTGGTGGATGCAATATGGATGTACTCATGTACTCAACCGTGCAATTCTACCATTTTTTTAATGCAGCATGACTAATGTAACGGTTCGTTGCTTATATGCTCTTCGTCATAGCGATTACACATGGAATCGACCTCACCCAAGCAGGAAATGACTTATCCTGTGTAATATTACGTGCCTAGTTCCCTTTTCTCCATGTACGTGCAAACTTGGGATCTGTTTTGAAGAGTGTCACTACACAGCCTTGGGGAAAAGACTACGAGTTTAAAGGAAACAAGCAATAGGATTTTTTTTATGACTTAAATTCCTTTTTAAACAGCTTTCTTGCCATGTAACTATGACTTTCCACCTTCGTTGTAGCAGTAAAAGGGAGAAATTTCAACGTTTGAGTTTTTTGCTAATAAAAATTTCCATATTCATGAGCCAAAGCGTGATGTCATTCCAGGCACAACAGTAGTGTCTCCATTTAGCTCCTCTTACATAATATTGATGACAAGATGTAATTAAAAAACTACCACTTTTTAGTCACTTCCAATGAAAACAAGTATTAAGATCTTGTATGTATTGTTGCAACACATAGTAATGTGCATGAAAATAAGATGAGCCGAATTTCCACTGCATGTTTCCTTTAAGAAGAGGTGTCCCCCACAGGGACCACCGCACGCACAAAGTGCACCAATTAGGAACCGTCTGTTTTTGGGTCTCTAGGGTCCTTGCCTGCTTGGGTTCATCCAGAGCACCCAAGTCTCATGATGAAAATTTCCTGTGGCACGACTATTCCCGATGGCCAGATCAGCTGGAGATTTATCACCTTTTATTTTTCAGTATCTCCAATGGAGGTGAAAATCGAATTGGAAATCGTAGAATGGATTCAGCCGTATACGCCTGTACAAAGCGGAATTATTTCACAAAAATGAAAAGTTTTGCATGCACTCTTAAAAATCAAGGGTTATTGCTCACACAAAAACAAGATAAAACCTTTGCCACCCCGTGTGGCTTCACCCCTTTATCCGAATGGAATGTCTCAAGAGGCGCGAGCATAATTAAGGTCATAGGATGTGAATTGTTAGCTGTTATTCAGCTGCCCTGGAAGATGGCGATCGAACACGATCCGCTCAAGATGTTACCGAATAGAAATCTCGCTTTTATTGCTACAAATTTAAGTGATGTTTTGCACGAAGTAGTTGAACGAAGAGGAAGCTTGATTAATTAAAGGTAAGCATAATATTATTCGTTTGATGTACATGCATAGAAATACACAGTTCAACGTACCGATATAGCTGTGCGACGGGCTTGACGTGTTAGTCATAATGGAGCTTCCAAAATGAGTCCGTGTATCAATGAACGGTAAGGGAATCAGGTGGTTATTTCCTCATTTTGATTAAAACAAATTCATCACAGAATGAACCCTTTATCTGAGAGGTTAACCAGGTCTCTGTGGTACAAGAAATTGAACCAAAGAAGCGTGAAATGATGAAAGAAACTCACCGTCCGCACATATTTCCCCGTTACAGTCACAACAATTCGTGGGACACATAATTCAGTGTAGAGGGGGTGGGCCTTATGTTAATTAAGATCGAGGGGCAAATGTTTTAATGTATGCCTCTTTACACCTTCGCGGCATGCGATGAAAGTGGATTGTTCCAAATTGTAGTTCCGCTTTCCTGCAGTATCGTGAGCCTCCAATTTGAGGATATACTGCCATTAAAGAAGTGTTTTACGATTGAAAGCAAATTTCCGGAAACATAATTTAAAGGGAATATACAACATTTGCAAACATCGAAAAATAAAACTACCAAGTTTTTACGAAAACCTTACTAGGATGTTGGTAAATGACAGTCTCAAGCATCTTGTAAAATTATGGCATCTGGTGTGAAGTCATTTTCAAGAAAATGGTATTTTTGTATACATTTCCAACGGTGGTCGGCCGACCAGCGTTGGAAAAACCTAACTATTTTTCAACTACTGCTCCAAGTTTACCATTTTTTCAGTCCAAATTTGTTTGCTATTGGTTACATGTTCATGAACGGCTGCAGGCTAGCTAGACTGGTTCCCTTGCCTTACAATTTTCCATCATCTATAAATTGATTCATTTTATCTTTTGTGGAGTCAGGGAACCAGACTACATGAACATTTTTGTTTTTCTTGGTTTTTTCCAACCTTTTCGAACACAAAACTTAAAAAATGTCAGTGTAACAATATTTGATCAATTATACTAACCCCTCAAATAGTTCATTTCTGAAAATTACAGCAAAAGCCAATGATCTACATTCCCTTTAACGAAAATGATTGATTAAATTCAAGATTTTTGAGCATTTGTAAACTATGTTTCGAGCAGTTTTACTTCTCAGTTTCATATCTGTGATATCGCCACTCCATCGGTGTATGATATCGATAGATACATATATAGACAAAGTGACTGACCATATGACATTTTCATGTCGTCATCCATGCTCTATGCGGCTCTGTTATACGCCACCCGTGACCAAGGGGGATGTCTGACGTGCGAACATTCTTGTCATTTTGCACAGGTCGTCGAACGTCGAAAGGCTGATATGGGCATTAAAGCGTGGCTGTGCCTGCAGAAGAGGTGGCTGTGGTTGACAGTGGCTTGTGTCATTGTCGTGGTGATTGCCGCACGGAATGGTTTGGAGTTGGGGGACACCAGAGGAATTGTCGCGCAAGGTACTTTTTAATTGTATCAGTTGTATCCGTCTAAGGATCAATTTGCAATTAAGTGGTAAAACCCTGAAAAGTTTTAGCGAAGTCAGAGATATAACATCGCCTAGGCCCTACTTAAAGTAAGTACAGCCAGTTGTCTGTGAAACAATAGCTGTAAAATGATTCTTTACCATTTTATACTACGCTGCATCGGGAGTCCTGTTTATTACGTCACGATTTACTGTGTTTTTTTTGCTGCCCCCAACGACGACTTTTACACAAATTGCACGTTCGGGTCGAAACAGGACCTGAACAACAGCTCTCAAAAGTACCTTTTGTACTCATTTCATGACAGACACAATAGTCGTTTTTATTTCATCACACCTTAGGCTACATATACCCAAAAAATGACGGAAATGTCTTCGAGCATTCCACTACCTCTTTACAAAAAAAGAGACAATTATAAATTGCAGACTTTGTTAATTAAAATCGGATATCAACACAAAGTGTCAAATAATAATACCTCTTACAAAACGAGGATTCTGGTGTTTTTATAAATATTGTTTACGCCTAATTACTTTGAACCTTTATTCGAAGATTTTATTTTAACCAGGAGTGGAGAGGTTTCCATAGCAACCACTGAAATTGTTCATATCATTTCTCCTGTTCAGGCTACAGCAACCTGCCTTGGATGCCTGAGGTATTGGTCAGATACACAACGGAGCAGACTCGAACAGCACTGGACGGCACTTGGAGTATCGATACTGGTATCGACCCTACCAAGGTATTAAAGAACAATGAGTTAACACACAAGAATGGTGTTTTGAGTATCGACACCTTGTCTTAAATGACAACACAAAATGCGCAATTGAAGCATCGACACTAGTTGTGATCCAACGAGGTTCTCTTTGAATTTCAGAATCGAATTTGGATCACAACAACCCTGCCAAAATAAAATCAGTTTCATAAACTATGGTAGTCACACCAGAGTGAACGTTACGGGTAACCAACCTGTCCCAAAACAGCTGTTTTTACTTGCACATATTTGTCTTTGTATGCCTCGAGTTATGTATGCACCTGCTTGTTTGCACTTCAACCAATGTGCGAGTATACTCCAGCGGAGGCTTCTGCACAGTATATGAAGATGAGATGATGATGACATAATGATACTTAAAAGCTGTTTAATTAAAGGTTTTCACTTCAGACAGATCGTATACAGTTTCTTGCTTCTCAACATTTGTCATTGTGTAAGTGATGACATTAATATTTACGTTTTGATTGATTGGTGTGTTTTTTTTCTCGTAAGGTTCCAGGATTGACATCTGATATGGGTTGCATGAACCTACCGAACCTCGACCGAGACAAAGCGTTGGTTCTTGGTCATCGCAGAAAAGAGCGAGGTAGGATAGACTCACAATAGGCCTGAGACCTAATGACGTCACGCTTTGTTTACATGTGGTAGACGGTCCCTATGGTTGCAGACCAGTAAATAAACTGCCATAGACCCCAATGATAAATGCCTCCACTTCAAAAATTCAGGAAAAATACTCACAACTCTCCAAGGTGTTCGAGACAAACATCAAATTAAAGCTTATTTCAGCATCTTTCATTTTCTTTTCAATTTTTGGGGAGTTAAGTGATGACTTTTCTAAGGAGAAATTTCCATCCAAAGATGATCACCCCTTAAAATGGTCCTGAAGCCCATCGCCATTTAGAAAAACGACGCCTACATTCCATTGCAAAATAGATCGCTTTTAGGGCTCCAATTTCATTCAAATGGCACATAACTACAAGCGCACAGCCATGTGCACGGCTTCCACCCATATTGTTTTTTAACAAACCCTCAAGTTTATGGCCCACAATGTGCTCAAATAACTTGAATTTGAAATAAGAATTTGAGGCCATGCAAATCGTGACTTGGCCGGCGTAGACAATGTTGCACCGATTTACTGGCCCGCAACCCTATACTTAGTCTGGCGTCCGAATTCGCTCCCATAGGAAAGTGCATATGTAAACAAAACCATGACGTCATTAGGTCCCAGGTCCCAGTCATTGGCAGTCGTCTCCTTTGGTAGTGATTTCACGGTGTGGTGTCTCGACTGGGTTCCTGTAAAGTCTGTGAGAGTAGTAACATCACGCCGCAGCAAACCGTGCACACGTTTATGAGAAATGTTTAAAAGGCACGCACTAGGAACATGACTACCCGGAAACTTAAAGGGAATGTACAACCTTTAATGCAATTTCCAGAAATAAATGGATTTGGAGGATTAGTATGTTATAGCAAATATTGATAAAATGACTTGTTTCACGATTTGGGCTTGTAGATGCTGGAAAAACCACTTATGAAACGAAGCAATTTATAGACTTTGGGGAGTTGTAAGGTCAGAGAATCAGTTTAGCAGGCTTGTACCCCTTCACTGGTGTGTTATCAATTGCAAAGAAAACGCGGAATAACTAAATATGATAAGTAGGAGCGGTTTTTTTTGGAAAAAGCCATAAAAATCCCATTTTTCTTGAAAATGACAGCACACCAGGAGCCACGATTTTAAAGGATGCTTTCAGACTGTCATTCCCTAACAATCCAGTAAGGTATTTCGTGATAATTGGGTCATTTCATTTTGTGATGTTTGCAAATGTTGTGTGTATCTCCCCTTTAATGAGAAAAACAGACCATCCTCAAAGTGAAATTAGGGATAGCCCCAAATACCTCCTTGAAATTATCCCTCCAGAAAATATAGAATTTCCCGGCTATTTTTAAAGACGTTTCATTCAAATTCACCCACTCTATCATTCAATTTCGTCCACGAGAAGATTCACACGCTTTTAACAAAACCAATTTAGTCATCTACCATTCAATTTTAAAGTTTGGTCACCCTCTTTAGTCACCGAGTCGAGAATATTCGTCATTTCAGATCAAATTCGTCTAAGCTGTTGCCGAATGGCAGCATTCAGAGATCGAATCCGTCTGATATAAATCAATTAATAGACGAAATTGATTTCTGAATAACAAGGTTATTTGAATAATCCAGGACGAAAACGTGGGCTCATTGTTTGAATTTGCTTGAAATAAATTTGAAGTTGTCTGACAAAAGACGAAAATAAACATTGGAAGTGTACTAAATCGATGTTGATGGACGAATTTGTATATTAGAAACGGTGAATTCGAATGATAAACGTTTAAAATAGACCGGAAAACCTATAGTTTAAATCAAACGAAATCAATTATTGAAGGTGGTTTTAAAAACAAAATGTGTCCGCAGGCAACGGACTCCAGTTAGGAGACCCCCCCCCAAAAAAGTGCATCATGTTTTCTGTTTTCTTAAAATTTATAGTAGCCACTGAGCTAAAATTTCAACAGATTATTAGTTGTTGTCCATCGTACTTAATATTTTGAGCAATTTTGTTCATTCAAATGAAAACAACAATGTGCACAAAGAGCAAATGATCCTATGTACCTTTGACCGATAAACATGGTCTGGACTACAAAACGGCATTCAATTTTCACAAAGTGAAGCTTTACGTAACGGTTTTAAAATTTCAAACCCTCCGCACCCACTTAATAACACACTGCGTTATACGTCGGTGAAGGGCAAAACCTTGTATTGATTTACATCACCCCGACGCAAAAATTCCATTTTAGGAAAATAATAAATATTCATCATATCTCGAACGTGTTCTCATTGTCATCTGTTTGAATGATAACATGGTCCAATAATAATGGAAGTTTCGTCACAGTTATTGGGCTTTCATTTCGAAGTAAACACGCACGAAGGACGCAATGCCGGATACGATTACCACATATCCTATCACTAGTTTTATATCTTTCCTCTACAGGTTTTCTTACGATTGGAATAACAACTGTAGAGCGCATAAACGCCAGCTATCTCTACCAGACCTTAAACTCTTTGATAGTGAACACTAATGCCACGGAACGATCTCAGATGAGTATCGTCGTCTTTGCGTGTGATTTCAAAGAGTCAGCTCGCCAAGAAGCTCGCGACATCGTCTTCAGATTCCCCAAACATCTTGAGAGTGGATTTCTCCAACTCATCGAAGCCCCAAGGTCTTTCTACCCGCCTCTCAAAAACTTGAAGAGAACGTTCGATAACCCAGACGAGCGAGTGTATTGGCGGTCCAAGGAAAACATCGATAATGTCTTTCTCTTCGCTTACTCTGTCAGCATGTCTGACTATTACCTTCAACTAGACGATGATTTCACGACGGTACCTGGATACGTCTCAACAATCCGCAGGTTCATTGCCCTGAACCGAGCCGAACATTGGATTCTTTTGGACATATCAGACAAGGGAACAGGGAAATTATTTCGCGATTGGGACTTGTTGCACGTGGCTCGGTACTTGGTGCAATTCTACCAGGAGCAACCCGTAGATTTCTTGTTTAGCGCCCTCATGCAGCTTCATCTTCAGAGACGCCACTTTGTCGTGAAACCTCACATCTTCAAGCACTTGGGCAATGTGTCGTCGTTAGAGTTGAAGAACAAAGGACGGCATGTTCACCACTGAAATGTCACTTCTTAAGTCTTGACTGGTTCTGCATACAACGAGGAAGAAATTAGACAAGCAAATAGACCAATCCTATAGCACGCCTATCACTTCTACCACAGCCCCCTCCAATGGCGAAAGCATAGTGCTAGCTATTGTTCAGGATAACTGTCATGAAACAGTTGATCTGTGCAATAGCTGGCCAAACACTTCCGCCATTACAGGGGGCCACCGTCTATAGCAAAGTGAAGGCACCATCTACTTACCTCATCCATTTGATTATACAAATTCCCATTTCTATAAGTATTTGAAATTAATCGAACAAAATATGCAAACCATTTTTAGACGACTGTTTCCTATTGCATCTTTGGATAAGCCTCTTGTTGAATTTCCTAAATTCTTCTTGAAAATTAAAAACATTACATGTAAAGGGAGAGAGAACAAAGAGTTCGATTGTGAAATAAACAATTGTAATTTATAATTTAATGTAATGCAGTTTTTACGCTGTACGCAGCTTTTTGCGTAGTTCTTGCTTAAAAGTCATAACCATCTTAGATTGTCCCCAAATGTTGGGGTTTCTTTTTGGTTCGGGGTGTTGTTTCTTCCCCTCCTGAAGTCACAGGGATCTCATGAGAGCGGTATCGAGGAATTTCTCTTTGCCCCCTACTTTTGCTGAATAGCGCCCTCAATCTTAGGAGACCCCACAGCTTCCTGCAAAATCGATCGTGTCGCAGAACACCTTTGTAAATCGATTTGGGGACGAGGTTGACCACAAGGTAACTCTACGTCACTGGCTAAAAAAAAGGTCTCCACCCTTAAACTTATTTTTAACCGACAAACGTAACAGCAGTAAGGTGTTTGTCTCTTATTATCGAGTACAATAACACGACCAAGCGGACTTTTTGCATTACCGCGACAGCCAAGAAAATAACAATGGATGTTGACAACAAAGGAGACTTATAGTTTGGTGGTAAACATTTCCTTAGAATGAAGAATGGAGCAAGATACGGTTCCACCACTCCTTGATTGATTGGTTTACCTTCCTTGACCTGTTGTCATCGCCTGTGCGCTGTTTTCAGTGAGAAGTGTCCATGCCGAAGTTTCGGAAGAAAGTGTGCTCCGTATAAAATCACGGCTGTATTCCCGTGTCCTATCCTACTCCCTTGCATCAATAGAGGGCGGGCTCTGGTACAACTGGTCGGCATTTCGAGGTGAACGTCTGTTTGTTCTGTTTGGACGTTGATGGCGCAGTTTTTAGTATCGCACACAGAGTTGTACAAGGTTGTAGAAAGTCTCATAGACAGTTTAATGACAAAATGAATTAACACACTGGTGCATATTTCAAATGATGCATCATTGCCCAGGAGGCCATTTTGTGTCCGAAATTCGTGTTAGGGTTTGTCGGGAACAATTTTTAAGGGGATTGTCTCCGGCTGAAATGAAATGACTCACAAGGCATCATCCATTTAATGCCAATGAACCCTCAGCCAATATATTGTGCGTCATTAGTACGCGAGTGCCAACACATTAGTAAAACATTCATGACATCACAATCTACGCTATTAAAGTATATCATTGCCAGCTGAGCTGAGGTGGGTGGAGTTTCGTTGGAAAAGTGGGGGGAGAGCCTGCAGTTACACTATACCACTTGACATATTTTTGGAATTATGATGACCTTTGATTACAAGTCTTTCGCCGTGTTTATAATGCCGAGGCACTCATTGGAGAAACCAGCTGTGGCGGCGCCCTACCAGATCCTCGGCTTCCCGTGCAGCTGCGTCGTGGCGCCAGTGAAGGGGGGGGGGGGGGGGGGGGGGGGGGGGGCTGAGGCCGGGGGGCGCCGACCTTATCAACTTCCCCTGGCCTGATGATAGAAACCACATCAGTTGCAATACACAGCGCAGGGTTAGAGGGAGTGAAGGGTAGACCGTGATGAAACGAGAATGCCCCGGGATGGGTTGGTAAGCCCTTGCCGGTGATAGGATCGGGAAATCAGCGTGGCTTTATGGTGAGGGAGTTCATGATGAGCGCGTCTCGCACTCTTTGCTTGACTAACGGTGATATCGATGCTTAGATCATTAAGAAAAGAACAAAGTTTCATAACAAATCATTTAATGAAAGGAATATCATTTGCATTTATCCCAAAGTAACCGTATTATTGACAAAAAACTCACTTGGATTAAAGATCGTATTGGTACTAAACACCACATGAAATTCTTCCGTCTGACTTGCTGTCATTTAGAAGAAATCAAGAAAAATAGTTGATTTCCAACGATCAGTCAATTGACTGATTTTTTTGAAATAAGAGATCTTTAGAAGAAATCGTGTTTCGCGATCAAAAGGTCGTGCAGACTTTTTCACTGTTTTCTCGACAGGTGTAATATCCACTAAGCCGACACTTCAACAGGTTAGGTTTTGAACATTCTTCTTTGGATTTTGAGTGTGTTACGTCATTGGAAACGAACAAAATGCATGAAAAGCAAATGATTCTATATGCTTTTAACATTTTGGATAGTGACATAAAAAAAACTGTCGATACATCAGCAAAAGAAAAACAATATCAGGAACGTTTTCATAATCCTCCCTGCATGGCAAAGGAATGTTTGGAAAATTAATGACGTCATCGAGGTCCCAGAGCAAAATGTGTCATCCGTCGACTCTATATTTGTTGTCTAGTTTCCTGTATGAGTGTCAGTAACGTAATTGATTGCCGTAAGTTTATGATTCCGAGAAGGGACGTTGATGACGCTGTCTACAAAAATATGTCTGCGTCCGAATTACTTGGCAGTCATGAGCCCATGCCAGCATCCAAATCCACTTCTCATGGACATGTGTTATTGATAGCCATATTCAAAGTTTTTTTTTTATATTATTAAAGGAAATATACATCATTTGCTTTTGCTGTAATTTTCGAAATGGATGGAATTGGGGTGTTGGAAATATATAGCAAATATAGTTACACTGACTTTTTTGAGGTTTTGGGTTCGAAAATGCTATAAAAACCAAGAAAAACGATCATTTTCCTATAGTCTGGTTCCGTGACTACATATAAGAAGAAACAGAGCAGTTAACATACATTGGGGAATTATAAGGTCAGGGAACCAGTCTAGCTGGCTCGTACCCGTTCATAGGTTTGTAATCGATTGCAAACAAGTGCGATGGTCAATTGGGGCCAGTATTTGAAAAAAAGCCAGTTGTTTCCAATCAGCGTTGGAAATTGATACAAAAATACCACTTTTCTTGAAAATGATAGTATACCAGGTGCCATGATTTTACAGGATGCTTTACACTGTCATTTACTAACAGTCCAGCAAGGTATTTCAAAATGATTTGGTAGTTTTATTTTTTAATGTTTGCAAATGTTGTATTTTCCCTTTAAGTAGTTTTTATATACTTGGCTTCAGTCTCACGACATGTGTTTCATATCTAGTTTGCACAACCTGTGAATTCCTATAGGAGTGATGGTTATTTTTTTTTATTGCGTTATGGCATTAGTACTGGATTTAAAACAGGTAAAAAATAAGTCCTAAACTCTGCCATTGTTGACAAGTTATTTTCTTCACCTCAAACCCTCCATGTTTATCTCACAATGGGCAGTCTGGTCAGCTTGTCAACGTAGCGTGCAGAACAACAGCCAAAAAAAAATATTTCCTGATCCCGCAACAAAATAAGCCTATCCTCTCATCACTATCAAATAGTACGAAAAGTCCCAAACGGCAGTCTACGGTGGTATGGGTCGGTGCTGTCGTCTGGCCACACCTACCCCCATCTGACACCAATGCCCCACGCCATCCAGGGGAACATTTGCCGATTCATTCTAAACACGGGAATAATTTCCCCTTTTTGCCATCAACACCCGTAGCTGAAGCGGCGTGCAGTGGTGTAACGGATCTAGATGTCATGTTTTCAAATTAAGGCTAGGTGCGTATTTTGCTTTACACTCGGGCTCACTGTGTCCCCACAGACGCAGTCTCTTTCCGTCGTTTCTGACACCTATCGTTCGATGAAGGCGATAACTTACAGATTCAGACCCGATACATATTTCCCTCAAAACAGATTATAATCAAAATCACATTTTTGAGGGGTTCAAACATTACAGGTATTGTATATGTTAGGAGTTCTTCGAGAAAACAAGGTTTGTCGTCCAAAATCGTGTAGTCAGCTGAGTTCACAGATTATATCTTTGGACGCGCCGTGAAAAAAAAAGAACGAGGCTAATTCTTTACAAGGATGGCCCGTGCAATGTAAGTTTTTTTAATGCAATCCTCGAAAATGTACCTTTGTGTCAATTTAATCTGATTTTCAATTTCCGATGTTCAAGGGCATTTTGGTGTATGTTTTAGTTTTGATTTGGATTATGGATCGCGTCCCCTGTGACGTCATGTTGACAGGCAATACAGCCACCAAAGCATCTTTCTCATATCATTTCCCGATATCACGCTCAATTCAACAGGATTTTGCATAATCCAAAATGAACCCTTGAGGATCAGGGTTAAACGCCAATACTTTTGAACCACCCATATTTCATGTGATACATCGCAGAATAGAGCAGTTTGCTTTAAGTCGGTATCACAATGAGCACAACACCCAATGCTGTGAACAAACTTGATATGGTTTACAAAGCTTTGTTTTGAATTCTGCTATCCACTCAAGAAACCACCCATACTGAAATTTGTATCCTTGTAGAGACATTTGTTTGTTCTCGTGTACTAATATCTTCGACTTTGAAAATGCAGTTTCAAAATGCTCTTATTTTAACCAGAATAAATTTGCTTGGCTGAAAGTAAAATCCATATATCTATTTCGTGAAAACCTTGTGGAGACGTATTCATCTATAGAAATTGCCACGTGGAGACGTGTACAATCTTTTGTTCCCTATTGTGTGCATGTTTGAGAGGGCACGGTGTATCAGATCTATGAGCTAGATCAGCCAAGTACATGTGGAGCGGAGTGCATACTGTCAGTCTGCCGCCACTGGTGTGTCTGACCCCCTTTTTTGGTAAACCGATGAACGCGGTTGCTGTTAAGAGGGGGAAGTATACCCCCATGGGGAGGAAATCTCCCCCTCTCTGGGGCTTAGTGGCCCCCTTACACGCTTGTACTTGTCATCAAGTCTTCGGTCGGACTCTGACGAGTAGCCTATGGCGTCCAGGGATATTTAGGTTGATTTCTCCTTAAAAATTACCCCTGGAAAAAAAGGTAAGTCTAATGGCTCAAACTGGAAGATTGTCCGGATCAACAGCAGACACCGACAAGACAAGATGATACACAGTCAAACAGCTGAACTGACCAACAGATATGATTTCGATTATCTCGCGCGTTGATTTGAAATATAGGCCTACGAAAGGCACTAACGTCGAAAGATCCGAAATCATTAGAAGAAGATGACACGCCTTTGAAACAAGAAGTTACAAATGGAAAACAGGGTCGTCATTAGGAGGAATGGGGCATCACAACCCTATATTAATCTAATCTTAAATAATGATGTACATATG